CCGATCCGGAACAACAAAAAACAACATAAAATGAAGCTATGTATAATAGTTTGGCCAGCATATCTTAAAATATGCAAACCAACTGCTGTTCGTTATATAAGAAGGTTTCAACTGAATATTATAAGATCCCCGTGCGTAGAACGGGTACACAGCTAGTACATGATAAAAAAGTATTATATGATCTTTTATCAAACACATGTAATTATATGACCCCTAAATGAGAATTTGATTGATTAAATAGGTTAATATTATCAATGACACATACTCATTTTGTGTCTTTAGTGAAGTAATCCCCTAGGGAAGTAGCTATTAATGACCGTGGATGGTACACTAAGACCTACACCCAGGACAAAATACCTTTTATTGAATTTCCCTTGTAGGGTATTAAAGTTACTGACTTTTCTCAAGATCAACCCGGCAACCTTTGATTATTAGGCTGTAACTATAACCACTCGGCTATCAATAAACTTCAATTAAAAAAATACGCAAATCTTTACTTACGGAGAGAAAATAATCACTTTTACTCTGGGGCATCATTGTAGGTTAATTTACCCATACTCAATGTAGGAAAAGCACTTGCGTTGAGCTTAAAGCGCTGTTGTGTATCTCACTCGAGTTTTGGTTAACAATATGCTCCACAGAGGGCAATTAAAGCCCAGGAAGGCTGCATGGCACATTGTCATGCAGCCAGCGCCTCCCTGAGTTCACATATTAGCTCTCCCTTACATCCCTTACTCTGCTAACCGGATAATTAACAGCTGGCTGAACTCCCTGCATGGAAATGTCCTCGCTTCTCATGATAAATGCAAAGGTTTGCTTTAAACAGCTGAAATAAGCAATACGTTTTACTCTTAACACAATAATATATTTCGTACCTAGGGCCGAAAATGAGGTTTTGCCGTGTAGACATATTGGGCCGGCTCGAAATAGTTTTTAAGTTCGAGACGATGTCGAGAACTTAAATCGATCGAGAGCTGCAAAACCATTTAGGTCCGTGGTACGAACGCTATTTTTCACCACACTATACCCTATTACCACTATTCGCCACTATAATAATGCACACTGATAGTCAACACAACAATTCTATTGCAATGCTATGGGTTTTGATTGTGTATTTAAAATGCATTCATGTTTTAAGTAAGTAAGCGGACAGCTGATTTTGCGGCCCCGGCCTGTAAAAACCTGCTCGGTCCCCAAATTACGATGACAGCTGGCATGGCCAGCAAATTGTTAAGCCACCAATTAATGTATACAGCCAAAAACATCAGTGTGGTGAAATAGTATATTTCGTACCTAGGGCCGAAAATGAGGTTTTGCCGGCTCGAGATAGTTTTTAAGTTCGAGACGAAGTCGAGAACTTAAATCGATCGAGAGCTGCAAAACCATTTCGGTCCGTGGTACGAACGCTATTTTTCACCACACTATACCCTATTACCACTATTCACCACTATAATAACGCACACTGATAGTCAACACAACTACAACTATAAGGTTATGTGAAGAAATAATTTGAGGAATCAGCAAAAATAAAAATAAATAGTTGCTAGGCAACGGTGACAATAACACAATTCTATTGCAATGCTATGGATTTTGATTGTGTATTTAAAATGCATTCATGTTTTAAGTAAGTAAGCGGACAGCCGATTTTGCGGCCCCGGCCTGTAAAAACCTGCTCGGTCCCCAAATTACGATGACAGCTGGCATGGCCAGCAAAACGTAACTTTCAGCCACCAATTAACGTATGTAATACAGCCAAAAACATCATAGTGTGGTGAAAAATAATTAAAAGGTTTCACATTATTATTTTCATTTAAACAAATTAAAAGTTTGTTTTCCACAGCAATAAATTTTAGTCAACTTCAAACAATATGATTAATCATGTATGTGGTATTAAATTTGCTTACCTATTTTTAAAATTAAAAATGTCCTTGTTCTCATTATAAACACGCATGTCTTTACACAACTGAAACAAGCACACTATACTTAAAACAATAAGAATTGTCTATGTAAAATCAATTTTTCAGCTGTCCTACTTAACAGATTTTCCTTATTGAGGTGTCATTTTAATGCTTATGGTACAGCACACCTGCGAATTCTAATGAAACAGATAAAATCTGACTTCACCCCTTGTGTTTAAATTATTTCTAGAGTTCACTTTAAAAGTCAAGTGTTGCTGAAAGACTTTCTTTATAAGGGTTTAAAGTACCTGGGGACCGAGCCTTACTAGCCTAGTACTACGACTATCCGCAGTACTAGCCTGATAGTTAGACCAATTTGAAAATGTATTTTAAACATGCTACTTTTTGATTATAGCAACGTGATCGAGGTAGGTAGTCACTTTTCAGTAGATCTAGATCTTTAAAAGTAAAAGGGTGTCGCATTATTATTTTTACCTTGGAATTAAGTTTTGAACCCTATTAAAATGTGGAATTTTGGGTCTACTAGTAATATAAAATACAAGTCTATTCTATATACTTAGATGTTAGACACATGAAATGAAATAAATTGTTTATTGGGCATACTTTGGACCTTATGGACCTTTCTAACATATAACCCCTCAAATACACAAGGGAAATTAGAAGTGTGTACAAAAATACAGGTTTAAATCTACCACTAAAGACACCAAACATAAATTTTAAAAGGTGTTCATAGTGAGTAGAGTTGTCAAACGACAAAACCGACGTGTTACCCAGACTTATTGGTTTGTGTAAAAGCCCATCACGAGCTTCCATTATAGTTTTCACCTTCCGATATTGTGCCGTTATTGGTCCGTGATGAATTCTACCGCCAATATCCACCGGGGTGATACATCAGAGAGTGATGACGGTGGAAAATGAAATATCACAAATATTTAATACCGATATTGCTTTGGCTATTTAGATGGAGTACCATGTAGATTGTGAATCATTATAATGTAGAGGGTTCATGTAGATGTTTTATATGATGAGAGATTTAGTGAGTTGTATTTTAAAACCGGGTTTTAGGATTTTTGAAGTGATGACTTTAAATAATGCTTTCACAAAAATTTAAGTAAATTTGATGATGAGCTTGAGCTCATTATTAATTAATTTCACTGTTGATTTTGTATAATACAAGTAGACTCTTTCAAGTGTAAAAAATCTTTTTATACTTGTTTTGTGCGATTTGAATGTGTTTATGTTAACTAAATGCTTATCTCTTGTTTTAGGGTGAATTTGAGAGTGTAGTCTTTACACTTTAGATATAATACCATACTGGTTTACAAAAGATTCCATTTTGGTTTTAATAATTTTAAGATGGTAAAATAATCTATTCAAGAAAATAATACATCAACACGTACATACAGATAAACATACTTTATATCTTTATTCGATCCACAAGAATAATAAATAACAGAGCGTATTCTGAATTACATTTTATTACCTAATCAGTAATAATGTATAGAATTTAACTCTCATTACAATAATATGTACGTAGCATTTATCAATCCTTAAACCTACAGTATCATGTTTCGCGCTGAATAGTTCAATAAAAACAATAACAAACCATCATTTGTTTATTATTTATTTCAAACTAATCATCTTGCATGGAATTATTCATACCTATTACCACACGAGATATTTTCAAACTCTAATCAGGTAAGAAGACAATCTTCTAAGTCGTATCGTTTAAGCTTCCCATTACATGCTTTAACGTCTGCCTTGATGTCTGTCACTTAAACTAACAAGCACCTCTTCTTGTTCTTACATGTTAAAAACTACATTCATTAAATCAAATATACACAGTTACATAATAAATTAAAATCCTTACATAATGTATATCGAAGATCCAAAATAAAAAATAAAAAATGGTCAGTGTAAAAACAGCCCATGATTAGGAAGACAAAAATATACTTAAGTGTTAGCCAAACTCAACATTGTCTTCAGCTGACCCACAAGGATGACAAGAATATAAAGAATCGTGTTTAAACTGAGGTTTTCCATATTTTTCCATGAGGTCTGCAGATTGCACAATAATATGTTTCAATAGCAGTCAACAGCTGCTCACAGAAAATAATGTTAACACGATCATGATCATGAATATGAATAATTTTTTTTTACCTAGGATAGTTAAAATTGATTAAATTGAGACTGCTTAATAGAAATATGCTCAAATTTAAATAACAGGAATAACTTATTTAAGGTGGCTTAAAACCTTTCAAAAAATTCAATGATTTTTGCAATGCTCTTTATCTAATAAAACTTAAAATTTGACTCAGCTGCTTTTTTTTACCGGTTTGGTAGAAAATAATTACCAACACCTTGGGTTTCATAAACGGGTCCCTCTAAAGAAACAGCTGATCTTGGTAGTAAGGAAGCCACACAAGGCTTCTTAATCCATTTTGTCTAACCTTTATTCATATTTAGGTTAAAGTTCTTAATATTGTGACCCTGCATGAATAAAGTTTCAAAGAGGAGACTTGTGCGAAAATTGAACAGTTAAACAAGGTCTAGATCTTTTTTGAGCAAAATGAACCTGTGCAACACAACACCCGTTACTTTTTCAAGAGTTAGCTTATAACTTGTTTTAGATTAATAGAACTACTAATTTACAGAAAATATTTTTATTTTTATCAACACCATCATAAAGAGTGATTCACTTACCTCGATCAGGTCCCAGTTGTCAAAAAATAGCCGATTTAATAAATTTCCTAAACTGTTAAGCCTCTTGTTTACAATATGACTGTGGTTAAACATTCAACTGCAGGAACAGCTATATTATTCACTTTATACACACATTATACAATTCACTTTCAACCCGCTTAGCACAACTGGATCTTTGAAAATGGACTCTATAAAGAAATCAAATGTGAAGGGGGCCCTGAAGTACCTTTTTAATTACCATCTGCAGGTGCGCTAGATCATGAGCTTCAAAATGACACCTCAATCATAAAAATCTGTAAAGTAGGACAGCTGGAAAATGGGATGTAACAGGAAAACCCCTCCGTATTGAGTATATATAATAAAGCCTTTATTTTACAGGAGGGCTGTTCCACCCTGCCGATGACAAGCAGGAGACAGCCTTCAGATATGCAGTTGAAAGGATCAACACAGACAACACTATCCTGCCTCGGTCGAGACTGTCTGCGCAAGTGGAGAAGATTTCACCACAGGATAGCTTCCACGCGTCCAAGAGAGGTTAATGTGTTAGCCATCTTGACTATAGATATTCTTTTGTGAAATGGACATTCCGTTTCTATATGAAAATTGTAGCATAGACTAACCAACACAAGTAGACTTTTCATCCCATTGTACATTTTGTAGCTCGTTTCTAGTGTCTCGTTCATGTCCGGTGACACTGATTGCTAGAGTCAGCGAAATTTTTTAAATATTATTTTAGGTGTAATTTTATGATTTGTGTTTTACTTGTTTGGTTATATAACTAGGGGACGAATTATTGTCTATGATTGGATCATTTTATTTGGCTAAACGAGGGTTTAAATTACTGAAATTACAAAAAAACAAATTGTTAACAAAACACGACCTCTGCAGTGCACCGGACAGAACTAGCAATAAAATTGGCTTCAGCTGTTCCAAAAGGATGAGAAATCTACTCAGAGAGTATGTTTTATCTATTGTTGTAATCATTGACTAATTTTACTATTTTTTATATAAATTTAGCAAAATTTTCTAAAATATTCTAAAAGAAAATTGATTAGGTTTTCAAGTTTCCAAATCATGCCGACCTGTTATTTTATCGGTTCTAATTGGACCATTTTATAGAGCCTACGGTACTTCAGGAAACACCTACTACTATAAAACGAATGTTGGTTGTTAGTTCAGGTGTAACTAAAACAATAAAGTGTATGATGAAGTGTGTCACACCAATATGGGCTAAAAAAGTAATTCAGACTCAAAAATTTTAAATTTTAAAAATAAGAGTTGACATTTTGGAACCAAGACATTTGAGATTTTCTTTTTGGGGTGATATTTTAGCTGTAAATGTAGAAATAATCAAAGCCTTACTCTAAAAGTTAAATGTCTTAAGCATGTTTATCACATTGTTGAAAAATAAAAATAAAGTAAAAGTGCAATAACAAGACACAAATTTTACTGCTCCTCCAAAAAACGAATATTTTAAAACGTTATTTTGCTAACTCTTAAGAAGCTTGTGGCTTAAAATCTAATTAAAAGATTTGCAACTAAGCCCTCATTATGAGGGTTTCCATGAACTCTTTTTTCAAAACTGACGAAAACCAAGAATTGTAAAGTAAAAAGCTAGAGATAAGAAGAGTAACATAATCCTCCCTAATAAAACTCTGGGGTTGAAACACAAAACATCCCCTCACTCCCTCTCAGCTGCTTCTGCATTTGTGTGAAGGGTAATGATTCCGCTTCCATCACTTCCTGCTTTTATCTCCTTCCTAGTAATTACTAATAGCAACCCCTTTATGGATCCTTAAATGAATTTTATAAACTCAAGATCAAGTTTAGAGTTTTGGAGTAAAATCTAAAAGTTACAGACTGAATTTAAATTTACTCAAAGATATTATTAATTTATAGCTCTGACTTGCTTTGAGAAATTGGTTAATTAGTGTTTATGAAAAGAAATATAATTTTTCTAAAAATATTTGTCGAATGACATGTGTTTAAGAATTAAATGTTCCCAAAATAAAGAGTTTCATTTGAGCCTTTATTTTAAAGTTCTGACTTATTGAAAAGACAAACAATACAAAATTTCGTGGAGTTGTTTTTTTTCTTAATGGACAAAAATGATTTCTGGTAGTTTATTTGATAATTTTGGATGTGATAAAGTTATTATAGTAGTTCACGTGGTATGTTAAGCAATTCTTGGCTACATAATTTTTGTGGCTTAATTAAATAGTTGAATACATTACTCGAAAAAAGAATAACTAGGTGAAGTACATCTTAAAAGAATATAGATCGTATGATGACTAAAAAACTTATTGTCTTTAATTAATTAAAAAACAATTTTTATAACACATTATTAATGAACTAAAAACTCGTTCCTTCTTCCACCCTGGAAAGAAATATCGAAGATGTAAGATAACATTTCAAATCAGGTCAATTTTAACCAAGCAGAAATTGAGTACATAAATAGAGTAAGATTGCAGAGATATATTTCCTTACAGTGATGTTAAATCTGTATAAAATAATGCACCACTATGTGCACGCTGTGTCGAAGTTGACTCCATATGTTATATTAATGTACCGTAATCCTACTAATATTATAAATGAGAAAGTTTGGATGTATAGATGTATGGATGTATGGATGTATGTTTGTGACAAGTGAACGCGAAAAATACTGGTCGGATTGGGCTGAAATTTGGCATGATGATAGCTCACATTCCCGATTAACATATAGGCATATTCTTATTTCAAAAATCCTTTCGGGCTCCGCCCCAGTGGCTCTGGAGTTTCCCATGTTAACCTTATGAGAAATGGAAGTATTGAATCTTAACAGCTGTTTCAATTAAACAAGTTGGTTCTGTTCTGTGATGTTCAATAGCATTAAAGTTACAAGGATTACCAACAGGGTGCAGCACTATTATTTCTTTTACATTTATGACAACAGCTAATTTGCAACCAAAAGGTGAGTGAGCGTAGCGAACGAACTTCAACCTGGAGGCGAGTTAGCGTAGCGAACGAGCTAACCTGACGGCAAGTGAGCGCAGCGAACGAGCTCCAACCTAAAGGTGAGTGAGCGTAGCGAACAAACTTCAACCAGGACGTGATTGAGCCATGCGAACGAGATAATCTTGAAAATTAAGAAGTTAAACGGGGCAAAGCCCGCGGGTTACAGCTAGTTTAACATAATTATAATATGTGTCCAACCAAAAATATTCAATATTTAAATAGTAACAAGGCCAGAATATGCTTGTTGGTTGTTAGTTCTATATTTGTATAGTTATAATGTATAAATATAATTATGCAGCTGTAACCCGCGGGCTTTGCCCCGTTTAACTTCTTAATTTTCAAGATTATCTCGTTCGCATGGCTCAATCACGTCCTGGTTGAAGTTTGTTCGCTACGCTCACTCACCTTTAGGTTGGAGCTCGTTCGCTGCGCTCACTTGCCTTCAGGTTAGCTCGTTCGCTACGCTAACTCGCCTCCAGGTTGAAGTTCGTTCGCTACGCTCACTCACCTTTTGGTTGCAAATTAGCTGTTGTCATAAATGTAACATATTTATTTCAAAAATCCTTTAGGGCTCCGCCCCAGTGGCTCTGGAGTTTCCCATGTTAACCTTATGAGAAATGGAAGTATTGAATCTTAACAGCTGTTTCAATTAAACAAGTTGGTTCTGTTCTGTGATGTTCAATAGCATTAAAGTTACAAGGATTACCAACAGGGTGCAGCACTATTATTTCTTTTACATTTATGACAACAGCTAATTTGCAACCAAAAGGTGAGTGAGCGTAGCGAACGAACTTCAACCTGGAGGCGAGTTAGCGTAGCGAACGAGCTAACCTGAAGGCAAGTGAGCGCAGCGAACGAGCTCCAACCTAAAGGTGAGTGAGCGTAGCGAACAAACTTCAACCAGGACGTGATTGAGCCATGCGAACGAGATAATCTTGAAAATTAAGAAGTTAAACGGGGCAAAGCCCGCGGGTTACAGCTAGTTTAACATAATTATAATATGTGTCCAACCTAAAGGTGAGTGAGCGTAGCGAACAAACTTCAACCAGGACGTGATTGAGCCATGCGAACGAGATAATCTTGAAAATTAAGAAGTTAAACGGGGCAAAGCCCGCGGGTTACAGCTGCATAATTATATTTATACATTATAACTATACAAATATAGAACTAACAACCAACAAGCATATTCTGGCCTTGTTACTATTTAAATATTGAATATTTTTGGTTGGACACATATTATAATTATGTTAAACTATATATATATATATATAAATATATATATAAATGTAACATAAATGTCATAAAAGTTCCTATACATATTTAACATAATTATAATATGTGTCCAACCAAAAATATTCAATATTTAAATAGTAACAAGGCCAGGGATTGGACCAATCCTTAGAAAATGGTAAAAAAATTCCAGTGTAGTTAAACATAAAATGAATTAAATATTACAGCATGAAACATGTAACAAAATAATCACATAAGGGATGAAGGTGAGTAGTAATGATGGAGGGTGTAGGAACAACCATTTAACCACCAACAAATGTCAAGGGAGGATTTTGTGGTGCTCTAATTCATTCGCAAGGCTCAAATTTATGGTTACAACACTGCTGAAACTGCATTTTAAACCCCTCCCTGGTATTTTTACTCTTACTCCGAGTGATTAAGTATACCACTTTTTGCTGAAATAGGTACTCCAATTTAACACTTTTTCTAATAAATTATGTGAGTAAAACCATTGACTTTGGATACCGATGTAGAAAAAGTGTACTGTATAGTAAATTGTGTGAAGTAGTAGTGATGTTGTTAAGAGACATTTTAATTTTACAGTATTTTTATATTTTTAACAGACAACAATCATAAACTAACCAACACAAATTGACTTATCATCCTATTGTGAAGTTTAAAGCTTGTTTTACCTGTCTATTTCATGTTGGCGACACTGGGTGCTAATGTTGAAGAATTTTTTCTATTATTTTAAGTTGATTTCATTATTTCGATTTACTGTTTGATTTATATAACTAGGGGAAGAGTTATTGTTTATGATTGAATTGTTTGATTTGGTTAAAGGAGGTTTTAAATAACTGAAATAACAAGAAACAAATTGTAAACAAAAATACGATCCAAGTGGCACCTGATGTAACTAACAATTAAATTATCTTTAGCTGATGGATGACAGATCTAAAGGAAGTATGTTTAAGTAGTAAGAAGTATGCTACAACCAAACATAGAGATAACATGTCTTCTTCACAAAGGTGTATAGCATCATAGACAAAAAATTATCTTTGTCTATGACAGCATACAGTATATAATGTAGTTTAAAGGGTAAAATTTGCTTTTACTTTCATTTTTGTGGCTATTCATCAAAAGTGTTCAGATGACCATGAACTATCTCCCCATGGAAGTATGTAGTCAAAAGTAACACAGTAAAAAATCAACAATTTGACATGTTATGTATCTGCAGTATGCCACTTGCTGCGGAGTGGGGTGGCGGCCATCTTCGGACCTCAGAGTGGTCAAACGGCCAGTCACGTCCAGAGTATCTGTGATACCATGGAGATTCCTCATCTAGAGACTAGATGGGACTATAGACTACGGCGGGAGAGCTGTCTCGTCAACCTGTACCCCCACCCTACCACATTATCCAAGGTTAGTGTGATTAGATGCTGAGAGCAGCTGTAGTATTGGTTGTACCATTGACTATTGGAAACAGAAGTTGATGTATTAATAGTCAAAGGTTGTACATTTATTGGTGTCTTGATACCTAGCTTTGGGCCATCCAATGTCTTCTGTACATTGCAGACCATTGAGTACAGTGAAATGTTGTTCTATTATCGTATGATATGACCGTGCACCAAAGTGCGTCTATCAACCTACTTTGCCGCCTATGACTGTACTCGGAACTTCCTTGCTAAAATCATGGGATATGATCTTTACTGTACTTGTTTTAGCACATTGCATACCAAAGATACCACACAGTTATTTAAATTTTCATGCCTGATAAGCTACTTCCTGACACTAGTCTTAGTTATGGCGGGAACCAATACCTGTGGCCGAGTGGAGAATCGCTTTATTCAAAATTTCCCTGTTACAGCAGTTAGTGTTCTTTATTACTTTGTCATTTATTTTTTGAGTTATTTATCAAAATGGGAAAAGTTTAATGAGAGACAAATTTAAAGCCTCAAATAAGTTTGAAAAAATGTAAAATTGATTTGATAACTTTTAACGTTTAATTGCTTTTTAGTATTTTCCCTACCACCCGACCTTTTACTGACTTTTCTGCGGCCGGTTTGGATCAAGCAATCAAGAACTAGCAATCTACTACTATAGAAAAAATCAGTAAGCATCCACGACACCTTAGTAATTATGCTAATGGGGAGAAAAATACTAAATATACAAATAAATACAAAAATTAAAGAGCACTACTAATTACTCTCCCTACTACTGAACAATGACTTTATCACCATGTAGCTTTTCTTCTGTAAGGAAGTCATGTACAGTTTATGTACTAACTCTTTCTCAACTCCAGGCATATGTGGACCTAGTGCAGGCTTGGGGATGGAAGTCGTTCACCATCATCTACGAGAACAACGAAGGTCTTGTAAGACTGCAAGAACTTCTCAAAGCTCACGGACCTTCAGAATTTCCCATAGCTGTGAGACAACTTGGCGAAGGCACTGACTACAGGTTGGTTCTTTAAATTCAGTATATTGAGTCAAACTATGCATTAAACACACTAATGTATTTTTGTCAACCTAATGAATCAGCTGATGATGATGTTACTTATGCACAGACTGTTATGTTGTTAACCATATTTTTCTTGTTATTGAAAGAATTATTTAATTTATTTTAACAAAGAAAATAATATGTAAACTATTGATTGTCCAATGGTTTTAGAAGCAAGTAAAGCACAAATCGTAAATACACTCTGAAATAAGAGTAAAACATTTAGTCAAATAGCCAATTGAGGAATAAAAAACAGATCTTTCTCAAATTTTCTCAAGAAACAAACTTTTCAAATATTTACTGTTGTAATTTTTTGTAACTCTAATATACCGATAAAAAAAACAATGGCCCTGAATTAAAGTAAGTATAATTTATGAATAAGTACGATAAATAAACACTAACCACAACTGAAGCGAAAAACTTTTACAGTACTGCAAAGTTAATTTTTCCAAACATTAGATCACAACCAAAACCAAACAAACTACCATTGATTGAAGAAATCATGTTCATGATCAATAATATCATTCATTAGGAACTGTTTTTACTAGTGCTGGTAAACCGTATGTGATGGCAGTTAATAGTTTATTTACCATCAGCTGTTGTTTATTTATTTATTTTGAAAACATCAATCCTAAAATACACTTTCTAACATGGGCAATAATTCAAAAACGGAAGATAAAAGTCCTCTCAACAACAAAAGAGGCTTATATGGCTTACGCAACATTAGAAACATTTGTTACTTGAATGCTATAATTCAATGTCTTAGCAGTACCAGTCTACTTTTAGATTATGTTTTAAACCAGGAATACGTGAGTGATATTCGAAATCCTGAGACACTTCTGGTGATTGAAATGTTCGCAAATCTGATACAGGATATGTGGAATGATCAAACCATCCCGTCTTGGGCCATCCATGTGAGGAATGTACTTTCAAGATACAACCGAAGCTTTCTTGAAAACATCCACCATGATGCCCATGAGCTACTGAGATATCTGTTAGCAGCTCTTCATCAAGAGCTGAATAGAGCATCAAGTGAGAAGCGAACTCCTTCAGTCAAAAAGGAACAAGGCTATGATGGCTATGATGGTATCAGTTTTGATGAGGTGTGGCAAAAATACTTGAAAACAGACAACAGTAAAATACTTGACATATTCGGTGGGCTTTTAAAATCCACGTTGAAATGCACTCACTGTGGATTCTCATCCACCGTTTACGAACTCTTCTGGGATCTTTCTTTACCGATTCCTTTAGATTCTCCTGATGACAACCTGGATATTAACCACTGCTTGGAATTGTTCACTAAAGAAGAGGAACTAGATGGGGAAGATGAACCTTTCTGCGAAAAATGTAAAAGAAAACAAACCTGTCTGAAAAGAATATTGATTCAGAAGTTTCCTAAGGTTCTTGTTATCCACCTGAAGAGATTTTCCGGAGATCAAATGACTCGTAAAATTAACAGATTTGTTGACTTTCCCGTTGCTGCACTCAATATGGGCCTATATTCCACTGAGGCTGAATCCGATGATGTATTTTATAATTTATATGGAGTCGTAAACCACAGAGGAACCCCAGAGATCGGTCACTACACAGCATTTTGCAAGCATCCGTATTTTGGATCATGGCACGATTTCAATGACGTTTTTGTCACACCAATGAATATTAGCCACATTGACAAATCACTCGCATATATTCTATTTTATGAAATTGAAAGCTCTACACAAAGTATAACAAATTTGTAAAACAGCTACTGGTTTTATTTCCGTACTATCTATAATCGTCTTCAGTATTTTGTTGGACAAAAAAGGGTACAAGACATACAGATTAAGTGGGATTAATGTGGGATTAAGATATACAGATTTGTTGCTGCCCTTTAAAGATGCATCTAATTAAGTCACGTCTTTTCCTTTTAGTATTTCTGTCTTATGCATTTTTTGAAGTAACTTGGCTTGTTTGTTCCCTGCGCAAATTTTAAACAAGCCAGAAATCAAACAAAGCGATATATGTAATCAAAAATTTAAATCTTTTGATAAAGATCCTTTTTTTTATACAGACACTTTTTTCCAATTACATTTAAATACCTAAATAAAACATAAATCATGACTGGTTTAATCCTAATTCAATAGTGGAATTTTTGTGTGTGTTTAATCCTCGATCCGAAGATCTATGTATTTGGGGGATTTTGCTGACATTTTGTATTCATTACGTTATAAAACGAGTTTGCAAAATGGATCAGGATGTGGAATCTGTTCCAGTCCTCAGGTGAGAGATTATTTAAAACAACAATATTAGAACACAAATCCAGCCAAAGCTAAAACACCCGAAAGAAAAACCACATAGAAAATAATGGTCCATTTTCCGTCAAACTGGAACTCAAGTGAGAATAAATGCTAAGAGATAAATACTGGTACTGGTATCCAATTAACTAGCACCATTTTTATTTTCAATACCTGTGTTTAAAGTTATATTCAACGTTTGTTTATATGATATGTTTAACTTTCTTCCAGACCTTTGCTCAAGCAGATAAAGAACTCTGCAGAGTCCCACATAGTTCTTGATTGTTCTACGGAGAAGATCTACAATGTTCTCAAACAAGCACAGCAGATCGGCATGATGAGTGACTACCACAGCTATCTCATCACATCCTTGGTAAGTTTAATGTTGAGAATACAAAATCTTGTAGGATACCGACTATGATTTACCAAACCAAAAGGTAACTTATTCAACCATCAATGAAAAGAAGTTCATACTATCCAATCTAAATCAGCCACAGCAAGATTGGATCACGGAAAAGATTGAACACCATTGTTCTTTAATTGTTCAAACAACTTCAATCACAGCTAGATGAAGAGAGTTTTTGAGTCAATAAAATGTTATTAACGTATAAAATAGGAACTTGGTTTTTTTCATGATGGACGACAAATTTTTTAAAGGTGCCTTGCTATTATTGATTAGATTAGCATCTTATAGTTTGGTGTGAAAGAAACTGGATTGATTATAAAGACGCCTGTATTACTTGTAGGTACTTGGACCACTTTCCCTTAAAGCATTTAATATAAGCTACCTACCTACATGGAGAAGTCTGAAGATGTAGTGCACCAGTGAATTAAGTTCTGGTAGATAGTTTGTAAGAAACAATAATCTCCACTGGTGAGTCCAATCCTAGTAATGTTCATGCTTTAAAATTGCATAGTGCAAGACAACCATCACTGCGGCCATCCAAATGTGGTTAGGAACATTTTGCACATACACCACTTGTATTCATTGGTTTGTTTGCAGGATCTGCACAGTGTGGACCTGGAGGAGTTCAAGTACGGAGGAACCAACATTACGGCTCTGCGTCTTGTAGACCCTGACAAGCCTGAGCTACAGAAGGTGGTGAGGGATTGGAGTGCAGGGGAAAGGCGCAAGGGAGAACCTCATCATGTGGGGGTCAGTCTAACATGTCAGGATGAAATAACAGTAAACAATCGTGAGAACCGCAGAAATTTATCTATCAATCTAATCAGTTTATGATTTTAAAATTACCTTTGAAGGCAACGCCAATGTTTTTTCACTTGGCAAGTTTCTTGACCAGCCTAATACATCCTTGGGAAGAGGTTTCTTTTGGGTAGAATGATTTTGTGGCCCAAAATCAGTTTGGGAGTAGTGAAGAGCAAGGGTGAGACACGAGAAAAATCATCTCTAGGTCAGTCTATAATTTTTTGGCAATGGATTTGCAGTTGATAATTGCAAATACATCACGAAATCCTTTAAAATTCTCACCTCTAGATTGCCTATGGAGATTATGTCAAATCTCTTCACATACGGGTTTTCCGATCCAATTCAATCCGACCTTGGGAAGGGTTTGTCTTGATTAGAAGTACTAAGAATCATTTTAATTCATATCACTCCAGACAGTAAGTTTATGTTTTTAATGTGTTTGTTTCATGCTGCTTCTGACTGTGCAGAATCTTACATTCATAAAGGTAGGTGAAAATATTAAACTTTTAGTTTAGATCAGTCATCATTTTTGTACATGTTGTAAAATATATCCTAAAATAAGGAATTACGAGCAACAGAAACACAACAAAACAAGCCTTAAATATTTAAGAACAGAGTGGGAAGTTCACTTGCTGTGACCAAATTCTATCACCACAGTTATTTCTCATAAAAAGTTATCTCTGTCTTGATTTTTTACAACACAGGTATTCTAACACCATTATCTTTGTACATTGTTAAATTAACGACTTACAAACTATGATCTATTTTTTCCTATTCATCAAACCTTTGACTATCTGTGAAGTATAGCTCTAATAAAAACTATAAAACTTAAGGAAATCAGTGCATAAAATTAATTAATTATCACCCTATCACCACAAAAAACTCAAGTCATGACTCAGCTCATCAATCATTTCCCTTACCTACTGTTATGCAGATGGCAGATGATTCTTTTCTTTTCCACAGACTGAGACAGCGTTGATGTACGATGCTGTACATCTGTTTGCCAAGGCTCTTCACGATCTCGACAGTTCTCAGCGTATTGACATCAAGCCGTTAAGTTGCGATGCTGTGGACACATGGCCTCATGGGTACAGTCTCATCAACTACATGAAGATTGTGAGTACTGGTTGGACAGTTGGTCTAGTGGTAAATATTTTCAAATGGCCAAGAATCAAATCCGTCTAATTGCCAATGGGTTTTAGCTTTGCGATAATACCACAGTGGCGGATCCAGAACAGTCACAAGAGGGGGAGTGAAACGGGGGGTGTGGGGGGTTCCGGGGTACCCCTGAAAAATGTGTGCAAACTAAGTCTCCTAAATGGCAGTTTTATACCATTTCTTTGTCCAAAGTTAGTGTGACAAATTATTTAATGCAATGTGTATGCACTAGGCCTACTGTATTACATGCAGTAAAAATTATATAGGTATGTATGCCCGAGGGGGGGGCGAGGGGGTGACCGGTTACTGGATCCGCCAATGTAATACACATTGCCAAACATTAACACACACATTACGCACATTACACATTGCGCATGTGTGTTACATTGCCAATGTAATGTGTGTGTGTTATGGTCCCATCACCATCGGTCTCTCATGTAATCAACTTAATCAAAATTTTGAGATTTGTCATTTGTCCACTCATAAAAAAATACAAAAAATTTTACTCTTTGACTAAATACTATTGTGAAGTAGACATTCTATTACTGCGTTAAAGTTGGGCCCAAGTTTGGAATAGGGTAAGTGCTGTCAAAATTACTTTTTCTTCCTCACAGAAACTTTTAAATTTTAATCCTTCAAAACTGAATTAGCTTTATTGTAGAGTAGAGCGTCTTTCTCCAAACAGAAAAAAAGGAGAGTGATTCAAAAACTTTATTAACATGCCTTTGGTTTGCCTAATAGTTGATGAACTTGAACATGAACTTTTAACCACATTGGTTTTCTTACTGTCTTCCAAACCACTATAATGATAAAATTCAGCTTGTCACTCTTCTTATTTTTATCTTAACTTTGGTGGTTTTAAATTGGATGTTAATTTGTTTTAGGTGGAGATGAGGGGTCTGACCGGAGTAATTAAGTTTGACAACCAAGGGTTCCGATCAAACTTTGTGTTGGATATCGTAGAACTGACGAAAGAAGGACTGACCAAGATTGGAACTTGGAATTCCACAGAAGGCGTTAACTTCACCCGTACATACGGCGAAGTTTACACCCAAATAGTGGAGAGCTTACAGAATAAAACATTCATCGTCACAACAATCTTGGTGAGTGTTGTAATAGATCAAAATTAATCATCAATGAAAATTTAAAAAATGACATGGAAAACCTGAGACAATAATTAATTATATGTTGATTACTTGTGCTTGACAATTAATTAGTTGTTGACACCTTAACCATTATGCTTTTCTATGATTCAAATAAGTAAATGACCATCTCTTTGACCGAGTTTGTGAACAGCGCAGTTGTCTAATCAGTATTGTAATTAATGACTTTCAGAGCTCGCCCTACTGTATGAGGAAGGACTCAAGTGAGAAACTGACAGGAAACGCTCAGTTTGAGGGATATTCCCTAGACTTGATCCACGAGATTTCCAAAATACTCGGCTTCAACTACACGTTCAGACTTGTACCGGACGGGAAATATGGGAGTTTGAACCGAGAGACGAAAGAATGGGACGGGATGATGAAGGAGCTCTTGGATCAGGTAAGAAAAAGTAAACTAGTCAAAAATACTTCAGTCCATGCAGATTTCGTTTACCTACAAATTCAAGAGTCAGGGAACCATCTAAGAGCCTAACTGCAAAATGGCATAGTTCGATCTGAACAATCACTAGGAAATAAGGGACTAATGAGATCCAGACACAAACTTGAATGAACAACATATACTTGATTGAGTTTAAAAACCTTACCTGGCTTATGGAAACAGAGTACTTGAGTGGGTGTGTACCTCAAAATCACTTTTTGGAATAAAAAAAAGGTTATGTTTGTTTGGGATACATTTATCAAACTAAAGCGTTTGGGATTTCCATCTAAGAAATTAGAAGCTATGTTTAAAGTGAAAACATTCAGATTAACAACAAATAATTAAATTGATTTGACTGTTGTTCAATTGTGGGTTGTGTTGTTTTCAGAGAGCAGATTTAGCAATTGCTGACCTCACTATTACTTATGACAGAGAGCAAGCCGTCGACTTCACAATGCCTTTTATGAATCTCGGTAAGTATCGTAACGGAACTAATTATGTTTAATAAAAAATCTGTACTTTGTTAGCACATGTTTGAACAGGTCATCCCAGTAGATTATTTGTAAGTGTACAAACAAACAGTTGCATCTTGTGGAAGCTTCTCAAGCAATGTTTTAAATTGAAATTTTAAGTGTTTCTTAAAGTTAATTGTTTTAAAATAATCACAATCTTATATAAGGTCAGAACACATTGTAAAGATAGATTGATCTACTACTTATCAAATTATTCCCGGAATGATTTTCTGTAGTCATTTAGCGTGATCGACATTGGGAAATTCACCTTTCAGTAGTTGGTACGACTCCTGAGAAGGGAATTTCGGTAGTGGGGGTATAGCTGACGAGCCACAGTGCAACATTGGAAAGCGCTTTTTGGGTACCTGCAAGTCTACATTGTTTTTGTCACATAATCATTCTTTCAGGAATCAGCATCTTGTACAGGAAGCCCATCAAGCAACCACCAAATCTGTTCTCATTCCTGTCCCCTCTATCTCTGGATGTCTGGATATACATGGCTACAGCCTACCTCGGTGTCTCTGTACTGCTCTTCATACTGGCTAGGTAATGTACTTTAGTGTACCACTGCTGTTTAAGCTCTTATACTATTGGGCGGGAGATTGCAACAAATTCCTGATAACTATGACAATCTTGGGCAAAGGATTATAGTGCTCGCTTAGTATTCAGCTGGTTTAATCCTTTTTGATGTTGGTTATAGTTGAAAACTGGACCCATATTTAGTCAACGGGTTTCAAAAATGGTCTTGGCTTAGAAACAGCTGATTTTAGTCAGTATTACGTGTGCATCACTGTCTTTAACAGTATGGAATTGGACCGTTTGTAATGCCACAGAGGAGTTAAAGAGAGAAAACATCCAATTAGTCCAGCAATTAGCGAATTAGATGTCTATAGCATAAAATGGCTGTGCCATGTGGTAGTTCTCATGATTGCTAATAGATAACATCAAGGTGCAACAGGTCTAAAGGTTTATAAGTTCCGACGGATGGCTTGCTTGTTTGTTCTAGGTTCACATGTTGGATGCGAACTGTGAATCTTCAGTTTGACGGATTTTACCACAAAGCTACGATTGACGTACCATGTTGATTCTAGGTTTTGTCACATCTCACAGATGGATTATGAGAATCTCCAGTTCCAGCCTGTTACCACAGCACAGTTTACATGCGATGCTCATTTTAGGTTCACCCCCTACGAATGGCAGAACCCTCATCCGTGCAATCCGAACCCGGACCATCTGGAGAACCACTTTAGTCTCCCAAACTGTCTCTGGTTTGCCATTGGCTCACTGATGCAACAGAGCTGTGACTTTTTGCCCAAGTAAGCAAAAAATTCACAAGCGTCGTCCCGATCTCTGCGGGCCACATTTGCCGATAGTAGCACAGCGGTAAACAAACGTAATAACTAAATGTGATGAACAAGTCTCATACTGATGTCAGTTATGAAAAGTACGATTTTACTATCTGTAAAGTGGCCAGCCGAGGGAAGGAAGGAATGTTGTCGTAGAGTCGAGTAGTGATTTGTGCATGTCTGTGACTGTACAGGTTCAGTCCGTATGAATGGGACAATCCGCATCCGTGCAATGACCAACCCGATGTTTTGGAAAACCAATTCTCTCTCCTCAACTCACTCTGGTTCACGATTGGCTCTCTCATGCAGCAAGGCTCGGACATTGCCCCCAAGTGAGTCCACATCTTACCGTAGTGACACAGTAGTAGAAACTATTCCACTCCTTACAAACTGTTTTACATAAATAAAATCGTCCTCGGTCAATCTTTGAGGATATTTTAAGCAGTTTTTGATTAATTTAAATTCGGTGTGTAAATTATCATTTTTTTATTACAACCCAATCTGTTAAGAGCACAAGTAAGTATTGCTTAAAGCATGGTGCTTTTAAATGTTTTCATTTCATTTGCATGTTGATGTAATCAAATGTATTCTAGTTTACAGTTCCATATACTAATCCGTTTCAGTTATCTGTGCTTAATTTCTCTTCTTGGATCTGGTCAAGGACTAAGCTTCCTCATCTAACCCTATACCTCTATAGATTTACTTCCTCCATCATTTGCCATATTAATCCTATCCTCTCCACAAATATCTTCACTTTGTATAACCTCTTTCTTTTCTGTCTTAATCTTGATGTTCTTCTTTTTATCAACATCAACCCCATTCTCATCAGAAATATCTGTTCTCATGTCCTCACTATATCAACTTGTTTTTTAAAGTTCTTTTCAAGTTATCTTTCTTTAAGTAACCTCATATTACATTCATGAGTAGATTAAGTATACTTCTGAAGTTTTGTCCTAGGTTGCTTCTTGTGGTGATTCAATGTCGTAGAGACAATGTGCCACTGTATTGGAAATGATAATAATGTGTATTAACTCAATATTTGTAATCTGTAGGTGACAAAAATAAAGGAAACTTTGAATATTACAAGTTGTCTTCTTAACATGTTGTAAAATAAGAGGCAAGTTGTCCTATAAGGCTAGAGCTTAAGGGCGATTCAGTTTTTCTCTCCCATTTTAGAGAAAAATACACATAAAATGCTCGATTCTGTGGTTTAATGATCAAAGACGAGCATTAGTTTATAGGTATAGATAGTTCCTTTAGTTTGAAATATTTTAAAGTTTATGAATAAACAAGAAGTAAACTGTAAACAGCAAAATACATTCTACATGCTGAAAAAATTTAACTTTATCCTCATCTGATCCATAAGATTTACAGATCTGTATAAGAATTAATTAATTTTTTTCATACCATCATCTTCTTTTTCTTAATTTAAAATTTACTATTGGTGATGATGAAGTTTGTTAAACAAATATGTTGCCAGACTGTTTCCAACACTGATTTACTAAAACAGAAGTTTCGCTGTTTCGGCATCCATAACCTTGGTGGGAAAGAACCTAGAAAATAACACAATTAGTTCAAAATACTTATCAAATAAAAGTATCTTCAGTTATTCACAAATCTTTTGCTGCGACGATGGTAATGTAAAAAATAACCTTCTATAACCAATATTTTTCCTTAAAAATCATGTTAAAAAGCTTTAGATGTCGTTAATTTGAGTTACTCATTGCTGAAAGTGTTCATAATCCAAGTGATCTTTGTCACAGAGCGGTGTCCACTCGGATGGTGGCTGGGATGTGGTGGTTCTTCACTCTGATCATGATCTCCTCCTACACGGCCAACCTTGCAGCCTTCCTGACAGTGGAGAGGATGGACTCGCCCATCGAGAGTGCCGAGGATTTGGCCAAGCAGACAAAGATCAAGTACGGAGCGCTAAGAGGAGGATCTACAGCGGCGTTCTTCAGGGTAAGATTACATGGATGTTACAGGTTAACTATGGCAGAATTAATTACCTTAGACTAATGTTTGTAATATTTCTTTTTTTTATTGACCTATCACTACCACTCAGTTTATACACCTTAAATTATTTTTTCTGTAAGAATTCTATAGGGAACTACAGTTCAATAATTTTCTAGGACTCCAACTTCTCGACTTACCAGCGCATGTGGTCTTTTATGGAGTCTGCTCGCCCGAGTGTGTTTACATCCTCGAATCTGGAGGGAGTGGAGCGAGTGATCAAGGGAAAAGGCAGCTATGCTTTCCTCATGGAGTCAACAAGTATCGAGTACGTCATAGAGAGGAACTGCGACCTAACCCAGGTGGGGGGTCTGCTGGACTCCAAGGGATACGGAATTGCCATGCCTCCCAGTAAGTATATGGTTGGGGTTATTAATTAGGTAGGTATGTTACTGTATTAAAATATTATTGGTGCCAAATAAAACCAATGAAAGGGTTATTGGTGACATAAATGAGCTAAGGGGAAAAAATGATCATCTTTGCATACTTCAGTGGTAATGGTAAATAAGTCGATCTATGAAATAAGAAGTAAGGCTTCCCTCTCACAAACACTACTAATTAGGTCTTATACAATTGTGTTAAAGACAGAAACTTATTAGCAAAAGATGGCATTTGAGCCTCGTTGAAATGCCACCACTTGGTAACTTTTCAAAACACTTGAACCGCACCAACCATAACAATGACAACTAAAGTAAAACACTAACTTGCGTTAGCCTTTGCCTAAAATGAACATTAACACAGTGCTTCGACAATCAACACCATATTTATTTGTAGATTCACCCTACAGAACTGCTATCAGCGGAGCGATATTGAAACTGCAAGAAGAGGGAAAACTGCACATTTTAAAAACACGTTGGTGGAAAGAGAAGCGAGGAGGCGGATCTTGTAGGGTAAGCTTGTTTATGATTATGGATTCATGAGTAGGTACAGTGTTCACCTAATAATCAGCAAAGCGGCCAGTTTGATTCAGAGAACAGAAACTTTTGATGGTTGAAAGTTTGACCCAGTTGTTTTTGTTAGGCTAATGAATAGCTTAACATAGGCTGTAAAAAAGCAACAAAAAGGATCTGATGGTCATAGTACAGTTCTCCTTAAAATGTTGGACCAAAACCCAGAGCGGCCAAGAGAGGGTTAATTTAAGAGTAGGACACCTATCAATCGTCGCCAACTGCCCTTTTGTAGACCTAACAGCCAACATTGGATGCACCGAGAATCACTTTCTCTTTTGCGGTACCTACAATTCAAATTAACTACATCAACTAAATCCTCAACTTCTATCTTGACACTGAAACTTGGCATACACGCATTGTCATGGTTGTAATTGTGGCCATGTTAAGCTCTGGCTGTAAAGTGTACGTCAACGACTAGTCGAGGATTATTCCTGGTAATGGTCAGGCTAGTGCGCCATTGTCCATACACTTATACGTCTTTTAAATATGCAAAATTATGTCTCTTAATTTCTTCATGTCTCTTGACTTCTCTTAGTAAAATTTGAATGAGATGGTCATGAAAATCATTTAGTTTTGAAAGCTGTCGACTAAAATTCACCTCTCCAAGAAAATGTTGGTAACATTCCTAAATAAATTACTTGCAGGATGATACCACCAAGAGTAGCAGTGCTGCCAACGAGCTAGGACTAGCCAACGTAGGAGGTGTGTTCGTCGTGCTGATGGGAGGGATGGGCGTGGCGTGTGTCATCGCAGTCTGCGAGTTTGTCTGGAAGTCTCGCAAGGTCGCAGTGGAGGAACGGGTGAGCAGTCCCCTTACTTGACCCCTAACCCCTGACCTAGGGGACACCCCTAACTGAACGAGTAAAACAACGAGAAAACTCTGAGGCAAATATTTTGTAAAATAACTGCAGCTGTGTTTTTCAGTTTTAAAAGTGTTACTCTAAACAGTTGAATGTTTTGGAGGTTGTAAATTCTGTGTAAATTGTAACAGAGAATTTGTTGTAATTGATTTTACAGTTTTAGCTTGGTAAGAAAATAGTACAATAATCCCAAGATTGGTGATACACTTTAAATTCCCTGCAATAATGTGTTAGATGGTATTTGACAGTGTTATCTGATAAAAAAAGACAAGAGGTACAAGCAGATTCGAGCTGTTACCCTATCACAACAAAGAAGATTTGAAATTTTCAGTAGGAGAAAGCAACTCCACTTTTCAACCAATTACAGCTGCTTCATCTCATTCATCAGTAGTAGTTCTAAGGGGGGGGGGGCTACAGGGGCTAAAACCCACCCATTAGTCCCCTGAAAAAACTAAATATATACATACATTCGTTCCTTAAAAACGTAACGGAGGTTTTTAAACACAGTTCTAGATTTTTTAAATGGCTTAAGAAAGTAACCTTAACTGCTTTAAAAAATACCAAATCTTCCATTAGAAGACTCCCTGGATCCCCCCTCCTTTTCTTACAGGGAGTATCTCCCGATCCCCCCTGGTAGCCCCCCTAACAGGGTCCTAGAACTGCCACTGTCACTAATGAAACTTTTATTTCTTTTGCCAGTGAATTTATTTCTTATAAGTAACTATTAATTTACTACACCTTTGAAGAAAAGATTTTTTGTTTGATTAAAATAACCCAAACAAGTTTATCACTGTAATAAATAAACTCAAGTGTTGTGTAAATACCTGTGTAAAAACTTAAACATCAAAATAAATGGTTTAAGGTAATCAATAAATGTCTTGTCTTCTTTATGGATTTTACTAAGAATATTTGTAAATATGTAAAATGTTTAAAGGGCGTACTTGTTTACAATACCATTACATTATTGTTTTGTGAATAATCTGTTAAATATTCAACGTTATGTACTTGAAAATTTATAGTTGCAATTTATATTTTACAAACAGGCTCAATAGACAATAATTATTTGTTTAAGTTTTGTAACTAGACAGTCTTTATTAAGAAAATTCTTCTTGGATGCTCTTTCTTAAAAATATTGATAATAAACTGCTAAACTGTAGAAACATAACAAAAAAGAACCCAACCTATGTTTCTGGTATTATTTGAGCAATATAAACAACTAAACAAAGGTGTGAAAAAGTCACTATGTCAAACAAAAATTGTTTGAATTCAAATTTTGTTCAATTAGTTTTAGTTGTAAGGATGATATTGATAAGAATGAAGACTGTGTAAGTGTATTTCGGCTTTTGTTTGTGCCGACTGGAAATTTACCAGGAGGTAAGAACATCATTTAAATATCTGTTAGCGGTAGATATTAGATTCATTGTCTTCAAAGTTGTATAAGTAGTGTTTATGTTATGAACACTATTACAAAAAGTAAAAGTCATTACATTGTAATATTCAAGACAAAACTGCTGGTGATTGTCATAGTCCATGTTGTGGTTTTGCAGCAGATAAATTAGCAGGATTTTAATAAATTTACCTCTGGAAACTCTATTGCAAGCCTTTTTTATGAGGGTGGATTTATTGGTATTTTGTAATATTGAAAAATTATGCTTTTAAGGACAAGTTTCATTTAGGAAATTGAAACTGCAACTAGTTTGTTGCATTTTGAATGGCCCTACACTAATCCTTTTGCTTGCTAACACACACCAACTGCACTTTTAGTGAAGTAGTTTTCACAAAACCACGTGTTTTTACACTAAGATTAGCTTTTTCAACTATCCCCAAAAGATAGTCATTATTAACTGTGTTAGTTATTAGTCAATTTTACAAGATTATTTGATGACTTCAGGACTGAATTATGATTAATTGAATTTAAAATATACAAAATAACTAGTAATTGTACCTGCAGGTGTTAAATATAGTTTCCACAGTCACCCGACAAAGTGGGATTCCTTGTACAGATTATAGTACAGAAAGCCTTACTTTGGCACACACCAGTATTCCAACCAAACAACACAAAACAGCGGGCTTTTAATATGGACTTAATCTGTGTAAGCTTGAATATAAGTTGGCAACACTTTACAATATTACGACTACGATCAGCTGGTGCAGCATTTACTATTTCGTTCAATGTTTGGATTTAACCTAACTTAAAAACGTGTTGTACCGTGATTGAAATACTAATTATTTATATGATTTATAGTAACTGTAGGAAAAATATAAAGTGTAACATGAGTGCAAACTGCCTTTGCTGCACTCGAGAAGCTTTCTACATTCTTCTCATGTGCAGCAAAGTGCCATTTCGCCCACTAGACAAAAATAACTATTCTTTTGCTTTGGTATGGATTTGCACTTAATTAATCAGTATCAAAACAATAGCAAAGAATAATTTGTTTCTTCAAGCACAAATAAACAACTATTTTTTTCAAATTTATTTATATTTTATAGTAACTAATCACATAATCGAAAAAAGCTAAAACCTTGCCAAGCTGCCCCGAGTGTAAACTTGTGTTATATTTCTAACAATTAGGTGAAAGATTTACCTTTGTTAGTAAAGGTTACTCCATTGAACGGAAATATGGGTCAAGGCTTACTTTACATTGAACTATTTAATACAACTTCCTACTTCTCAAACTACCAAAAAGAAAAGTGATTGATATTTTGCATATTTTTTGCCAGAATATAGTATAACTATTACCTAATGTTATTTTACTGTTTGTGTTAAGAAACTTAAATTTCAAATTGGACAACAGAACTGAGCTAGAGATATGTTGTTTTTTTAAGGAGTCAGAAAACATGCAATAATTTGTAATTTTCTTTCATTTCTGGTTCTGACAGTACACAGCTTAGTAAAAAAGTGAAATAAATGAAAAGTTTACAAAAATAATACTGCCAATGTGCAAAAAGGGAACACATGGGGAAAGTTAGACCAATGCAATTTAAGTTTTAATAGTTCAAAAAACTTGGATCCAATTCAAAATTCCGTTAGAAATGGGAAAAGCTACTTAAACCAATTTGACAATATTTACTGGTATTCAATTTCCTGACTTTCATCAGAGTATATATCAGCGATACAGGTAATACACAAATCTATTCCAGTTCAAAAAACAATGAACCATGATTACGTCAAATTAAAACGCTAAAACACAAAATAGGATTGTAAAATGGCGTAGTGTACTCCAAGTTTTAACAGATTTTTATTATGTTTCAGACTTCTTTGTGTTCTGAAATGGCAACTGAGCTAAGGTACGCGTTCTGTTGCCATGGTTCCACACGCCCAGCACGTAAAAAACCCCCCATCGGACCCCCGGCTACAGAGCCCCCTAGGTTTATGCCCCTTGGACCGTACCCTCAGTATGGCTTTATCAGTAAGGAGCCTCTTGCCTGAGGACTACCTTCAGGAAGTGCTCGCTTACAGGAGTACTCCTTCTGAATTCATTTGACGAGGACCAAAGGTCGTAGAAAGTTTTTGCACAACACACCATATTTTGATGTTCGGGATTTGGATACTGAAGTAGACATCCTATCTATATGAACTAGATATAGTCATTTTGTTGTTGAAAAACACCACAGTCACTCACAGCGTGTGCTTGTGTCTAAATTTTCCCAAAAGTTCAACATTTTGGTAATTGAAGTGGAAGAGGCTATAGACAAGATGTTGTAGGACAAGTTGACATTCTGTGTGCACAACATAGATTAGAAATTAAAAATTCACTGTGATGATCAAATTAAACTTAAAAAACCTTCTAAAACTGACCACATCTTTAACATGCAAATGGGGTGTCTCCTCTTCAAGGTCAAAGGTCGCAGTAATAAAAATTGACAAGGCATACTCTGATAATCTAGAGAAAGGAAATTTTAGATTTCTCGTCCCACCAAGGTTATCATTTTAGTTCAACAAACGTTCAGCAAAATTGTTGAATTGTGTAATCATTCCTCCTCTAATGTCATACAGTATAGAGTTGTTTGTCATTGAAACATGTTCCAACTTAGGCTCAGCAAGAAACTAGCATTGGTTTAAAGTTTAATAAATATAGCACGGTCCACAAGAGTCTGCAGTTGAGGGAGGAGCCTATTTACCACGTGACTTCGAAGGAGCCAATGAAGACAGTGTGGTGTTGCTAAATCTAATAATACCAGCTGATTTGAAAATATTGTTTAGTATATTTTAATTAGTGTCGAAAAGTAGTGAACGGGCGATGTTGCAACCTCAAGCTAGTCCAGTCTTGCTATTGGCTGCCACCAACTGCAGACTCTCATGGCCCCTAATATAGGTGTCTCTACAACCATATTTTTCTCCATTCCGAGTCGGATTGCCATTTCACATGACTAATACAGAGGGTTTGTCAGAATACAAGTGATAAACGGGGAACAAAGATTTTATAGCTCTAACCACACCAAACATGATTGTATATAGTATTTTTCAATAGTAAATCTTAATTGTATAGTTTATTTATCCGTCTGCAAAGTTGTTTTAACCAAATATAAAAATTTGGAGGATAAAAAGTTTGATTGAATCCAAAAGAATTTTGTGTATTTTTTTACACTATCGAGCAATAAAAAGCTGATAGCTCCAAACAAAAATTATATAACCCTCAAAAAATTGTTTCAAGATGTTAACATCTTCCAGAGTTTGATTATGTTTGATGGATTAACATATAGATGTTCTTTTTTAAACTTTTTTGTGTGAATATGTAGGTTTCATTGCAAAACCAAACAATTTTACACGTAATAGTAGTTTCCAGGTTTTATAAATAAGAGCCAATGTCTTTTCAAACCACTTTGCAGACTGATAAAACATAAATATTCCATAATTGTTTTCTCTTGTGTTAAAATTTAAATGTCATATCAATTGGAATATGACAGTGCCAAAAACCAGTATTATTAGCAAGTAAGTAAGGATATTGTTGTGATAAAAGCATAAATCATACATTTAAATTCTTTTCTTCTTCATATGTGTAGGTAAAGTATTTTATATACTTGGGTACAATTCATTGAATGTAACCTGTGCGTTTTATTGAATTGTAAAACTAGTGTAATGATTTTTGTGCCAAGTTGGTTAGTTGTGTATAGACGTTTAAGGGTTTGCCATTTCTACGCGGGAATAAAAATGAACCTTCATGCTATTTGGAAAATGAAATATTTTATGTTATATTTCTTCCTTTTCTAAACACACATGATTTTTTTGAAATTTAGGAATGAATCAAAAGTGGAAGAGTCCCACATGAGATTTTTTCTTTCAAAAATTGGCCTACATGTTCTTAAAATTGCAAGATAAAAGTTAACGTAGTTATTTAACCTGTCAAAACCAACAAATAATGTAAAAACATCAACAAGGTTTTTACAGAAAATTAAATTAAAAAATAAAGATCTATAACCAATCTATTTAAAGTATTAAAGGTTCATTTTCAAATTTGTACAAAGTTCTGAAAAACTTCTTGATGTGTTGTTGCATTTATCTTGTCTAAGTATATAGCCTATGTGTGTACATAGTTTTTCACCTTTCATACAGGTTTAAGATTAGTTGTAACTGTCCAAAGATTTGTATACACTTTTTATAATATTGATTATATACTGTAAATAATGTATATATATGCTAATTAAAACGATTTATGTTTATTGTGTGTTTTTTTTTCAAAGATGCCCTGTTTCATATTTAATTTGTTGTTGTGCAAGGAAAGGAACAATTGTTGCACAAAGCTTGCTTGTATTGCCTGGCAAAAATCAATGCAGCTTAGATAAACTAATTTGTTCTTGTATGACTGTTTGGTAGTCAATGAGAAAGATCCCCAATTACAGAGAGAAAACTCTCATCTACACCTTAGATATTAATCTGTTTTGTTTCTTAGACGAACCTGGTGCCTACAGTGGGCTCATACTACCAGATTACTTCCATACAAAATACCTAACAACCAGAGAAATTTATTTGTTGCCTTCAAGTCAGATATCCAGTGATCTAGTCCATGGGCTAGGGGGGCTTGAGACCCCACGTTGACCTCATGCTTTCAGATTGTGCAGTAAAAACATACAAGTTAATAAAACAATTATCCGTCCAGTACTTCTGTATGGATTCAGAAAATTGGGATTCAGAATAAAAATTAGTAAAGACGATTAATATGTTTGAAAATAAAATATTGAGAAAAGTATCTGGACCAGCCTATGAGAATGGACAATGGAGGTTGAAGAACAATTTATTGGGAACTGAGAGAGATTTATAAATACCCGGTTTTTTTTTAGCCGAGGCACTGAGTAAAATGTTAAGACCGTCATGAAAAAAGAAGGCACCCAAAGGCAGAAGACCCCTTGAAAGACCAAAGCCGAGATGGTTGGACCAAGTGTAAATGGAGACTGGGAAAGAGATAGAGATGAATGGAGGCATAGTGTTGGGGGTACCAGTGGTCACAGCAGTAAGATTTAACAATTTCAAAACTATACAAAAAAATGTAATAGACAAAAAAATTTAGATACATAAATGTGTAAATTTGACTATTTTGTGCCCCAAACATTTACCAGTCCCTTTCCTTTCTTTACTGGGTCACAGGGAGTTATTCAGTACCCCCCCCCCCCCCCCAAGACCCCCGGCCCACCATACAAAAAATTAAATGGGCGCCTATGCTCTGGCCTTAAATGAAGACATGGTCTGAAAGTTTTTTTTCTTGGTTCTTATTAAACACTTTAGAAACTCTGGCTCTTATTAACATTTACGGAGGGAACACATGTCAAGTCTGTAATGAAAACATACCATTTGCATAGAAAAACTAATTTGTTAGCAATGCAAACCTTTGAACATTGAAACATTGAAAATTTCAATTATTTTATGCAAAAACTACATTATCAATAGCTATTACGTGTGTTATTATGTAAATCCAATGCTTATATTTAAAAAGTATTGAGGAAGAATATAAAACTATGTCAATTCCATAATATAAAATGTATTTAGGTAACAAATCAAAGAGTTTGATAATTTATAATCCATAACAATATTTTACAGAATACAATAGGCGTAATTAAAGTTACCAAATAATAAATAATATTCTTTAAGTACGGTAATAAAAAGGTATTAGTTGCGCAGTGTTTGTTTTTAGATAAGGTCCTTTTTCTAGATTTGAACCAAGGCCACACTAAGAAAAAACAGGCCGTAATGCTCGTCAAGCATGACGTCACAATAGAAGACGGCAATGACGTCATGTTTGCCATTTGTTATCAGCTGCTTGTTTTAATCTTTCCTTGGAAAATAAATAAATAAATACCTACCTCATTGCCGTCTTATATCGTGACGTCATGCTTGACGAGCATTACGGCCTGTTTTTTTTTTAGTGTGGCCTTGATTTGAACCCATTGGCCAAGTATGTATATTAGAAGTAAGTAATACTTTTGACAGATAGTTAACATTTTATATTCAGTTAAGTAAAGGGTTATTCTATCTTCCACAAGCAAAACTAGAAAACAAATTTTTATTTCATAATTGACAATCAAAGTAAAAATGTGTGTCATAGTGTCTGTCAATATAGTTTTTCATTGTTTAAACATCATTGATTCAAATATAAACGTAATTATTTTTAATCAGCTGAGGTAACAAAATACAATTGTTTGCAAGCATTCGTCAGCTGATTGTTGCTAAACAGCTGTTTTAGCACTCACCTCAATAAACTGCTCATCCTAGCAAGTCACTTCACAGCTTTCTACTTGTTTTGTTGTTGTTTGACTCGAACCATTTTGATTACTAAAGCTGTTTTATTTTGTGCATACTTCACGTTTTCATCCGTTCAATATATTTAAGGCATATTTCAGTCAATGTAGGTATGCTTATTCATTTAGTTAAAAGAAAACACGGACAACAGTAAAGAAATAAAATAATTATGCATTAGTTATTTTGAGGAATCAAAAAAATGTTTGCTTGTTTAGCAAAAGTTAAAACACAAATGTTTGAAACCCGTTCAAAACAGGATTAGAGCAAGACTTGAAAAAATAAATAAATAAACTTTCTTGATATTGAGACTACCTAATTGAAGACTATAACAAAAATCCTCACAAATAGGCATTATAAACAGCAACAATTAGAACTTACAACTAAAATAATCATATGAATACTGTACATCAAAACGTTAAAATTCTATGGCTTATGGCAGTGAATCAGCCTTTTCGTGCTTTGGCAATGACAGTTATGGTAAAGTTTAAGGCTAAAAACATCTATCAATAACCCTGTCCCCATGGTAAATTGCTTTCCCAAACAATGACTAAGACTGAAAAACAAATAAACAACACAAAACAAACACATACATAATATTGTACGCATACATAATAAATAGACAAAGAAAATTTGTATTGTAAATATCTCACTTGGAGCAAAATTTTAAATAAATTATACAGGGTGCTTTTTTTACTGCGAGATTCTATTTAACGACAAAACAAGCGTATATTTTTTGTATCCCTGCTTTCTAATTACTCCATTGTCAAGCAGCTGATTTGAATTGTTGCATAGTTATCTTAAGTTTTAGTTTTTTTGGGGGAGATTTTATTGACAATAAGACTCAACATGGTGTTATCGCTAGCTTAATAGCTATGTATTGTTGGAGTAAATTTTTTTTACAGATCCGGTTTCCTAAAATGTTGAACAAGTCAATAAATAGTTGATTTACTAGATACAGAATTACACCTGGAAACTTAATTACAAACATCTCTTGGCATAAAATCAATCAGTTACTTTAAAAATATTTTCCAACAATACTGCTCTTTGAGCTTGCCAAAACACCACTGCCGAGTCTTTTTCTAAATAAAATCCCAATAAGACTTAGCCTTGCACAACAATGCAAAAATCTTCAGCTGATTGGCAATGAAGTAAAGAAAACAAGGATACAAACATGAGCTTCCTTTACTGTTTAAACTTGTCTCACAACACTTGTATTTTGGTTGTGTTAATAAAAACTCCCTGTAGAAGTAAAGTATAAATATGTAAAATGTCACTGTGTACTGTACAATGACAAAATACAATCTTAAACCCATAGGATATTGTTGTGCAGTGCACAGTGACTTTTCACATGCTCAGTACTAACATACATTAAACATACTCCCTTAGTTGATTTCCCATCTTTATGAAACAGCTGAAGCCAATTTTATCGTTAGTTCTGTCCGGTGCACTGTAGAGGTCATGTTTTGTTTACAATTTGTTTCTGGTTATTTCAGTCATTTAAAACACTGTTTAACCAAATAAAACTATATAATCATAAACTATAGCTCATCCTCTTGTTATATAACCAACAGTAAATCACAAATTATGAAAATAGCTCTATAATAATAGAAACTAAATTTCGTCGAAACTAGCCACCAGTGTCACCGGACATGAACTAGACACAAAAAACGAGCTTCAAAATTCACAATGGGATGGGAAGTTTACTTGTGTTGGTTAGTCTATGGTACTAAGTTTTCAACTAATACAAGATAAATGTGTAAAGTAAATATGGTAATGAAACACAAATGCAAAAAGCTCTGAGCAAACCCTGCACTTAAATATAAAGCTAATTAGTAACTCTGAGAAAGTGAATAAAGTACAGTCCTACAAACCGTTCAACATAATAATTTGTCTTGGTAGCCGAGTGGTTATAGTGATTATCTCCAAATTTGAAGGTTGCTGGTTTGATGCCAAGCGGAGGCAATTCTGAACCCACATTACATTTTGTTATTTGTAATTATTATAGCAATAAATTAATGATAGCCTAACAGGCTATCTAACAAAAGATCAACGTTAGACAGTAACGTGTAAATGTACAAATGCTTATGGCAAGAAATCATACAATAAATGCGTTAGTACAGTTCACAATGAAATAATGCCCAGTTTGTAGAAAAGGAAAAACCAAACTATGACCATAATGTTATCTTCATTTCCCTAAATCCAAAGGTACATTGATTTGGTAACAAAACGAAAAGAGTTCTGCAAAACTTCTAGCAGGAGTTTTCTTACATGGTTACCAAGAAATTTCAACAACCCCCGTAACTAGAGCTGAATTGATGGGACTGTACTATATTTGTAAATTCAGATTCAAAAATAGTTTCATTTCAAAACCTATGATTCTTTTTAAACGTAATATAATATTTACCCGTTTAAAACATAACCTAAAAACACTGGCAACAATTAAAACCTAGATAAGCATTTACTAGCTCCCAACTGGTAGATCTTTTAAGATACTACAGACACTCAAATAGAAGTAGTAGACGGAGAGTTTAAACAATGCCCATTGTTGTGAAGTGTATGTACTCCATCGGGCGAAGTTTGTCTTACAAAGTCGCAACTGTTCTCCGTAAACGCTCCTAACGCAACATCGGGACATCACCAGGAATGAACTCATCCTACAAGATTGTGTGGAACACAGTTAATCAAACCATGGTGTAGACATGCAGCGCTCTTAAATTAGGAGAACGCTTAGTTTCGATGTAGAACTAATAATTAACAAACCCAATTGAAAAATATTATTGAGAATTTACAATTGTAGATCTTTAGAGTTAGGGAGTTTAATATAGCTGTTAAAATTACAAATTTGGAAGATATTGTGTTTTCTGTTGGTTACTTAGCTTCTCACAGAAGACCAAAAAAAGTTAGCGAGTATTTTGGATTTTTTGATGCATTACGAAGAAGAAAAGGAATGAAATGTTGAGTAAAATTGTTACTGGAGATAAAACACGGAATCATATCCCCCCTAAATCCAAGCAAAAATCAAAGGAATGACAGCACTCAACAACTCAACCTCCCCTGTCAATTTCAAAGCCAAAGTCCCATCAAGGCCAGCCTAAGTCTTCTTCATCATGGACATTTTCACAGCCATTTTGAAACTCCCTAACCATTTCTGCACATTAATCTCACCCATTGCATTAGGATTACAGTTGTGGGTTACAGTTGTATGGCAATGAATGTCTGCATTGTGTGATTCTGTGATGTGCAAATTGTGTGATTCTGTGCACAAATGATGTTGGTAAGGGAAGTGTCGTCTCATTGCGGCATAGGCGTAAACTACGGAGCTATGCACAAACAGCCCTTACTTAAAAAACACCCTTCATACAATTCAAGAAATTACAGCCACAGAAATGGACACATGAATATGAACATTACTCTGACAAACGTATGATAGCCTACACATTTAACATATAAATTAAATTAATGGAGAGTAGGCCTTAACCCACCAATACACAAGCTTAAGCCTTGTCCTAATAAAACTAGAGTGGCTTACCAACCAAGAGCAAATGAGATTCTACTGGATGCTTACATAATGTAAGATGAAAGTAAACAGGTGTTTCACAAATACACTACTGTATCTACAAATAACAGTGGACTTACCTCGACTGTGTCTTCAATGTGTATTCAATGCCTCTTAACAAATCGTTGGTCTTGAGGATGAGAAGCATTTGCCGATTAACTCGAGCCAATATCTCGGAGATGAGGGGTAAGAAATTTGGTATTTCTTTTTGGAACATTTCTTTCTGTGGGTAAAAAGTATTACTTTCACACACTTTCTTCTACACACAGTAACTTATTTTTTTAATTTATCAGTATGCAATGACATTTTGTCAATTTTTTCATGAAATAATTCAAAGAAAAGAGTTTACTTGGCTACATCAATGAATTAAGACTGCTGAAATAATATTTAATTCTCAGACATTTTAACATCTGAAGTGTCTAAATTCATGATGACTATGTAGTCAGTAATTCATACACCAAGGTAGATTTAGAACGACAGCTAACTTATTTAAAAGGTACAAGTTTAGCCAATTCCTATCTCTTTGTTAGCAGACAATTTATAGGTTTAAAATACCATGAGGAATGAAAATACGGTACGTTGGTATTATACCAACCACAATGATAAATCGACTTCCAAATAAGGTTTTAATTAGTTTAAATAACAAAATCTTCCTAACCTAACCTAAAACATAGTCCACCCTTAGCTTAGGTTAAGTTATAATTATTAGGTCAGGTGGGTATAATACCAAAGTACTGAAAATACTGCCAAGAGAATAATTACAGTGTGCCAACAGGGTTACAGTTCCATCTGTTCCAGTTTCTGGTTTTGGTTCCATCTGGCCAACCGTCACAGATTCCACAACAAAACACTAAACGTCATCAAAAACTATAAATAACGTCCAAGACAACCAAAATCAACTTACCTCTCTAACGGTAAACTTTGTCGTGTTGATTCCTGCCTCCACAGAATCCCATGTGCGTCCAGACACCATGCAGACGAACAAAGCATAAAACTCTCCGATGCCGAGTTTATCACAGTGCTGCTTCATCAGAGTGTGATCTTTATTGAGGATACTGAGCCAGAGCTTTGAGTATTCCCATCTTACATCGTCCGATAATGTCTGTGGGTGGGAATTTGAGTGATTATTAAAATGACAGAGCTTTAAGTATTGATTAAATAATGGCTAATATTCTTTTATTATGATTATGTTAAATCCACTAGACCGTCAAGATAGTCAAACAAAACATTTCTTACTGGTCTTTTGTATATTTATTCCCTATCCTTCTTATTTGTAAAAACAAATGTCCTGAAAATTAAAATGTTTTTGGAAATGTACTCAACACAAACATTCATAAAATGTTTACATTCTTTCACTGTTTTAGCAAACTATTCTACATACAATATACAGTTCCTCACCGCATAAAGCCCATGGTCGAGCAGTACTAGGCTGGTTTTCCCAGAAGCTCCCCGGGTCACCAGTATGTTGCCCGGGTGTGGGTCACTGTGCACAAACCCTTCCATGAAGATCATCTGACTGTAAAGCTGACCCAGCTTATCTGACACCTTCAACAAACAGACCCGGAGTTGAAGTATCACAGCTAGATTCTTTTGTCAAAACAATTAGTAGGGGGCAGTGACAACAAAGCTTATGTAGCAGATACATCATCATCGTCTTGTGCAAGAACAGCAAATTGTCTGATAGTTTTGGATAAAATCTTGCTCGTATGAAATTCCAAATTAAGTGCCATTCCACCCAAATATCAAAAAATATTCTTCATGAAAATTTCCTGAAATGTTAGGATCTGTCCATTTTCATCTTCTGGTACAAGAATCAGTTTACTTCCTAAATAACTGCAATGATTTTCATAAAGCTAAAATGTCACTGATTTCTCCTCCCCACCCTAAATAACTACCCCCAAATAACTACTGAGTAACTGACCTCAAAAGGATTAATTTTATTAGCCTTGATATACTCCAGATCGTTGACTTGCCCGCCATCGAGATACTCCATAGTTAGCACTCGTTTGGTGCTCAACTCTGCGTATAATCGAGGAATCTGAAAAAATTAAAACTAAAACATTCTAAAGTAACATTTACCAAAACACTACAATTTTTATTACAAACTGAAAGCCAAGCAAACTATTTAACGCTTGCTAGACAAGGGGGCATAGGTAACTTACATATGACTAAGAAATTACGCCCCTTCGTCACTTGCCAATAACGATTTACGTTTGATATTTGCTAATCTATTGGCTACAAAAATATCAATTTAATTGTATTTCCTTTATGCATTGACAAACTGGCCATCTGATCACCATGAAACTTAGGAATAACTTTTCTCGTTTTTATTAAGTGATTAGCAACTCTTTTAATGCTGTATTTGCCCGCCCACATGGCCATATGGGACTCAATTGTAGTTCTAGTGTTTGCTGTTTTTTTATCAGATAACTTATCATGAAAGATTTACATTACACGAGCTGTACTTTAGCAAGACAAATTAATGAATGAAATTCGGTGTAGGCTACTTTGTGACAAATCAATTAATTAATTGAATGAAACACGATACATAAAGACAAAATTTCAGGTTCAGTGACGAAAAGGGTTTACCTTTAACCATGGAAAATGGGAGAACATTTGTCTAACTTTCTCCATGTTTTTTGCTTCTTTCCGGAAATCCAACTCGAGTGGAATGTTCTTCTTAGTCTCATCCACCAACCACTGGAACTTGAAGGCAGGGAAGATCCAGGAAACAATTTTTACCAGGATCTACAAGAGTAAAAAAACGTAATTCTAAAAGTAAAAATTTTGAGATTTCGACTCATGGTAAGGACACTGGTTTAATATCCCCTTCAACCACTTCCCCCTCATACGAGTGTTTTAGGGTAAAAACACAACACCGCAATGCAGCTTTGCAAACAAACGTAAAGAAATCATGCGGCTTGGAACTTGACTCACAATGACTTTTGAACTTTGTGTTTGAGCCCTTCTATGTAATATTTTGTAGGGTTTAAGTTGATTAGGGATAGAAATGAATTAGTAAGGGGAAAAGGGGTGCTTGATAAAATCTCATACCAAACACCAACAAACCATGAGTTGGCTCTGCATCTAAGACAATAATAGGCAACGTAAGTATTCAGATATTAAATTTTTTTTGAGGCAAATGTCTAGAAACATTCTGTAAATATCTACTGTTGACCAGTTTAGAGCCAAATGACAATTTGGTTTCTTAGAGTCAAACTGACAAAACTTCCCATGAGAAGGGGATCATTAATCACCTCCATAGTCTTCATATCCACGAGTGAGTTCCCCTTGACGTACGGATGTTGAACCTTGACTGCCACGACTTTGCCATCTCTCATTGTAGCTTTGTGTACCTGGGCAAGTGACGCAGCACCTAACGGCTCCGGATCTATGCTCTCAAACAGCTCTTCTGGCTGAAACAAGACATGACACCAGCTTATTAACGTAACATTTTTTAGCCAGGATTTTCTAACTGCAATGCTAAAATAGCTTATCTTGATCATGTAAGTTGGCCAATTAACTACCTAGAATACAATGTCTCTAAGAATATTTTTTCTCCAATCCTACTTGGTAAGGAGCTGTGCATGTTAAAAATTGGAAAAGGTCGCTGTAGAATTTTGAGTGGAATCTTTTCCAATTTAACATGCTACAGCTTAACGAGTTGGCCTGCACTTAAAAAAAATGACAAAGGGATTAAGTCTTTGGATAAAAATATAATGAAATACCTATAGGGTATTCTATAAGAAATTAAAGTTAGCGATTTTCTGATATGGCCCCCATTTATAACAGTCAAGTCTGGAATTGTATTCCTTAAAAATATTTAGGCTTGGTTTCTTCATTAAGTAACAAACATCTCTTACATCAACGCATTAAATAGAAGTAATTGCATTCTTTAGTTTAATTTACTCTGAGATCAGCCACTCGACTTAGCTCCAAAATACTCAAGTCTGAAATTAAATACCTCAAAAATATTGAGGCTCATTTCCTCCGCTAAACAAACCTTTTTGAAAGCATTACGTTAACTCTGCGAGACCAGCTAGGTACTCAACTTAGCTCCAAAAATACTTCATTCTGGGATTGGATTCCTATAAAATCTATAAGCCTGATTTCCTCGCACAACAAACATCTCTGACATGACCTTCACAATTGAGTGGGATCAGCTGACGGACTAAGCTCAACAAAGTTTTGAATTATATTCCTAAATAATCTTCAGCATTATTTTGTACCACAAATATTGCACAGAGATAATTACATTGACTTTGAGATCCTCCCGTATAACCCTGTAGACCTCTGACAGTGGAGATGTAGGCGCGTGGCTATGTAGCACCTTCATAGTAGTCACATACTCAGGCGGCACCAGATAGTCCAGTGCGCCTATGTGCTGCCCAACCTTGATATAGACACCCTTGTTGGCTCGGCACAAATCCAACAGTTCTTCGGCCGCTTCCTTGTGCACCTGTGACATAAAATAGCAAGTAAGGGTCTAGAATATTGGGAACTGCTAAAGAGACAACGTTGATTAAGCACAAGCTCTAGAAGGGGTTGCTAAAGTAAGCAGATGTTTGAAATGGACAAGTAATGGCGAGATAAAATTTGGATTAGCAGTTGTTTGAAATGGATGTGTAATGACGAGATAAAACTAGGATATACCGTAACAGATAACAGGTATGGAAAGAAAGCAAGGGTGAAAGCAGGAATTGGAAAGCTCCAATGAAAGCCAATGAAGGGGACACAGGATCGGGGGAAGTGGAGCAGTTTAATTATAAAATCAAATTAATTTAACAATATATCCCCCAAAAGTAGGGAGGTAGTCTCCCTACCCCAATTGCCGCAACTGTAAGGTTGAAAGCATCTGGACACACTGTATCTTTCTAGCCTATTGAAAACTTAAGATTGATTAAGGAACAGAATGTTGTAATTTTTTAGTGCCGCTGCCCAACAAAAAGTTTGTAATTATTCCCAAGAACTAATTAGGTTACCTCTTGATATTAAAAATAACAAATAGTGAGCTAATAACAGCTAATGTGAACAAGTATGTTAAAATAATGAAAAATACAGAACAATATACACAGATTGTAATATATCTACGGTACCTTAGATCTTTGTAGAGCATACTCTTCCGATTCGGGATCCAAGCTGCTATTGTATAAATCCAATTTATATTTTAAACCTATCTTGAAGACCTGGAAACAAACATAGGATTTAAATAATTGTGTACAATATTTCTAATTAATACGATATTAAGTTATAGGCCTATCTAGAATACACTTCTAGGCCTACTCAAAACATCAAGAAACAACTAACTTGCTGTTATAATTCTGTTCTAGTTATAACAAAAGTGGTACACAAAAATCCTTGTTTTGCCTTAAGGCTTTATTTGCAAAAGTAGTGAGTTGCCATTCAGACTTAACAATGATCCCAAATAATGATTAAGTTAGGCTCTGGGCTAACTTAGCTCTGATTTCAACGTCACTAGTTGAGAAGTAAAGCTAATAGGTTTATCATCTTAGATTATACTGTATGGTATGTGCCAAAAGGTAGTAAGTACATGACATCAAATTATACTCACTGTAATAGCTGATCGGCCAAGACGAACTACTCCAATTGAGTTTACATCATATTGGTTAGCATGGAGGGACGTTACACCACCAATTAAAACACCTCCTGTGAAACCATACTTCAATACTCGGCGGAGAGGCCACATTTCTGGAATCAGAAATAATTTGTTAGTATTAGGTACGGTATTTAATAGTAGCTTAAAAAAATGGTTATGATCTTTGTTCCTGATTATGAGGGCCGTTAAGTTATGGAAAACAACTATCTACATAAAAACTATTCATTATACAAAATCATGGCACAGGAGGTCAGTATAGAACGGGAGTTGTTTTGTAGGTTAAGCCGTGTTTACACAAAACAAGTTGGCAGGTAGGTTACCTGCCTTCTGTCCATCGGCCTCATGTAAACGTGGCCGCATTTTCATACTACTCTTTTGCTCGTCACATTTGACCCATACAGTGCAAAAAATTCTCAATCAAAAAGCTTAGCTACAGTGAAATACTTTTGAGGTTAAAACTCTTATCAACTCACGCCTCACACTTGGCAATTTTTTGAGACATTTATGAGATGTTGTAAAATCTAAATAAGCCATTGCTCGAACTTTAGACTGCTACTTACAGCTGACCTGTCGCACATTGTATGAGAGAGAATGGCCATATGACCCCAACTAACTTAATTGCCGCACAGTGTGACCAGCTGTTTGCTATGTTACTATTAAAAATTATCAAAATTTTCCAGAGGGTTTCTTTTTAGGGTCACTTGAGTCATTTGTGAACCGACCTGGACATAACCCTAGAGTACGGTACATGTATCGGTAACTAAAAGTAAATTTAAAGATTGCATAAGGATGTTTTAAATTCAAGACAATAGAATAAATAAACAAAAATCTTTTATTAAGTGATTAAAGTACAATAGGCTAAACAAAATCCTACATAGATTAAAAATAACTGAGCTGAAACCATGTTCTGAACTCATAATCTTTTTGAATAAGTTAGGACTATGAATTTTTTGTCCCAATTATACAGAAATGTTTTTGCACATAATTTCTATTCATTTTATGGTTACCTAGGCCTAGTTGCATCATCTTTAGGGCCTACTACCGTACTGATAAATGATAATAATAGTTATTTGATAATAAACTATAGATTCACCTAAACATTAGGTACCTAGCACCTAATTTACCTAACATTTTGGTTTTTTAACCTTACATTCTGTACTAAGATACACTAAACTTCTTCAATTTAATTTGTAATATTTGGTATTACCTGATGCAACGGAGAGGACGGATATTTTCGAATTTTATCGGCACAAAACTTACATAATAAAGGAGTACTTTAGCTTCTTACTTAGGGCTTTGTTGAGAGAGTTTCTTAGAATAATGCTTGTTTGTATTCCTATTTCCTTTCCTTTCAATGATGTATGTGTATTGTGTTTGTGTAGTGGTGACTCAGTTCGGTGACTGGTGAAGGAATCCGTCTGCGAGCGAATTAACCCAGCAGACGACGAGTCAGCTGATTCGCAGAACAGTTACGTCCACAGAGTAGTATTACAAAGACTACTGAATAATTCATTATCATCGTATGATGATTGATGATGATACACATTTCCAATGTATATCATAATGTTAATAGTGGTAAATAGGCTTGATTTTTAAATCTGTGTGTCAAAGTGTGCACTCAGCATACCCCTGAGCTGATACAGTTACGAGGAATTTTCTTATGATAGTGTGGTATTTATATATAGTGTAACCTCCAGGGGCCCATTTCATAATAAACTACAAGTTACAAGTTACAACTTGTAACTTGTAATTTCCATTAGATTTGCATTGGGCGATCAGCTGATTTACTAATAATATTAGTTTGTACTTTATTATGAAATGGGCCCCTGGTCTCTTGAAAATAATTTCCACACATTTACTACTATTTTGTTAACAACTGTATTTATTGCAAAATTCTTATTTAAGGACTAAATAAACCGAAAGAAAGTTAAATTTCTATGCTATGCAAATTTTGTTTTTAGAAGTGTATTTTTAACCTCCAGGTCTCTTGAAAATAATTCCCACACATTTACTACTGTCGACAACTGTATTTATTGAAAAATTCTTATTTAAGAACTAAATGAACAAAAAAGTTAAATTTATATGTTATCCAAATTTTGTTTTAGAAGTGTGTTTTTTACATGAAACCATTAATTATAGGCTACATCTCCCCAATGTATAATGAATTATGAAACTTAACATACATTTTTCATGTATATCATTATTTAATTGTTCCGTTTGGTTTGTTTGGATGTGATATATATATTGAAACCCTTAAAATAACATCAATGGGCAAAAACACCAACTTCACTGTAATTGTGTCACACTATCTTTGAATCGGACATCTCCGAAGTGTGGGAACAGTAACCATTTCGTTCATTACATTTGTCAGTCTAATACCTTTGTACGTCGCGAAACCCTCAGAGTCTACACACATTTTTGCAGTTACTTCATCTAACAATTTTTTCCCCGCTTTCATTGGCTTTATGTAAGGCATTCTTGTGGCAGGGATGAACGGAATGCCAGGAGCAATTATTCTGTCTCCTACTTCACTGTCAATAGGGGGCTCAAGGAGCTCTCTGATTTTTTTATCTTTGTCTCTGGCATAGAGGATGAAAGCTTCTGACTCTAGATACATCACTTTGTAGTTAACATTCATTACTAAAATAACTAATTTCTTTTTCAACTCTTTTTTCTTGTACGATCCTTTGATTTTGCACATCTGCAAGAGATAGAGTTCAACTCAATCACAATTAAAAAAAAAACAAGTTCAAATTTATCAATCTATAACATACTAACAGCATGGTCTTGCCAAGTTATAAAACTGTTCTTTATACTGTATTGAAATTTGAGTTTCTTAGTAAACAGTGTATACAGCTATAAAAAAACACTTATAACAGACCATTCTGCAGAAAAATGTGTACCTATATATACAATTTTAATTTTAGTGTGTACAAAAGAATTGCTTACAGATTTTCTGAACATATATGAAAAATTTAGATTTGAAGCATTACTAATTTACCAGCTAAATTTTTTTGTTGACATAGGCTAATATTTTTAATGAAATTGTATGTCTATATGGAGTAGTTTTACCTTTATTGGCTATGACATCATGTGCAGTTTTAGTAGCCAAATTTAACTTCAAATTGAAAAATTGTTATAAGAGTAAATTTCATAAAAATAGAAAAGCATATTTTTTTTAATAATTTTAAAACAATCTTAATTGTACAATTTTTTTTCGGTATATCTGGAAAATCAGTATCCTGCACTGTTATAAACTGCATTTTTTCAAATATAAACAATTAGATTGCATGTTCCAGAGAACAAATTATAAAAAAAGTCAACTCACAGCAGCTTTTGTGTTTTTGTCATCATAGCGTACATGGTTAACAAAAGTTGTCTCAGCAAGAGGATGTTCCTGGATGTAAACTATCTTCCCAACTCTAATATCCAGCCGACTAAAAGGGTCTGCAAGGTCTTCGGATTTGCCATTGGCATCAGTAAAACTGAGAGGATTTTTCCTTTCTATTGTACTGGTTCTATCTGTATCATCAGTCTCCTTCAAAAACTGCTGAAAAACTGTTGATTAGGTCAAATATTAGAATATGGTACGTATACATTTTTTATTAGCCTTTCACAGATATTGGAATAATAAATCAACTATATCTTCGAAACACTAAAAACATAATTTGAAAACATTTACAAGACCGAAAATATGTAAATATTGTATACATTTATTATGTAACAACTTATTATATTTACCATCTTGTATCGGAAAATGTTGGAAGACATATTCATTGAAAATATTAAATAGTTAGCATTAATCAACTATACTCTATGGACTAGAGGGGAACTATTTAATTAGGTGTTTGTGATTATAATTTGCATAATGACAGAAAAAATATAAAAATATGCTTGCTACAAGTGAAAAAAAGCTTTATTTTTCAACACTTAAAAAAGATATGCAGAAAAAATCAAGGACTAAGATTTTTAAGGCAAATTCATTGAACTAGTGGGCAGTGGCTAGCTTTGTTTGTATAAGAAGCAATTTCATAAGGTGATTTATCGTCAGAAATTCTACACCATAGTATATAATGGTGTTTATTTAACTATAACTATAACACACTATAGAAATAATTACACTATCTACCTTCTGAAGTCATTTTCAATCCAGTATATTGATTGTCGGCACAGTGAGAGACATTTTCACGCTAACATAATATTATGCTTATAGTAAACATCCGAGTGTTTGGTTGATTCTAAACATTTCAACAATACTTTTAGTTTACCATTACTGAACCCTACATTGAATTCTGAAAACTGAGTCAATCAATTTATCATTCTGAAATGATATGTATTCTTTAACAAGTTTATCAACAGATAAAAATTATCTGACTTGATTGTATACAAAACATTCTTCCAGATGGGTGTTTCAAATGATGAGTGACACAGCATTGATTTTTTCAGAGTTATTAAAAAAAATTTTAGTAATAAAGTAAGTACCAGTTTATATGTAAATCTTCTAAACTTACTAATGTCAACTTATCCTATGACTTACTCTTACCCCATCTACATTAATTACTTTGCATAGCTTAAAGTGCAGAAAGTTTGAGGGAACAAATAAAAACATTGGTCATCATGAAGTAAAAATTTAATAACAAAACTCACAAAACAGTACAAACAGAGAATAGTTTGGTGGGTTACAAAACAGCTATCAACTGTTTTATAAAAGTTAGTGTAGCAAAACTTAAATTTTCAAACTAAACTTATTATTAAATAAATAGTTCAAAAAATAATAATGCATATAATAAAATAGCAATTACATGGTTTAATTTTTTGTTTTGTGTAATAAAATAGAGTATAAAAGTGGAAAACCTAAAAAGTGAAGTTTTTAAAAAGTGGTCAAAAAAATTACAACTTATTCTTAACAAAATTTAAATATTTAAGTAAGTACCAAAGACTCCTTATTCAAACTTTTTTTTAAAATCTGGAATGATTATTTTGTATTGAAAGATTTTCTTATGGCTTTTTATACTTATAGCAAAGTACTAAAAGAAAAGTATATATATTTTACACTTATTGGTTGAAATTCAAAAACAATATTTTAATTTATACCAAATAAAAGATTTTTACTAAATTATACATCAAATTACTGATTGAGTAAAACAATACTAAGCTGACTATATTTTAAATTATATTTAAAAAGGGTAAACTCTAAAAATTAAATCTAAAACTCAGGACTTTGTTTCCTTGGAATTTTAGATTTCGGAAGAGATTTACTGGTAAAAGTGGCTTTTTTGTCCTTGGACGCTAGACACGAGCCCAGAACTGTTTTTCACATTACTTCATGGTAGACCTAGGGGTTGCGGCATTATCACATGGATAAAATCCATTGGTGATTTGGCGGGATTTGAACCCGGGACCTCTGCAACCGAAGTCCCACGCTCTAACCACTAGACCAGCTCGCTCCAAAAAAATAGTGGCTTTGGAAATAAAAAAACAAATTAATTTACATTGTTGTTTTCTTTAAAGTTTTTAAATCCCGTTGTATATTTTTAACGCTGCACATTCTATTAATATTATTATTATATTAATATTAAATTTATATTTCTCATTGCAGAACAATATAAAAAATAACTAACAGGGTATTGTAATATCAGATTCTCAGCTACAAAAGCTAGAGCCATTGCAATTTAATTTTTCCGGTTGTTTAATTTCTGTTAAAAAAATTAATCCTATGATTAATTTAGTGACCAAGTGTATATGGGTGTTTCACAGAGAAATATATGTCCATTTTAATATTTTTACCCTCTTTTTGTTATATTTGGTAATGCTGACTTAATAAAAGTTGGTCTAAAAATGTTATCTGTATTAACACATTGCATACAGGCAACAGACTTGACACTCATTTTAGTCAATGAGCCAGAGACACAAACAATTGACACAATTTCTTTACTTTTTTGCATTGAATTGACACAGTTGACAGCTGTATTTTGTGGCAAAAATATGTAACCATGAAAAATAAAAATATAAAATCAACATTTATTTGTTTATATTTTTTGGTCCCTGGCTCAAAGTCTTTATTGTTTCAGTTAGGAGAAATAATGTTTAAACATTCAAATATAATTAATTCTTAACATCACTTAAACTATTTAAAAGGCACAGGGAATTACAGGGAATTGAAGTGATAAATCATTCATATCAGTAACAATTAAAAAGAAAAATTGTACTTAATAACATTTTTGTATCATTAGTTTATAATTACTTATACTGTATTGCCATTATATAAATCTTGAAATAATTTGTCTATTAATTTGAGCAATAATTAGAATAAAATCATAATTGTTAAGTGTGGACTATAAAACGTATTCATTTACAGTTAAAGTTTAATATTTTCAAAATACAAAATGGGGAAGTACTGGAATCATTTATCTATGTTACGTGATTTTAAGTTGATAATAAAACAGGAACATTGTGACAGAATAAAACATTTTGCTATAGAGAAAATACAATACCGGTATCATTTCCTAGATCTTAAGTAAAAGAGGAAATTAATCAATAGTAAGCTAATCATGCATTTAAATAAAATATAGAATACTGAAAAAACATATTTACCTTCACTCAATGTAATTTTAACATTAAAAAACACAACACATTTCTGATAAGTTTTATCTGTAAATTTTACAAAATACTCTATTTTATATTTAAGCCCCAAACATAAAAACACTGTATAACTTAACAAAAGCCACAGAGAAGTTAATGACAGAGGAAACACTAAATTGTACACTTATGTGGTGTCTAGCACTAGTCACTGGTGTCTAGCACTAGTCACTGGTGTCTCTAACATGATTCATTTCTCCTAACCCTCCTCACACTATTTTCCAAGTTAAACATCTGCACGATAGTCCGCACACTGCAAACCGGTTGGGACTCTTCTTTGTTGATATTAGAAAACGTACAATAGCCCCATAAGCTATAGTTTTCTTTGTAACTTATTTCTGTATGCAAATGGTTAACTCTTGAATGCATTTATGTGAGCATAACTCAATAAAAACGCATAAAAACTGTATAATATACATGGTGCTATCTGGGGCTTGAAGGATTAAAGTTAATCTCAAATGTATTCTAAACCCGTGGCATGGTTAAAACTATTATTGCTTGATTTCTAAATCCTGAAGTCTATTGGTATTTTAGACGTGCACAAAATACTAAATTGTACTACTGTACTGTGTTTTGATTTGAAGATACTAAGTCAGAAAAAATTACAAACATTCAAGAATGCACTTTCAATATCAAGCGATCTTGAGCTAAAAGAAAAAACAATGCTAAACTTTGGCTTAGAGGTAATTTAACTACCAAGGGACTAAATAACAATTTTCTATTGTTACGATGACTTTTTTGCTTATTTCTGAAAGAATTGTCTTAATTCTTGCTACATTAAATAAAGCAAGACTGTATTATTTCCACTGTTAAAATTGATCTCTCATTGCAAATAAATTAACTACTGAGCAAAAAAATTTATATAATATGGCTAAAAATGAATTGAGGTAACAACAATAAGAACAAAGAATAGGATGAAATCCTTTTACGGTGGAATGATTGAGGACTAGATCAAAAGTTGAAAAATGGTTCAATGAAAGTTGATGCAATGGTCCTGAATCTCTAAAGAATCAAATATAGGGTGAAAAAAGTCCTAAGACAGTAAGTTTAAAAAAACTCTTTTAAATATTATATTTCAAAAAATAAGATAGAGCTACAAAACTTGGTACGCAGTTACTGGGCATTAAAATCATCTCAACACATTATTCAGGGATACACAACTTCCTCAGGGTGATAGGGTGATTCTAGGAGTCAGAAGAAAATCTTAAATGTAAGCATAGGTTGATTACAAAGTTTTGTAGCTCTACTTCGATTATTGTTTTAAATACTTTACTGTCTCGGAACTTTTTTCCACCCTGTATAAGTCACAAATGGCTAGCTGTTAGAATTTCAACATTATCAATTGAATTAGGGACGCCATCTAGGTGCATATTTAACCCAAACATAATTAAAGGATGAATGTAGAATGAAAGATCTGTGTAGCTTTATTACTGACTCAGATCAGCTGTTTCATTAGCCATGATCTTTTGTCCAATGATCAGGAACAGCTGGGTCTATCTTTCCAACCATCAAGAAGTTTCTCAGGACTGATCCGGCAACTTTTTGATTGTTTGGCGAGCACTATAACTTGCTACCCAGCCAGTCAATTTGATCGTTTTAACTGGTCCGTAAAAGTAATACCAAAGAATAGAAGAAATCTAAATCACTGTTTTGACTCCAAACGAGATCGTTCTGGACCCAGATTCCATTTGTCATTTTGTTATTGCGCTATCAATAATGAAAATTTTTGGGGTAAGATAGTCACAAGACCAGGGTGTAGACCGTTCCCTTACAAATACCGTAAAAAATTACAAAGGTGTAGATATACACAAAATATCAACTTAACTGATACAATACTGATATTATTTTCGAAACAATTAAATAATTAGGACAGTGTAAAATATTAAGAGATCTCTGGTTCGTTAGTTTTTTACCTAGTAACAATTAAAGATATTAAATAGGAACTCGATCAAAAACATGATCCTTTTTTGGAAAAACATCCTTCATACTGCAAATGCAAACATATGGCAACATGGAGTTTATTATAAGTTGAACTATAAACAAAGAGACTTGGTTAATCAAACCAAAATAACAAACTTCTACACTAATTAGAGATTCGTAATACCATAGATTAAACAAACTTCCACATAGATTTCTCATCCTTATACGTTAACTGAGCCAAGTGTGTGATTTGAAGTCTAAAAACACCAGGGATTCCTAACGTAAACCACTATTTGACTACTATTTAACTAATTGAGGCAGAACGAAAAATTCCCTAAACAATTTATTATTCTGTAACATGTGTAACATTTTGATTTGACCAATATACATTGTAAACAGCCATAGCCTACTTTTTCCTAAAGAAGAACTCTGGTGTCACTAGAGATCAAATAGACACATAACCTAGCTTCAGACGTTACAATAGTGAGGGTACGTCTACGTTTGAAATCTATAGTCAACGATAATACTTAACAGTCTACATTATTAAAAACACATGTAAAAATAAAATATACTTAATACTATTCATAAATAAAAGGCACTAACTATCTACAGATTTCTTTATCGTTTGTATTGATATGTAGAAGGGCGTTGAATTCCGTTGATTCGGGAACTTCTTCAGTCTTATTCTTTGAGTCGTCTTTTTGGTTTTCTACAACACGGAAACACAGTAAAAATCTCTGAGACAGTAATGTTTAATTTTTATGGTAATAAAACTAACACTGTTTGTGTCCAAAATGTCTAGATACAAAAGCAAAAGCAATGCTAAGAAGTACAGTTTACCAGTTTTAATTAAGTGAAAACTGTAGCCTAGAAAAACGAAATCAAATAACAAATGTATAAGAAACTTCTTTTGCAGAGCTAAATTCAAGGTGTTAAGCCATTGAAGTCAAGTTGTAATAATGATAATAATTTTGATGTTAATAATTATTCAATTAATTTAAAACTCTAGTTCCTTTAAAAATAAAAAAATACTTTAAACGTTCAAGTAGTTTTTGTATGACTGAATGGCCATTGACCAACTAAAAAAATATCAGCGCAAGCAAAGCTATGGGATGAAAGCGTGATATAAGATTACACGAAAACTTAAGGCGTCTCTATTTCCTCTCTGTATATTTTAGAGCCAAGTTACCTATAATGAGAAGAAAAAAACTCTTCCTAAATGCTTGGAGTTAGTCAACTAATCCTAAGTCCATTAAACAAGGTATTTTTATAAAATTCAACATTTATCAACAATAATTCAATGCTGTTGCGGCTGTGCTTGACAGAAAAAAAACACTTATAAAAATACTTAAAATTTGATAATTTAGCAGACCAACGCTCCTTTCACAGTATACGGTTTTGCCTTCCGGTTAAAAAACGTACGGATAATTTTTTTAGAAAAAGAGGATAAGAGCTTTCACACTACACAGTTACAGTGACAACAGAAAACCGTGTCATCTTGCGGCTGTCTACTACCACTGGACTGGAGGGTTATGACGCCATGGCCGTGCCTCAGTGGCACCCATAGTTAAATGCAAGGTTTCACATTGCACGGTGTTTGTCAAATAGAACCCACCAGCTAGAGAAAATAGATCAGCTGTTGCAATATTTGTTGTTTAAAATCTGGCATGTCAATTGTACACTGTTTTCGTGACATCGTAAATACATTAATCTCGCCGTATGTTCAGAAACCATTTAATGTGAAAGAAACATAGACATAAGATCTGCGGTTTTCAACCAGACGTAAAATCCGTATAGTGTGAAAGGAGCGTAATAAATATCTGGTAACTTGATAAAGGCTTTGGCCTGAATCTAAAATTCTCTAGGGTGGAGCCCTCTGCAGGTTTTGAATTTATTCACAAGGTCTCTCTACAAGCAGTGAACAGTGCAAACATTTTTCAACGGTACAAATACTTTTACACAATTGCCTATTTATTTCGGATCTACATTTATCCGTTACAATTTACATCATGCATGTTTTTTTACCTAACACAAAAATTATAAACTCACGATTTCACCAAGAAGTAAATATTCTAAGAAAGCAGTGAAAAATTGGCAGAGAATACTTTTAAAACCAGTAACCAAAATGATGGAAAACAGAAAACGGAAAACCAATTAAAAAGAAATCAAACTATTATATTATAATGGGTTGAATAAAGATATTCTGGATAATTAAGGCGCAAACAGCAAACATGACCATAAAATCATCACACCTAAAACTAAAGCATGAACATGCAAAGGATGAAATCGAACACAAAGGCAATAAACAATAAAACATTTATTTGTTTATGTACAGTATTTACAAAAATATGCAATTATTTCTTAAAAACTAGTTATTATAAATAAATTAGCTTACAAGAATATTACACAACAGTTTGGATGTGACAGAAATATACTAGAAAACACAGAATGCAAGAGTAGGGTGATTTAGCTAAGAGTAGCTAAAATCTGATTCAAGGAAGAATTTGGTTGAAAGAAAAGAGTTTTTAGATTATGACAGAAAAAGAAAGATGTCATAGAAAAGAATTTAATACTGAAAGGAAAAAATCCACAGAATGTGGAAGAGCTTAACCTAGCTAGATGAGGATGGTAGAAAATTATCAGCACACCCGATAATCCAGTTTGATTTTTTAAAATCATTTTCAAATATTGCTTTAACATCATAATTTGGACATAATTTGATTTACCCTCATCATAAAATACCCCCACCACCGCAAATCTACAGACTAATCGAATTTTAATTTATGTCTGATTGTATTTTCACTCAAATATCTCCTTAAAAATGTCAGATTCATTTAACATCAGCTTTACGAGTACTTAGGTTTGCTGCAACAGCAAAAATAATAAAGTAGTTTTTTTTAGTAAAATGATAATAGTTTAGTATAAAATAAATTATTTTTAAGGATTTTATCAAAATATGTTCATAAACAAGCAAACTTCAACAGTTCACTTATGTTCCTTACAAATAACAAAAGAATTTTATATTAAGTTTTTTTATTTCCTCACTAGCCGTTAGGCGCAAAATAATGCTCCAATGGTTAAATTATTTTGTTGAGCTCTAAAAAATTGTTTGGATAGAAATTGGAAAATTCTATGTTGAGGGTCAAAAATGAGAAAAACCAATTTTTACCAAATAAATATAGGTTTTACACGTTTGTGCCATATTTCATTGAAATCAGATCAGTATTGCTTGATTTATCGTGCTAACAGACACCTACATATATGGATTTCAAAAGATGGTGTTTTGGCTTCTGGAGACATCAAAACAAAAAAGTAAATCGGTCTTGGGTCTAGGTCTTACCATCCGACCTACGGTAAATAGCTACATCCCCATAGGGAAATTCACTAAAAGGGGCAAATGTTCAAATCATTAAAAAACAAAAGCACAAAATAAATTTCAGTAAAGTAACAGAAACTACAGCATTTGTGCAAGAAGTGCGAAAAAGAAGCTTGAGTGAAAGAAGTGCGAGAAAAGAGAGAAGCATCATGAACGCAAGCTTGTGCAAGATCCAAGCAAGGGTTGGCGATCTGTCTTACCCTCGGGCGAACGTCGCTGGTTGGGGACGTAGTGAACCAGACACAAGACAAACGCACACACTATCGGTGGGACTCCTGCGAGCAGGAAGGGGGTTGTGTACGACTTGGTCTGGTCGTAGATCCATCCTGTGAAAATAACATTTGTAAATTTGTACATCAGAAAAATTAAGAGTAATAAATACAAAAAGGTATTTATTTAATGAGATTTTAGGTTAAAAATTACGTATTAGGAGCGTTAGTCTGCGTTTAAGGAGCATTAGTCTGCGTTTAAGGAGCGTTAGTCTGCTAAATTATCAAATTTCAAGTAAAGTAAGCCCTTAAAAAGGGTTAATGTCAAAAACCTCTCCTATTATACTTAAGTAATTGGATATGATATAAAATAGAGATTGATTGTATAGTTTTGGTTTAAAATAAGTAGTGAGAGGACAACAAGTTGGCTTGGTAGAAAATTGGCATATTTGACAGTAATTGGTAACTAACATCAGCATACTCTGACGGTGGCTTAATTTAACTACAAGGAAAGGCTCTAGGCTAGGATTTTTAATCGTATAATAAAGATGATAGCAGTTAGCTTACCTTGAGGAAGTACAGGTAGGCAAAAGAAAATACAGAAGACACAGTCTAGATCTCTTTTACTTTCTCTACACTAGACAAAGTTCCCCAGGGGACTAAATATTGTGTGTTCTGTATGTCTTCTCCTTCTGGTACTCTATGACCTACCTGTACTTCTTCAAAGAAAGCTGGCTGATATCATCTTTATTTTACAGTTCAATTTAACTACATCCATTGCTATGCTAAAACTGTCTACATCTTCACCATAGCAATGGAATGTTTTCTTCAATTGGCTCTGAGACTACCACTGGAAACTATCAAAACAAGACTAAAGAGGCTTACCCGCGATGGGAGGGCCGATGGTGAGAGGGATACTGCAGAACCCTAGCAGAAAGCCGATGGCCTGACCTGCGCCTTCCTGACCAACCAGGTCAAAGGCTATCGGTCCCAGCAGGCTGATGAAGCAGCCATCAAACAGACCCATGCCTAGGGCAATCAGCTGAAGCAGCAGGAAACTGGGCGTTACCGTCATCAGCATGGTCAACACACCGATGGACAGGAACGATATCTGACAAGAATAGCACATTATGTGAAAATACAGAAAAATTTATAATAATCAGGGTTTACCAGTGTTATCAGAACCAGCACCCATATTGGGCACTTGAACAAGATGGGAATTCCAGTTAAGAGACTTTTATAGGAGATGATGGAAGGTAAAAGAATCAGCCTTCTTGTTGTTTGAAATGCCATCCTGTTGAGGTTTTAAGCTGCAGTATTAGAAAGTTGGGTGTCTACATCATCATCAAAAGAATCTATCAGGTAAGGACTATCAGTTTCTACAGAAAATTACCATATCTTGTCAAGATTTGTCGATTTCATGATCTTACCTGTTGTAAAAATACCCTGTTGACTCTACGGTTGTCAGCGATTCGTCCAAAAACAAGTCTTCCTGTTCCGGAAGCAATACCAATGCAGAAAACCAATGATTTTCCATCTCCACTTGGAAATCTGTCATCGACAAATTTCACCTGTGGACAGGAAAATAAAATGTTTGTTTTAATCAATATAAAGCTTGAGCATCAGTCAACTAAAATATATACCTTGACGTTCATTACTTTATAGTGCATTGACATAGTAACAGTGATAGTACATACCATGTGGACGTAGGGTACGAAGTAGCCGAAGAGAGCGACGGGGATAGCGAGCGCCCAAATGACATACTTTCGCTGCAGCCAGATGTCTGTGTTGAGTAAAGATTTCAGCTGACTTTCCCTCGCCTCAGCTGGCTTGTGGTTCAGAGGCTTGTAGAGCAGCGCACTGCCCATGATCACACACATCAGCAGCGCCAGTACCCTGCGGACAGAGTAGAATGGACTAGACGGTAAGCTGCTTTAGTGAAAGTAGAGTCACAAATTTTGATCTTTGAGAGGTGAAATCGTCATTGAACTGGTAAAAGTACTAGAAGACATTTTAGATGCACTGCAGGTATATTGAGGCAAGCAACAAATCAACTGATTCATCTGAAGATGTTTTGCTGCTAGAAATTCAAATGTCAGTATGTTTGCCCCCAAAGGGATTTGACAAAGTAGAATCGAGATACAATTTGTCATTCACGAGAAGGTAAGCACTAAACAGTAATGAAGAGCATCAGGAAAAATATTCACAAACTTGTCGAAGGCAAGCAAACTAGTTTAGTGAGTATTACATTCGATTATCGACATCGGCACTTTCACAATCGATTCTTTATAGCAATGTCCCAGAATCTGTGGTAACAAGAATCACCAAAAAGAATCGACACATCCTGAGTTTTTACCATTTTTAATTAGGCCTAATAGATTTGTAATTCACGTCTTTCTTATTTATTTTCTCTAGTTACCGTAATTACACCTCTACTCTCTACTCTCTCTTTTAGGCAATATATCTAGAGAAAATTAATTTCCATTCACTCTACAGAACTCAAGACAAATACTGTATGTAAAAGAGGAAATTACGTTAAATAACCTGTGAGAAAACAGTTTGATTTAGGAAAAATAGTATTTGTCATACAATAAATAGATCAGTGACCAAATATTTGACAGATAACACTGGTGATAAGTTATTGTGGTTTTAATACGAAATTGATATTTAATCTGTTCTTTATCATCTTAAATTTGAGATTTAATGGTGTTTTATTTATGAAGCCAGGAATTCAATATTCACTTATTAATGTTCATACTTTTTATACATTTTCCTTCATCTTATCAACATTAAAATTAAAATTAAAAATGAATTGCTACACAAGATATTTTGTGGACACACACACACACTACGGATAAGCAAATAGTAGCAGAGTTCCTGATTTGAGGTGCAACTCAAAATTTTAATCTATTAAATTTATCTTTCATACGTTGTTTTCCTTCTGGTATTAGGACTTAAGGGTTAAACCGAATACAGACCAAATTTCTCTAAAGTTGCCTTTTTAAAGGGGACCTAAGAAGAAAGCCTGACCTAACACTACTGGAACACAAAAGATTATTAAGCTTATAATACTACTTCTTACTTTTCTAATTACCTTTAAGATGAACACCCAATAAGGCTTCTTCAATTACCTGAGACATACGTCGAGTCCACAGCGTTTCAGCAGCATATCTATCAGATACGGCATAACCATGGTGAAGACGGAGCTACCAGCAGTGACAAACCCGTTGACCAACCCCATGTAGCGGTGGAAGTAGTGCCCTAGAATCACCAGGGACGGGGTGTACGCAAGAGACGCCCCTACTCCAAACACTACACCATAGGTGACGTATAGTAGGTACACCTAGACATAGATCAAAATACACAGGTTAGAGCAAATTATACTAACACAGAACCAGCTGAAAGGCCCAACGCAAGATGATTCAACAAAAGGGATCAGAAGTTGGGGCTTAACGAGGGGGATGCAGGGGTGCCCAGTGGGGAGGGACAGCGGTGCACTTGTGCCACTGGGATTTTTGGATGATTATATTTTACCTATTTCCATTGATACTATAAAGCGAGAGATGCTCTTAGTTTTGCCGTGATCGCGGTATATGATAATGATATCTTTTTGACCACAGGGGATTGTCAAGGAATCGCCACCACGGGAAGCGATGATGATGATGTTTTCCTGACTGCAGGTGAATGTCAAGATATTGCCACTACCATAAGAGACAATGATGTTGTCTTTGGATGTTGCTGATCCATGGAGCGAGAGACGCTCTTGATTTTGCTGTTGGGATATGATGATGATACGAAGGCTGTCAGTAAATTATGGTCTCCACCAAGCTCCCGTTGCAATCAATCAAGCTAGTTTGAATCTAAGACCTACTCAACGTTCTTTACTTTATTCACTACCATTCTAGCTGGTTGCCAAACTATGTGACGATTAGTCCGTCATTAAAAAAAAGTTGATGTGAAAGGAAATTGACGCTCCTGCTTATTCCCTATTTGAATAAAATTAGATGTAATCAGTACCAAATTTGCTTTTATATTAATAAATTAATTAGCGGAATTTGATCACAATATACCTATTTACAATTTCCAAAAATTTAGAAAAGAAAAAGTAAATTAGTCCCGGGCTACCTACAATAATAGCTTCTTCCCTATAGGAAAAATACACTAAAAAAGAAATCCATACAAACTTACATCCACGTTCAGAGCATATAACATCAACTTAATGTGTATTTAAGTTATACAATGTCGGGAAAAGCAATTAGTTGTTTTTATGATTTTAAAAGTCAGCAATAAAACATAGAAATTTGTTAAATTGTATGAGATATACATAAACGAGCAATTAATAGCAGCAATGAATTTGTTCTCTGTCAGTATGTTAGATACTTTTAATGTTTCAGAAACCTATTAAATATTTAAATGTAGGAAAATGTGAAACAATCTCTAATATTTTCAGGAGAATTAGGCAAAAAAGAAAAAAATAATTCTACTAAAATAAATTAAATTTTGGTTTCATGTCAGTTCTAAATTTCAATGAAATCTTAATTTTTGGGAGTGTTAGTGCCTACATATCTTACAGAGACAAATGCACATATAATAAATTTTAATGAGTGTTTTTTGGGTAAATACATTGGTCTCAAGACTTAGGTCTTGCTACGAGGACCAAGCTAATAGCCCTCCCTGTTTTATTAGAACCATTCACAAGCGTCTATGCAGCCAGCGCAACTCCGAGAATCGTGGATCAGAACACCCCCCACCACCGCACCATATCGTATGCTTCCGAATCATACCGGCGCATCAGCATAACCTAACTGTTCGCGGAAAATTGTTATCTCTATCACTGTTGCTGTCAAAACGTATCGTTTGTAGGTTAAATTTAAATTAAATATAATTAAACTGTCATAACCTAACCAAACTTGCTGATAATGAAAAACTTGAATGAAGGTTTACTAATCGAAAAAATAGTTCTGTTCTAAAAATAAAATTATAAATATCTCAAATTCAATTTTATAATTTTTTAATTATAAAATTAAACTGTCATAACCTAACCAAACCAACCAAACTTGTTGATTTGAAAAAATTGTTGACAAAAAGTTAGTGCCACCAGCGGAATTCGAACCCGGCACCTTCAGATTATCAGCCCGACACGCTAACCACTACACCACCAAGGCTCATAACTCAACTCCGTATTGTTTCGGTAATGGTTGACGTCACGCTATCGGCACGGAGCGGTGGTGGGGGGTTTTCCGATCTGATCCACGATCCTCAGAGTTGCACTGGCTGCCTAGACGTTTATGAAGCATTTAAGTTAGTATACGCGTACATTTATACTGTTAAGAGGTAAGAAAGGAAGCCATAGTAACAGTTTAAAAGTAAGTTTCTTTATATCAATATAAAACCTATGATTTATATTAAACTACCATGGAAACAACTTAAACCAGTTGAAATTTAAAACTTTAGACAAGAAGATGTACCCCGTGAGTCTAGATTAAAATTTTGTATGGTTATACTAACTATAAGAATAGTTAAGGTGTAGCATTAAAGTAGGCCTATTTCACATTGTAAATAATTATGTCCCGAGTTAAAAAAGAATCTTTTAATACTGACACCATCCACCAAGGAAGGACATGACAGTACTTCCCTGTGCTTAGCCTTAAATGCTTGGATTACTCAAGCACTCAAGGTCATTATTGGTTTGGTAAGCTAAACGTGGCAAGTGGGTGAGAGACCATTGGACTTGTCACTCAAAACTGTTGTTGTACAGGTAGATGTCGCTGAACCATCAAGATAAGAAGAGATTACCAGAGCAATACTCTTCACTTCTGCAAACCAACCATTATTTAGGCCCTCCTTTAAAGTTTCAATAGAAAATCTAAAAAAAATTATATTATAAATAACTTTCTCATTCTTGACAAATCAAATTTAAAATTACAATACTTAACATAACTATCATGGTATTTTTTACATTATATAATATATACAAAACCATGCATTTTAAAAAACTAAACTGTACTAAGCCACGAAATGTCATATTAACTTTCAAGTAATGTATTTTTTATGATATTTTGTCTGTAAAAACCAAGTTTTTAATTTATTGTTCATAACTTTTTAATTAGAACTATTGAAAGTTTTGATACACTGAAAATTACACAACAAAACTTTGCAATTCCGTGAGATGAATGATTATTTCAAGTGGCAGAGTACTCCTCAGTCACCCCATAATTTGGCCCGAATTCTAAATTTGTCAGGGTACCTTAGGAGGCTTTTAGACGTGAAACCACTAAACATCGGGTAGGCAATGTATCAAGGACTGCGTCCTTTCTTTGGATTACGCTTCAAAATCTATGGTAGCCAGGTGCTGTTGATCAGTGGGGTGTTTGTTGTTGCATTGACTAGTGTCGTAATATCCTCGCTGGAGTGGCGCCCGGCTTGAGGAAGGCCCAATGTCGGCAAACATTCTCTGATAACACTGAATTTCGGAGTCTGAATGACTCAGTCCCTCAGATGGTAGAGGTTTCTATATACAGGGGGCCACTGAGCGCTGCAGTGGTGGGTGTGTAGGCTGTCTTGGGTTCTGCCCAGATTGTCTGCACATCGCTTCTACTGTTTGATCCCTCTAGGGTGCAGATATAAAAACCTATGAAATACTCCCTCAAAACTCCCTGATACAGTAGAAATGATAGGCTCCCAAAGTTTAGAGTAGATCTGCGAGAACTTCTCTTCTAGTGCCCCTTGACTCCGACTCTAGGGTCGTGAATAGCATACAGGGATTTCTCCATCAACTTGGAAGACTGGATTGGAAGAAAGAAATACTGAACTTCTGAACAGCTCCCTTAACTCCTACAGAAGAACAACAGATGAAAATGAGACACTTCCAAGATCCTAGAGTTTGCTACGTCAAAAGTGAAAACCAGGTCCACAGCAAAGCCAAGTTCAAACACTTGAAAATCACTGGATTGGAAATAAGAAAGTCTACGTAGAAAACCAAAGTCCGAAGAAGACCCTGAAACCTTGGATCTAGACAAAAAGGTAATTTTCTCAATAAATAGATATTGAATATAGTTCGTTGTTTAAAAGATAAGTTAGTCGTATACTTTAATTTTATTGTTGGGTAGTCTGAAAATATCCATCTCTCACCCACTGCCAAGCATAATACCTTTCTATTAATAAACGTTTAGTTTACCAAAACCAATCTACATAATAAAAAATATATTTTGTTACAAATTATGTACTAAATATTGTTTAGATGTTGGTGTCTAAGGTGATTAAATTACATAACCTCAAGCTGTATAGTAGCTAAGTAGTCTGTTGTAGTTTAAGCATTGATAACGAACTAGTAATTATGACCAGAAACAATGGGTGCGGGTGTGTTTAGGAAAAGTTGAGTATGCACAACTAGCAAGCTCAAATCTAAGCACCCACAGGCTTATGTGTAATGCACTGGTCTCACAACCTTCAACCTATATATTACTGACTTATTGAAAACTTTATTTTTCTACATTTAAATTTGTATAATGAAGTTAGGTTGGTTTAGTATTAAAAATTATAAGAATAGACATCAAAAAGCAATTCACACTTTCTTCCCCACCTCACGATGCCAATTAAATTGTTTTCTCCGTAAAATTTTCACTTAAAGACTTTAGTTCACACAGCTACAGTATTAGTCTATATACTATAATATGAGTAACGTTTGCACACAATGATTTCAAAAACGGCCTGATTTCCTCTAAATTGTTACAACTTAATTAATCGTAGCAAAACTGAAAATATTTGTAGGCTTAAAGGATTTATTTTTTAACCTCTTGAACAAATCAAACACCTCAAGCAATGTTTGGTCCCCTGGTACTATACTATAATTTATTGAGGAATAATTGCCTGCCTACTGTTTTTTTTTTCACCAAAGTGATTCAATTTGTATTATCTCTATTTTCATATAAAGGCAAGGCATTCAAGAAAATAAAGAAAATTTTAGAGCATACAATAGCAACGAATCAAACAAATGATTAATCAAGGAATCCATTTAACTGGGCCAACTCGATTATCAATTAACCCTCGGTCTGAATCAACCAATCAGACTACAATTAAACCATATGTTAAATTGGTTAATGAATGTCGCATTCTTCAAAGATGTAGTTGGAGTCTTTACATCCAAAACCTTTGAAACTAAAAGTTCTAAACTGATCGCTATTATTTTTAACTAATATTTATCTAAATAGTTTATTTGTCATATCATGTCATAGACATTGTTAAAGACGCAGCTTGTTTACAAATTTTTTCAAGAGTTGTCAAGATTGTTAAATGCTTTAACTGAGATAAAATCAAGTTTAATCTCTTCATTGTTTCAGTGAAAATTGTGTGCTAAATTTCACTAATTCTACCAATTTGGTTCAATGTGAGTTTTTCAATGAAAATCCTAACAGGGCGGTATTTTTTATAAATATGATATAACAACTATGCACAAATAATGTATTTTAAGAAAAATGTATGTCTGTTATTTTTCCTTTTATGCATCACCAAATCATCCAATCTACTAATTTAAATCTTTATAACAGTATTCTAAATATGCTTAGGAAGGTATTTCTTATCCCTGAACTTAAAATCCCTTACGACTCTGTCCAAAGGGCTCTAAAAGTTAATGTGTAAAGCTTATGAGCATTATTTTATTGATTGTTTTATAGGGGAACAGTCAAATTATACAATGTTAAAGCTGTGTTTACACCAGAGTTTACAAGAATGTTTGGAACCTGAACTGATGTGTTTGTCAACGAATGTTGGGTTAAAAAAAGTGCTGTAAACAAATAAACTAACAACTTCTAGTGAAAAAAATGTGTTTTAAAAAGTTTATAAACTAGCGTTCTTTGGTTTGTTGTAGACTTTAGAAAAAAATAGAACTAAGCTGTAAAGCTTCTATTGTAAGGTAATGCCATTAATTGTACAATTCAATAATTTAGCTGGCAATACTGTTTATGCAGCAGCTTGAAAGGAACGCTTTTTAATTAACTTAATCTAATGCAAAGCATGGTTAAATTACTAATAATTTATTATTATACAAGGTATAATGTTACCTAGATCTGCCAGAGTAGTCCAATGATTGTCTTGTTGATCAGAGGTCGTCAAATAAATAATATTTATTTGTAGACCTCTGATGAGTGAAACGTGTTCTTGAAGACCTGATGATGAAGCCAATAATGTTTCAAAACGCGTAGTCAACAAGACAACCATTGGATTACTCTGGCAGGTCCAGGTAACATTATATCTTTTATAATCTTAACAACAGTAATCCCGAGACAAGAAACAACATGAAGTAATCATTTATACTAAATAATTGGTAGACATAACCCCCGCCCGATCACGTCGTGTCCCGTTACTGTTATAGTATTACCCTTTGTTTTTAACCCTAAATGTTTGTTTTTATGTTCATGTACGTGTGCGTGTTAAATGTATTTATTTATTATGAATTGACGACCTTCGAATGAAGCAAGAAGACATCTGTACTGGCCCGACGATGACTCCTTTGTGAGTCGAAACCGGTTGCAATTTAGCAACAAATTGATCACATAAATGCAGGTTTTTATACCAATTATTTAGTATTTAAATGTGATCAGGAGGCTAAAATTCAATATAATGATAATCATTTATGTAACTAACAACACAAATCAAAACCCACAACAATTTCCCAATACAGCAACAACATAACTTACACTGTGCGTACAGAATGATGATAAAAACATCCCCCCAGTAGCCAGCAATCCTCCGATGAACGTCGTCAAACGAATCCCGATCTTGTCTGTTAGAATTCCAGCGATCGGTGACAGGAAAAAAGTTGTTCCAATCGTTAGAGAGCCAACAAGTGCTGAAAAAAATATGAAGAAATGTATAAATGTATAATCTCTGCAAACTACACCACTGGAGGGGTCTTGTCTGTCTGGTCAGGGTGTTTAGGAAACAGGACTTCGGTATAATAAGCACAAGTCCAAAAGTTGCTGTCATAAATTACAAAAAAATGAACCAATTAAAAAAAAAACCTAAATACTTTAGTAAACACAGAGATGAGGATTAGATAGGATTCACTGTTTTTCATGCATATGATAACCTCCACTTGCTTAACTTCTGAAGCGTTATACCAACAAAGGTATGTTTTTAGTTTTTAACCGACTTCCCCACTACCAACAAAAGGAGGAGGTTCTCAATTTGTCTGTGGCGATGTTTTTTTTTTTCTATGTATGTTCACCAGTTTCTCTGTGATTCTTTTACCGATCAGTGTGGTTCCACCACCAAAATAACCAGGAGAGTTTCTATTTGGTACCTTATATATTATGTTTAAGTATAATATTAGTTTCGGTGAAAAATTCTGAAAACCTTAAATATTCAACATTTATTTTGTTTACATTTGTGCAGATTGTTTACATTTGTGCAGAGAAGGCAATAAATAATAATAACATTCCTACAGCTGTTAGTTGAAAACATTTAAATGAAGCTACAGACAATTCTTCATGAAACAGTTGCTTCATATTGATCAATAAACTATTTCTTGCCATGGAGCCTAAATGAATTACATTGAGAAAAATGCTTTTTGTTTTGGTTACTGTTGTATTAAGTCTGTTCTTCTAGTCATATGATTTATTTGTGTTTAAATATCTTTTGTTGACAGATGATTTTTGTAAACATGTTTTTGTAAACATTGGTTTAGTTTTGAAATAGAGTTTGTTGAAACAAGATGTGTGTTTAATATTCTTGGATTAGAAATAGAACAGTTACTATAGAAAATGTATTTTAACGTTTGACCTGATTTGTGTATACAGTACAGTAATTCTGTTTTTAGTATTGAATATTCTGACTTACAAAAACATATATGTTTCAGTGAATAGCTGTATGATATCGACAAATAAAGGTGTATTGTGAAAACCAAAGCATTCGTAAAACAGGTCTAAATATAAATTAAATGCAATTATTCCTTACACGACCTAAGAAGTGTGACACTGCATAATCGTCAATTGTCTTAAAAGTGTTAAATATTTTAATTACTAAACATGCATTTGCAGATGTGGAATGTTTATTATTTTCTCTACCCAGTTACTATTATCATATCAATACTATTATGCCTGCTTCGGAAAGTCCTAGGGGAAGATGATTTGCAATTTCGACTAGGCTATATCTTGATCAAACAAAACCCCCTACATGACTTACACCACTTTTAGCTGAACCAATCTTTCATATAATATTTTCCAAAGGTACTATACGTGTTAACGACCAATTTTCCACTTTTGAGAGATTGTTTAGTGCTGGTAGCTGAGGAATAACTTTCATATTGTTCCAAAAGGCTTGAGACGTTACTGTATTTCTTTTTATAATGTAGAAGTACACCGATTGCAGGAAACGATGATGTCTGACATTTCAATGTATCTAGAAAAGACGATTAGTTTTTCATCAGGCCTAATGTAATGGACAACTCTTTCTTTCTTAAGGAATATCTAAAAATGTTTATTTTCATAACCAATGATTATGTAACCTGAACAGGTGACTCAAGCAGTTTTAAAATCTATCTATATATTAATAGGCAAGCATGTTTCTTTAAAACCTTTTTTCTCAGCTTGTGTGCATCGTGGGGTAAATCTGCGCATACCGTTAGAAAGCAATTTTCCTGTAGGTGTGCAGAATCCCTTTATAAATTTAAATAGGCTCAAAGATAAGCACAAAAAATGAGTTTAAAAATTTGAAAAAATTAACATGGATCTTATGCGTTGCCATGCTGGTGACGAAATAACAACGAAATATAAACAGAAAATCAAAACAAATGGAAGAAACTCCAATCACATGTTTTATTTACAGTGTGGGGTGAAAATAGAGAAGTGAGTACAGTCATAGATAAAACATACTCCGTACAGTACATTACATATTTTTGGTAGAGTTTCGACCACTGGACGACCTCTCGTAATTATTGTTCTGTGGAACTTTTGATTGTTTCAAACAGTTTTGCTTATCAAAAAACCTCAAGTGATTGATATATAAAAAATTATACAGTCACTAAAAATCATAAAATAATTTCTTTTTGTAAAAAAATACAACCGACTTCAAACGCTCTAAAAAGAATGAAATAATTTCAATACAGTAAAGTAAACTTTTGTATTAGGCAAGCTCACGTATTTCAAGTCGGCGTGGCTCAAACTGCAAATATGATTGAAATTAAATATTGTGTGTGTATTTTGAAAATCAATAAATTGTAGCTGGATAACATAAATATATAAAAAACATACTGAACTCTTTTGTTTATATATTAAAGGAAATATTTTCTTGTAGCCTATTTTATGTTTACTTCAGAATACATGAATTATTAAAATAACACACACAAATGTTCTATATGAATAGGAAAATAATTTAGTTTGATTTATGATAGGGAAAAGAAGCTAGTTTAGTATTAAAACGTTACTTTTCCAAGTTAGAAACATTTAAATGCGTTATAATCTTTTTAAAGATGCTCGTTAATACCACTATAATGCCGATCTCTGATTACGGTAATAAAATAACACTTAACGCATAGCTATGAAAAAGACATGCAGATTAACAACTTTAGTTATAGATAGTCACCTGCAATATGGACACCCTCTTTCAATTTTGTATCAAAAATCATCATAGAGCCGCGCCGACTTAAAATACGTGAGCTTGCCTAATACAAAAGTTTACTTTACTGTATTGAAATTATTTCATTCTTTTTAGAGCGTATGTTTTTAGTATGTTTTAGCGTATGTAAAAGGTATGTTTTTAGTTTTTAAATAGGTTTAAATATTTTGAGAAATTCTTCCAAAGGGGTTTTTGTTTTCACATATATTTCCTACTTTAATGGTAGTCTTTGTATACACTGTGTCTCATCTATTAAAGTATTACAGTGAAACACCTTGATAAGAAAACCCTCAATAATAAGTCATCCTTGATAACAAGTGTAATTTTCAAATCCCTTTTAATTTATTTTACCCTTTATCACATGTTATTGCCAACCTCAATAAGAAGTCAACCTTGATTACAAGTCTTATTTGATAATCCCCATGATAGTCTTGTTATCGAGGTTCTACTGTATAAGATGTTTGGGAAATAAATATAAATATAGTATGTTTTAAAAATCAATGTTTGTGGTATCTAGACTTAGAAGTACTGTTATTGTTGATTTTCAATGGTTCGCTTGAACCTAAGGCAACTGTTTCTTTCATATTATGTTCTCAGTTTTTATTTCATTTTAATACTAAACAGTTGACATTGCATTTAGTTGGTGCAGCACAATCAAGCAAGAGTAAAAATGAAATGTGCATCAAAATTTCCCAGATATTCCAACAGGATAAGAAGTCTACTGACATTATCCAAAGTAAATTAAGTAACATCTGCAATCACTTAGAAATACACCCATCACCTGCACAACTGCAGTACTTCTGCAGAAAACAGCTGTTTTTCAATTGGAGCATCAAGAAAAATCTGGTCTAGACAAACACCTGTTAGGATTGATACTGCTATCATGGTTGAAGTTGTTTGAGAATTATTGCAGTTGCATTTAGTTATTTATTGCATTTTTGTACTTGGGAACAAAATTATAAAAACCTGGTTCACACTATGATTGTATAACCAACATTCATGACAGAAAATAAAGATGGGAACACAAAAAAAGATAGTGGTTGAGATATCTTGTGTAGCTTTAGCTTATAATGACTGAATCAGCTGTTCATTTTAGCCTAGAACATTGATTAAAACCCTATATAATCAAGAAAAGTTATAAAACATCAAAAAACTACCGAAATTTTCCAGAAGTAAACCTAGCAACATCCTGATATTAATATTCTCAATACAGGTGTGAGGAAAGAATATCAGAATTCGATCATAGGTCTAAAACAATTCAAAATATTGTAACTTATAAATTATATACACAGTTTTACACTACAAATCAAGTACAAAACCACTATCTTTACAAAGTTCATTTAAATTTTCCAAATACGGTAAGAAAATGGGCTACATAATTGAACTATAAGGAAGTTGGCTGTTGTTTCTGAGTTATTGTGTCAACAATTTATGAAAAACTACCGACCAAATTGTACATGATGTCGGTAAACAACATTTACGATCCCCTACATGAGTTAACGAGTACAACAATAATGTCAACAAAGATATATTGTAACCATATCATGATTACAAAAAATTGTGTTTGCAAATTTGTATCACTGGTCTGAATTACAGAATAAGGACCGAACCCAGAAGAGTGAGACTTCTCTGAGCCAATAAAAACGTTGCATTTGAATCGGCTTGTGTCTATATCAGAAGCTTATGAGTGCGGTCGCTGTGATTTTTTCAAAAATATACAATCCGTTTGTATATGATCAGCTGATAGCAACGGTGTAGTGATGTCAGTTTTCTCTCCTATCACTCCAGGTCTGGCCTAAGCCAGCGAAAACAGCGCTCCTAGATTCTAGTTTAGAGGCTAGGAGATTCAAATGCAACTTTTTATGGCTAAGTAACATTTATGGGCTAGGTCTTTTTTTACTGTATAACTTGCAAACATTTTTAACTTTACTGTAATCTATCAATCCATCTATTTATCCATCCATCCATCCATCTATCTTCCATCCATCCATTCAACCATCCATCCATCCCACCATCCATCCATCCATCCTTCCATCCGTCCATCCATCCATCCATACATCAATCCATCCATCCATCCATCCATCCTTCCTTCCATCCATCCATCACTCCATCCATCCATCCATACATCCATCCATCCATACATCAATCCATCCAACCATCCTTCCATCAATCCATCCGTCGAACCATTGAGTTTACTAGTGTGGGTTATATTACTTTGTTATTATGTGCCTCGATACTAAACTTTCCAAAGTACTGTAATGTTTATTTTTTTAATACAAAAAAAATTAAGTTAAATACAGAGGTATAGCTAACATAGAACAATAATGTACAATAAATCAAAAGTCAATGAACTCTGTGTATACAAAATGTAAATTTGACAAGCCTTGTTTTGGGTGAAAGGTCAATCATTTAGATAAGGCAGAATAATGTAGGTCAGAAGACACTTTGCTAAATTATGAGTTTTGAAAATTTTACACCTTTGAAAAATAAACGCACAGTAAAGATTTTTTGTGGCCCAACTATTTAACTATTTTTATCTTTGATTCTGATTACATGAGTTTTACATTTTATTACAAAAAATGTACTGCTTATTCAAAAACCAAATATATGCAAACACTTCAAAATAAAAAGCCACATATTTAATTTATCTATATAAATAATTGTAATGTAAATTTGCTTTAAATACTAGTATTTTACCAAAGTTTGAGTACCGTTAATGGGTTGTAATCATTACGATGAGGATAAAATCAATGACTTTGAAAACAAATATATGAAGTATACAGTCCATTTCGAAAAGTAGTGGACCGGTTTTAGAATTTTTAAAACTTCTCAACTGAGCTACCAACAATATAATTACTATTCACTCATAATATTCATTATTCATTTTGAAATAATAAGTAAACTTCCCATTTCATTGACAAAAAAGTTTCATGTGTATAAGGCATTCATATGCATTTCATATTGGTGATATTCGAGTAGGCTAGTGACTACATTTTTTTATTTCTTATTTTTGGGTAGATTTTATTTATGACTTATGCTCTGTGGTTATAAAATACCACAAGAAGCAATAGCTTTAAAATAAATTGCTTTTTATTAGAATATTTTTTAAGTTTCGTTGAATGACAAGAGACAAAATAGTAAACAAAGAAATGCCATCTACATAAACAGGACGGAACTAATCTTAAATTTTACTTTAACTAATGTATAAGGATGACAAATCTATAAGGAGAATGTTCAATCTTTGATAGTTTTACTGTAAAACACTGTTATTTTTACTGTCTCCCCTTATGAAGAAAGTATTTTTTTTTTATAAAAAATTTTGAGTTTGAGCACAGACAACTGTTACAGAAATACAGATAACCCGTCATTTTTCTATTGTCTGTGGTTTGAGTTATTGGTGGGTTTTTGGTCCTCTTGAACCCAAAAAAGTGATTTCCGAAGTTATGCCTGTGTGTGTGAATGCCTAGAGTCTACGGTCCGATTTTGGTGAAATTTTGTGTGTGGGTATTATTACACCCTTTAAGTAGTGGACTGAACCATAATTAATGTTATCTCGTGTTTATATTTGAATTTTTTATTTTTTAGTTGACTTTTCTATAGAACACCATAACAAGACAATCAAATAAAAAACAGTTAGAACAAGTTTGATTCAAATTTAGTATATTTGTTTGTTTTTGATAACCAAACAAAATGGCGCAACCCCCAATGCTGTGAAAATAACAGTTCTAAGGTTAGTGCAACTTTTGTGATTTTCCCCATAAAATATCACAGTTACTTCCACCGCTTACCCGTGGTAAGGGTTGTTGACAAGCTTATGGGGGAGAGTATGTGTCAGATTGCTGATAGCGTTTATTTCTTTGCCATACATCAACTTTTTAGTCTTGTCAAACTGAATTGCCACCAACTATTCTAGAAGCATTGTGGAAAACTTGAGGAGAAAATAGAATGTCAATATTAACATACTTTAATACTGTTTATTCAATTATATTCTCAGAAACTGCGTAAATCTAGCCAGTACAGATAGATTGAATGACTACTTGTATCCAAAGGCAATAAAATAATGAAGAAACATAAATATTAGTTGACCCTACAATATTAAAAACGTACTGCGCACAAAACAAATCAAAATCAGATTCTGATAAGGAGTTAATGCTTTTTATCAACAGCCCACATCTGAATGAAATGTTGGCATTGAACCTTCATTAATTGATTGACTTGTGAGATCTGTAGCCGCTACAGTATTGGCTCAGACGAGATGTATCTAAACCAATTAGACACCTTACTTCACAATTAGAGCCTTACGAAGGGTCTAAAAACAACGTTAAAGGTCAAAATTAGATTTCAAACATTTGCATACTGTAAACAGTGATCCCGAAATAAACCTATACAAATATAATTTCACATTCTTTAAAAAAAATAGTAAAAATGGGGTCAGAAAATACCACTTAGGTGGATGTGAGAGGACTTTTTTTTAAGTAGTAAAAAACAATGGAAAAATGTTCTAATATTTTCCCTAATAGGAAACCACCCTAATCTAAAAGTCAAACAAGTAAGTGTTGTATATGCAAAACGGTTAATTTGTTCAGTTTTTCCTTCGAACATACAGTATCCATAGTAAATTAAATACAGTATTACACTCAGATCATCCCATTTGGGAAAGTGATTTGAAGTGAAGATTGCTGCCACAAGCAACATAAAATTTGGTTAGTATCATTGAAGAGCTGATATCATACCCAACCCAGTTTACGCGACCCGTTCCTGGTCCAACCGCCCTGTCAATGGTCTCCCATGTGGTCGACAGAGCGTTGTATTACACCACCCAATCTCTGCCCGACCTGAGCTCAGTGCGTTGCTTTCCTTCGTTGAAGATGAAGAACGTCCTTAGCTAAAAAATCGGTTTTTTAAGTTTTCAATATTGGCTCCGTACTTATCGAAGCGGCAAGTTGTTGGAGTAGCATTAACTGCATTGCCAGCGTACAGAACAGAAGCGAGGAAATAGAGAAAGTGGATGAGACAGATACCTCCAAAGACCTGTATTGAGTCATGCAAGACTTATGGACTTATTATTGTGAAGACTTCCGGAATTTCTTGCGTATGACACCACTAATTTTCACTGATTTTCTCAATATGGTGACCTCATATAAAAAAAGCCAGTTGTACAGTTGCGTAAAGCGGTGAAGAATTTCTGGTTTTTACGCCCCGTTCCCAGAGGAAGTGTGCTATCCCCATCTTTCCTCCCTAAATCTGATGGAAATCTCTCCCGACCTCCTTACCCGATCGCCAGCCAAATCGTGACCAGGAGCACGGGTTTACACGATCACATTTCAGGGCTGATGTCGATCTGGCCAGATTTAGGGTTTTGAGATCAGGTCATGTAAACCAGCTTATAGCTTACTATAAGTCACCCACATGACTTGTTTAACAAGTTTGCGTTTTTGAAAGAAGTCCGGTAATTTACACCAGAAAATCTCTCTTGCATCAGTAACTAACATTGATGTCGAATGTGTTAGTTACTGACATCAATACTATATTATACAGAGTTGATGTGAAAGAACCGAAAATCCTTTTTTCAGTAGGGTTCAGTGAAAAAAATTGTTTGCCTGCTCACTTTCTTTTGCTGTTCATCAGCAATCATTCTTGTATCAAATGGATGAAACTTCTTCAATAAGTTTTGGATTGCATTTGATAGAGATAGAACTTAATAAATGTGTATTCTACTGTTTGAATCTAAGACACTATTATTATGCTATGTGTAACTTTCAGTTTTATTAGGATAGTGTTTGAAGTTAAATACTTTGAGTTTATAGCTAAGTGAACTAAAAGTAGGTATTTAGTAAATTTCATATTTAAAAAAATGCATAAATTACTTTTTGTTTGTTTATTTTACAACTTACGGACTACGAGAAACTGAACTACAACAAGCTTGCATTTTACTTAATATGTATTTAGTACATAGCAATCTTGCAATCTATGCAATCTTGATTTTACAACAAATTGTTTTTATTTAGGTACTGACTTAATTTTTAAATTTATATTTAGTATGCCTAGCTGTTTGCCAAATATAAAACAAACTGAACCACTTTGCCCCTTCGAAGTACTTGTTAATTTTAAATAGAATTTGTATAAAGATTAATTATTAAAACAAACATTCAAAAAAAATAAATAATAAAATTTGTTCAAGTACCTGCTTTACTTGACGAGTCGGAGACTCCTTCATCGTCAAGCCTCTTCTGCAGATCCACGTAGATCACGCTGTAGCAATTGATCACGCCGAAGATGACTCCGTTGCAGAAGAAACTTGCAAGCATCACGAGCCATGCTCGCGCGCCGCCGTCGGGAGGCCCGGCCACTGCCATTGCGATCTTCGTCTCCATAGCGCGTCGTCGCGATTGTCACTGTAGTGGCTGTGGCGACGGCGACATGCCCCTCCCCTCCACTGCGGGGGCGGGGCCACGGCCTGCACAACGACAACGTTAATGCGACATCATCTAGGAGGCTGTGGTATCAGATCAATCTCAGATAAAGATTTGAAAAGTATACATTATAGGTTAAGAAATACAGACAAATAAAATCCCTCACAATTTGATTCTTCTTCGGATGATTTCAATTACCGTACCTTATTTTTCCCGAAGTTTTTTAGATAGTTGATATTTGTATTGTAGCATACTTCAATGCAGGACTGCAGGTGCGACAACTTCAGGGATTCGGTTTATAATAACATTGTTTTCTTTAGGCCTATCACTGTTTATAAGTTTTGGACGTTTACAACAATTGTCAACTCTTGGTCTTCGGGCGATGACTGCATCGTTGAAATAGTGAAACTAGATGCCGACGTTTTGGATGCTTAGCGCTATCCATCTTCAGCGCAAACTACTATTTAACTCAGTTGACGCGGTCATACCCAAAGACCAAAAGTTGACAATCTCCCATGACCGTTGAAGCATAATCTAAATTAACTAATTGTTGACTTAATACAGTGGTTTCCCAAAAGTACGAGGGGTAGGCCTACAGCTTTCTATATATTCATTGTAGATATGGCCCCAATGACCCCAGACACTAAGCCGTTTGGCTAGGTATTGCTCAAAGTTGTTTTTTACCTAAAAAAACTAATGAACCTACTGTACTAAAATAGTATGATGTACTGCACTCCCATTGGGCCTGACAATGATTGATGGCCGATTAGATTTTTCTAAACCAATCGTCACGGGGAACATACTTTACATTGTGACTGTGACTGGATGTATAGATCGATACATTTTTCAATAAATGTACTTTTCCAATAGCACTTCAAACGTAAGTTCTTTTGGAGGGAAAACAGTATCAGGTTTGAAGCAAAGGCAAGTCCCGTTTCTCTTGTCACGACGTAATAGGCATTCCACAATGATTACTGCTTTGGAACAATTAATTGAAACACGCACGCGCGGTTTTCACTTTCTGGGATTGAAAATATTATTTCAATCCGGTATATGACGCTAAACAACGTTTAACATCTTAACTAAATGTGATGCATTTGTAAACAATGGCTAGTCCTCTAGTATTACAACCGAATATTACTAAAAAAATGTTTTCTTAATATAATAAAAATATTAGGCCGATATCTCAATACAATAAACAGATATTTTAGAAATAGGATGAGATGTTACTGCAATCTATGCTTTCTAGCAAATTTTCAAAAATGATCTCTTCAAGGGAAAGAGATCAAGCAGAGCAATTGCAAGATTAATAAGGCTTCTGAATGCAGCCGTAGCAATGCTAGTGGCTTTACCGGAAGTGGATAAGGGAGGCTCATATTCGGTTTCTGAGGAGGGTTTACACAAGTCAACTTCTACCCTTAGTTCATTTGTTTGTGAAGTATGTTTTATATTTCGAGAACAGAAAACAGGTTAAAACCTGGTAGGTAGTCTAAACTACTCTAACACAAAAACGAAATAAACAATTGTTTCCAGTAGTAAGATATAATCTCAAGCCTTGTCAAATCAGAACAGAAACTGTATGTATCATTAACATAAGCAAATTACGTCACTGGCCCGAATATTACACCACAGACAGACAATAGACCACCAGTGGTATGGTAATGGTAATGGTCTATTCTATGTGCTTATACCAATACCCGTAACAATAATTAATTATGGGTTTGGACGTTTTTTGAAAGTGCTGTTTAAATAATAATACAATAATGTTTACTTTCGGTCCAGTGACGTCATTGTTTATCTTCATGATCCATACAGTTTCAGTTTAAATATCCGTGTTTGTAGGTAGTAGCATAGATAAAACATACTCCTCAAGGAGTATGTTTTATCTATGGTAGTAGTACAGAACCACGGCCACCGGAGTTAAAGGCGGCCGTGACAGAACAGTGGCGTTTCAAGACTTATGTCAAATGTCCACGAAAACTAAAAACTGACTGTACTTTTTAAGTTATATTGGCCAACAAAGGGTAGTTATTGCTTGACAACAAATAATTTTGAAGGGGTAAAATATGTTTGAACCCATAATATCAGATCGTACCAAAACTGAAACGACTTCTCCGATAGTACCATATAATCACTCCTCCTCATAGTTGTTCACGTATAAATATCTTCGCATATAATAATGAATTTTGTAATAAATTAAACCTCGGTAAATTGCAATTCTAACTCCACGGGACATGGTCAAGGTTCAATGCTGAGGAAACAGGTTTCAGAGCCTGGTCTAACATACTTGCTGATATTTATTGCACACAGAAGGGCTCTCTCATTATTCTGTTAGTTTACTTACGACCCGCTGAGTTCCGTTACCATCCAAATCACATGAACTTCACCTTGACCCCACTAAAATGACAAGTGAGCACGAAAAGAAAAACTGAAAATGTGTTATTTTCAGTTTTTCATCAAACGCACGAGATCCGTTGATCACACGCCGAAACATTTGACTACAGTAAATACTATATATATAGTAAACAAATTATAAAATATAGCATGAGAAACATTCTGTCGATAGTAATGTTCTCAAACACATCAAATAATATACTAAACACATCAAAAGGGGGTTTCGATTTTACATTATGATGGGAGCCTTCTTGTACCTACTATTGGAAATACTAGGGTGGATCGTTCATAGCCGGACTGGCTTTACAACTAAATTAAAAATAAAATGTGTAACCAAGCCAACAAACAAGAGGTGTTTCATGAAACTGCAGCTGCGAATCTCCCCTACCGTCTAGATATATTATGTTACTGGAAACCACGCTAAAATATGAATATTTCCTTATTGTAAACTTAATTTAATGGTTGTCTGGACGCATTAGACGTTTTGCATGCGTTCAGCCACTGCCATCCCGATCATGTCAGGGCACTTCGGGCGACTGCAAAGATATCAAGTGTGCCGTGGTTATGACGTAACAACGGCTAACCTCACTTTCGCTTTGATCAAGTTACAACAATTACTTACGCTTCGGAAGCTCAATAAAATACAGTAATTTATTGTATATGTTATTCCCGCGACGTTGAGTACTTTATACATATTTACTAGGAAAATTAAATTTGTCGGATGTACATAATATGGTCCAGATTGTAAGGATAACCTGCGTTTAACTAATAAGTTGTCTAAAAATGGGAGCACAAGAATTAATCAAACTATCAAACATTTTAAGCCGCGTTTACACCGGAGTTAGTTAGGATCACGTGTTTAAAACTGATGTTTCTAACAAACAAGAAACACTACTTATGGAACAGAAACATTTTAATGTTGGAAACAGTTTTTTAGTCTTTACAACAAAAATTTTGTTTCCCACGAAGACGGTTAATATCAAGGGTGTTCCAAACATAAGGAAACATTTGTTTTGAAACAAATGTTTTTATGTAGCTTACAAAACGGCACGGAGGCGGGTGCACTAGAAAAATAGGGGGTCCGGGATCGCTCAGCCCAGGGGCACGTGACGGCCCTCGCCGGCCCTGGCTGAGTATCCATCAGCGTTCTTTTTACTCCCTTTTCAAGATTCAGCGTCAAAAGTAAAAAAAAAAACGCGATCGCGGCAAATTCTGACGATATTGCCGTGATTGTGGGGAACGGTTACGTTGCCGCGATCACTGGAGATGATTACGATGTCGGTGTGATCACAACTGTTGCTACGGATACTGTCCCACTTCCTTTTCAACGTTCCGGCGACAGTAGCTATTTACTGGTTTAAAAAATATAAAATGGCTCCAGCCACTTCTCTTGGCCGCCTCGTAGTCTTACGCCTATGTCCCACGGAGCGTTGCGTGGCGCGCACGGCGTTAGGCGTGCCTCGCCTCGCGTCGTGGGACAGGGTAAGCGCGTGGTGGTACGCGCAAGAGTGGCGTGGAGCGGGGTTGCGCGTCCGTTCCCGCAAAATGTCGGTAAACATCAAAGGCGCGGGTTGGAGCGATGACCGCCCTGCGCTAGTCCTATTTAGTTATACTGTACATGTTTCGTAAACTGTTGTTGAAAGAAATTAAATAAGCATTATCATAATTTTTCAATTAACTAATAATATTTGAGTCATTTTAAAAGTGGACATTATTTATTTTAATGTTTAACTTTGATAAAAATTAACAGCCTATAACCTGTAAGGTAAAGTAACTTGATACAGTTTGTCTGAACAAAAATGACAAGACTAACCCTAGTGACAAGAAATCTCAAAGAAACAGCAATTTGCTCTTGCATATGTATACTTTCTGTCAATACAAATACAGTACGGAGGTCTCTATCTTGTACACTATTCACGGGTGGCCCCCAGACCGCCGCTACACGCCGCACGCGTCGTGGGACAGGTAGTGAGTGTAGCTATACGCACGCTCACCGACGCTCCAGCCCGCGCATTTACACCGTCACGTCGCGCCGCGATTCGCGGGATGGTGACATGTGTGTGTGTGGTCAATGTCGTTAGACCGTACAGCCAATAACAGCACTCGGACAGTTGTTAGCAATGGTACTTTCCCGAGAACCGGTGTTACCAAGAATGGACTTCAGGTACCGACACATCAAGAGCATTTTCATCAAGTCAACGATAGGAGCAATAAAATAAACGGTATCAGCAATCTGACACGTTATACTTACCGGCTTTTTTCCTAAAATCCGATTTTTGTTATTTTATGGGTCATTTTATGAGAAAATAACATAAGTTACAATAACTTTGAACCATACTTTTACGGAAATGCGATTTGTACCATTTTGTTCAGAATGTGAAGGACTATACACTAAATAAAATCGTTTGGGCCATTTTTGAGAAAATCCAATTTTTCTGTTATTTTATGGGTTTCTATGGGAAAGTTATTGCTAGATTTTTCATGGAAAATTTTAGACTTTTATTAAAAATTTAAATAAAAAAAAAATTTAAAAAAACGTTTGGAGATACCATGGATTAGTAGGCTACCTAAACATATCGAATTTCATCAAAATCGGACTACAGGTGTGGTCTGTAGCTCTGTACACATCCAAAAACACGCACACACGGACACAAACACAGACATCACTTCAAAAACCACAGTTTTGGGTTCAGGGTGACCCAAACAGATATCCACACAATAGGCCTACTCAAACTCGAAAATTTTGATGCAAAATATACTTCCTCCAAATACTATAATATATAGGGGGGGGGGGGGAAGTAAGATAGTTCCTTTTTGGCGTGATAGCTTTTGACTTGTTCATTTCTATTTTTACATTTTTCCTTATAAATATACAATTGTTCCTATTGGCTACCGGAAGCACCGGCCAATACATTTTTATAAGTACAACTGGAGAGTCGAAATTTACTTGTTCATTAATCAGCTTATTTCTATTTTTACATTTTTCCTTGGTATACAATTCTTCCCAAGAACATTCATTACATTACAATAGGATTTAAGTAGGGACACCGTTCAAGATTCTTGTCATTCGCCTATTGGGTCTGATGATGATTGGAGTGTCCAATCAAAATCGATCACCAAAACTTTTATGTATATTTACCATCTTGTGAGTAACAGTAAGCGTAAATAACTTATATGTTTTAAGTGTTATAAGACGTCCGTTTCTCTTATTTACTTTCCGTAAATTTAATAACACGTACAATGCTGATCAAGAAGTTATTTAGGATTTTATCATAAGGGTAAAATCATGGGGGGGGGGTAAAATTCTGGGCCATAAGTCTACGATTTTCTGAAATGTTAGTTATATGGTCAGGGGATAAAATTCATACTTTAATTACCGGTACAAATCAAAATTATCATGCTCTATCTATTTTCATTAGACTCCCAATAATCCCATATCGAAGAGGGTAAAATTCCCTTGCGAACAAACTTGAGATCACTCAGGTTACTACGTCATAGTGGCATCAGTTTTGCCTGAGGGTAAAAAAATGTAGGTACAAGGGGTCAAGTAGGCTAGTAATTGTGTTGTAAATAGAGGCATCATCACATACCGTATATTTTTGAATTGCTAAACTATGTTATACAGTAACTTACCTATTGTTGAATAATATAAAATAAAGTTTGACAAGTATAATTAACATAGGCCTAATTCAATTGTGAGATGCAGCTATTGAGAAAAAAACCCCACATGCTCTTAGTAAATTCTTTGTCTAAAAACTCGAGCACTACCTAACTTAATATTATTGCATATTGTCGGATGTCATTAATTGATAATGGCCAAATAAGGTGATTTTTTTTTTTTTACAATTTACAATTTTTTTTTTTTTCACATGGTTGGTTTTGATCGATTTTTGGTTGGTTTGATTTTTAACTCATGATATTTATTTTATTTTATGCTTGTACATTATGCTTGTACATTGACATAGCCTGTAACAATGTTGTTGTTGATTGGCCAAATAAATTCATTGTATTCATTGTATTCATTGTGATAGCAATACAATGTATGAAATCTGACTTGGCACAATATGTCAAAATCTACCAGGCCATTTGGCTTATGGGCAGTATTGGATATAGTTGTTTGGATAGACCTATCCTGGCTGAACACAAAAGTAGAGTCCTATAGTTTCCAGATCACTGTACAAGGTTAAGCTAAGTTATTTCACGTTGAAACATTTTATAATTTATATATTGCTAGGATAAGTTGCTTAGGCCTATGCTTTTATCAACAATAGGAATCTCCATAACGGCTGCACTTTACTTTAGGTCCTACACTCATTCAAATTAAAATATCAATCGATATATCAATTGTTTCATTTGATACATCGTTTGGTTAGTTAGGTAAGGTTAATCTAACCTAACTAACCAAACGATAAATCGACAATCGATATTTTCATTCGGATGAGTGTAGGACCTAAAGTAAAGTGCAGCCAGAACAACTTACTTCAACACTGATGCACTAACCGAAGGAACACCAATAGGTTTGTGTTCGTCTTTAACTCTAAATATCCTAAGTTTTCAAAGGAGGCCAATTGTTTACTTTTTAGACTTTGGGTAGATCTATTGGAAATTAGTCATCGTGTACTCAGTGATGTGCCAATAAATTATCTTGTAAACTATAATGATTAAATAATAACTCTCACCTCAATAAGTCCTAGGCTGCATTACAAGGTGTAAAATGTTGTTCATAAGAAGTTGAGTGTTGCTTTTGAATTTACACTGGTAATTACAATTGAACAACCCAACAATTGAAAAGTGGTAAGAATTATGTTCGGTCCTACAAATTCACAATAGTTAATTCAACCTTGTTGTAAGTTGGATGTAGAAAAATAGATTGAATGGAATGATGCAAAACTTAACCTCAATTTCAAAAGTCGAAACGTTCCGGATGATCAGAATCGCTGTCTGCTTCTGCTCTGTCGTCTGCTACGATTAGCTTACTTAATAAACAGCTGATCCACCGACCACTAAGAAAATACCATTATCGCCTGTAAGCGAATTAATAATCTGTGCTTAATAACAGTATTTTAAATCAACCCTATTAATCGTAGGTACATTTTATAATTGTATCTACGATGGCAAAAAAGTTGTTTTTTTACAAACATTGTACAAGTAATACCACAACTGTATAGCGGAACCATTCCTTGACTATTTCCCAATATTATTAATTTATAATAGGTACGGTACAGGTTGGTTCTAGTCTTCCCAATAACATCAAGTAGGCTATTGAATTGGAGTGTCAGAGTCTTACAACCTACAGGTGGAGGTGGAGGTGGAGGTGGTAGGTAGGTACGTAAGGAAATAAAAGCAAAAACCTAATTAAACTGAATAGTAAGAAAATATAGCCTGCTTGCATAACTAAACCATAACTAAAAGTAGAAAATTGAATCAGTCAAGCACCCTCAAAATCTGGAGACTTAGTCAAGATCTAGATTACGAAACCGCATGTTCCTTCCACCATGACGAAACCGTTAAAGCCACACAGGGAAAACTGTACGTGAAGCCAACATACAACCATTGCACAACCTCTCCAAGCAACAGCTGTGTCCTCTGAAGCCAATATTGTGAGAGTGCTAAATGAGAATTGAATTTGGGTAACGGGGTATAGGAATGACAAGTGGAGTCCCTACACTCGCCCCTCCCCTGCCTGAGTTACATCATGAATACTAGAAAAATACGTCTTTTCTATTATTCGTGAGTTACATATAGTACTTCTCCCCTGGGGATAGCGGAATTGCTCATATTATAGAGCTATTGAGGTATAAAAGATAATTTCCGACTCCAAAACCTCCAAATAGAAAGGAATCACTTGGTCAGTCCACAGAGAATTATCACCTATATTTGTTCATCAATCATACCTGGACTATGTATTGGGTATACTATGATAGCAGAAATAAGTTTGTGATTTTCAATCAAAACATGGGCACCCTCAGGGGTTCATAGCACCTCCCCCCTCGAAAAAAAAACACTGAATATATCATTTAATTAACCCTACCTAGCAGGAATAGAGGGCTCAATGTGTTATTTATATAATCGAATACAGCACACAAAAAGGGGGAGATTTTCCCAGACCTCCATGGAAAAAGATACTGGTTTGCTCACTCCTGGGGAAATTTTCAACTGCAGTGGCTGGATTTACCTTTAAAAGTTGAAGGGCGAAGACCACCTTGAAGGCATGGGGTTATAAGGGAGTATGTTTAATCTATGGTTGTACTAGCCTTATTTCAATTATCAATATCTCTATAACAAGAGGGGAAAGAAAGACACTCCCCCCCCCCAATCACCCCACAGAGAAGTTAGCATGGTGTTCCTTTAAGGAATGGGCTTTATTAAACTAATTTCATACCAATTTGGGAAGGTGTTAACCCTGACAGTGTGGATACAATATTTTTCTTTCATTTCTTAAAAATATTAATACATAACAATATTCATGAATTTAATCATAATTTCTTTAGCATAAAAATCACACACACATGTATAAACTTCTATTAAAAACCAATCTTGATATTCTAATATCTACAAATTAATGTGAATGTGATTGCTTTAAAAAGTAATAACAACTAAGAAAACTGATGTAACAGCCTAGAGGCATGCCTCAATGTTTTTCTCACTGATCAAGATCAGATTTAAGATTTAGATAGAAAAATGTGCCAAAATGTCAATTAAGTAGATCTGATCAACAGCACACACCCTTTGCACATGAACAATTTCAAACGTTAATGTCAAGTGAGAACTCAATAAAAAAAGAGTTATCAGATTTCAGATTGAGATAGCTATCTGTATTAAAAAATGAGTTCTGAAAATCTGATAAAGAATACACGCCCTTGTAAACTACTTTTAGTAAAAAAAAAACTTTCAAAAATGTGTATGCCAATACACCAACTTTTAGGAATAGCTAAAAAATAACCGATTACAATTTATAAACCATACCATTATTTGAGATAATCCCAGTACATTGCTTTATCACTCTATATTTGTATTCTTCAGGCCAGAAAATAGAAAAGGGGACGAGGGTGGATGGCAAACAGTAAATATCCAAAACCAAAATATAAACTTTATTATTCATAACAATTCAGGCCTGTTTACTAATGCTGTCATTTTTCTTGTAGTTCAATGCAATGTCTTTAACTGACTGCATGTCTTCTTGTAAAATCTTCAGAATCTGATTTCTTTCTTCATTGTCATCACCCACTTTTAAAAGTTTTAGGACAGAATCTAAAAAAAATACATAAGAAATAGCAACAGGTTATACATCTTAAATGGACATTCGAATGAGCAATCCATATAATGTATATATCATCAATTTCTAGAATAATATTCATTATTATATCATTGCAATATCTGTTCAGCTAACTTTACAGCCACAAAAATAAAACTCAAATAACATTCCAGGTTTTTAAGAGAACAAATAGAATGTCATTTAATGAATGCACTCTCGGCCATTTGACGGTTATTCTTAAATTAACATTTCCGTTGGGTCCCAAAATATGAAAATTTGAACAAACGAAAAGGTATGTTCCCTGATGTCGCCTAGGGATGATAGGATTATGCATCCTTCGGCAATTTCACCATCATCAGACCTTATATAGAAAATTTATCTTGCCTGAAGAAGTGTGTAAAAAGATGTCATAAGAATCTCAAGATAACAGAATTACCAAAATGTGCATAATCCAATGATGAAGCATGGACCGTAATGAGACATCAACCTTTTAATTTTTCAAACAAATACTTGGTTTGCAAAACCACAACCAATGATGATTATTAATTTACTCAGACAAATATGTTTCCTTGCTCACCATGATATTTCTGCAGTTTGTCATTGACCTCCTGACTGAGATGTGAGCCTAAAAACTGCAGAATCGTAGAAACAAAACGTCCTGAAGCTTGCAACATGCAGCCCGTGACAGCTTGGAATATCAACAGTACAGCCAGGTGTAGTACGAGTGCTGGATCATCACATATTGTCAGCTGATCTGCCAGTGCATGTCTGTGAGCTAGCAGCTGGGGCCTGTTGCAACACGTCAACAAAGTATATTCATTTGAGTCTACTTCCAAAACCAAAAACACTGTAGTATCTATATCTATAATACGTGTGGCCGTTTTTTATTAACACTACTCTACCTTATTGGTGGACCAATTTCAAAATTTGAGGAGTCAACAAATCTGTCTCAATTTGTAGTTTTGTACTAAGGTTTTAGAATTTAAAAAACTCTTCCCATTAAGGACGCGAGGCTTTCTCAAAGGTTGATGATTTCCCGTAAGAATTACATAGAATAAAATTTAAAAACAAAAAACAGCTCTTTATAAAAATAAACTCTGCAGCTTTTTGGGAGTAAATATTGATTTTTGTAATATTCAAGAGATTATAGACCAATGTAAACAGTTAATCATTTTTTTTGGAAGAACAGAAAATGCCTCAAGTTCAAAGAAAAATTACTGAAAACAGGAGGAGACCATTAATAAGAATAAGAAGAGTAGAAGAAGACAGACCTGGTCTAACAGTAAGGAATCCAGATATACACTCCCTTGGAGAGATGAATAATATTTCTATGCAACTTACTAAGTCGGTAAGTCGGAAAACATTTGTATGAATACTAAAAAACGAGGTTAGCTTCTGAAAAATGATAAGAAATTTACAAGAAATGTTTATTTTATCAAACTGTTATTAACAGCGTGAGTATTTCCACACATAAGCTTTAAGTTGAGTCTTTGAAACTCATCAAAAATTATTACTGTTATTAGATTTACAATAGCTCCTGTATAGTTCCGGTGCTTGCCAATTGCTCGATTACGAGCAATAAGTACACTAGTTACTATAGATTACTTTTGAATACTACTACGGGGTAGCTTGATTAATGGCATAACTTCACTCTTAGAAATTCAGGGCAGTAGTGTTAAGATGGATGTAGATTTAAGTTAGAAGTGTGATATCGGTACAGACAGAGTCAACACTACGAGCGGCAGACACCCACACTACAACACGTACCTGTCTTTCTTCTTGTCAGCTTTTCTCAGCAACAAACCAACAGCTGAGAAAGCTGGGTCTACAGCCTCCAAGAAATCTTCCACAGAACTGCCAGCCAGACTCTTATGCACCTTCTGTAGAGGGTCTTTCATATCAGTTGGGCATTCAGACAGGATCTTCACACGCTCCTGTAAAAAGGCAAACTCCAGTTACACTTCGATTAAAATAGTCTAGGCTCAACAAAACTGATGGAAAGTGAATTACCTACATGTTGGACCGAAGCATAATGAAAAATTGTTGTCACGAGTGTAAGTAAGTACTGTAAAGTCAAAGTTTAAGGTACCTAATCTCAAGCTCCCTTAAAAGAAATGGTAGAAAGCCAAGCAGAAAATAAGAGTGAGAACGGCAGTAGAGAATTGAGTATTAGTAAACATATTGCTTGCTTTGCCTGTTTGGTACGACTGTGCACCAAAGTGGGCACATCAAGACAACCCTTAGATGCAAGATACACACCAGTTTTTATGCACCTGAGTACTTCTTGTCATAACATGCTACAAAACACAAACGAACCACACAGTTAGTTAACTCCTAATACCTACATACCTCTCTGCTCCCCCCCCCCCCCATCAGTCTCAATGTAAACGGGAACTTGTGACTGAGTGGAAAAATAGTGCATAACCTTTATTTTAAGTGTTTTTGATTTTCTGTTAGGTAGTTTCAATGGAAAATAAATTTAAAGCCTTAATGATGGTCATAGGCCTACTAAACTAATCTAAATTCTTTTTGTGTCCGCTTCAGTTTTTATTATTTTGCGTGTTATCTGATATTTTTGCTTAAGCGACTATGCTACTACTAAGAATTTTAAGAAGAATTGTACAATTTCCATACCTCAACAGTCAGTTCTTTGTCCTTGCTGTCACCTGGGTTGTTGCTGTCTTGTGCTGCGAAGGTGAACAAAGTGTTTACGACCTCGGAGGCCGTTGTCTTGAGTAGATGTTTGGTCAACTGAGCCTGGACGTCTTTGCTGGGGAACTGCCGTACTCCCTTGTCATACAGTCTGTGCATTGTGTCAAAAACATCTTCAATCAATTGTAGAAAAGGAGGATAACTAGTAAAATGCTTGTTATTTTTGTTAGTAAGAAAGTTTCATATTTATAATAGAACCAGGCTCAGGGCTCGGCCTTAAAGAGTATTATCAACCTAATGTAGAGGACACAAAATTTTCTTTTTTGGTTTATTTTTGTTAAATGGACACGTGTTGAAATAAATACCATAAAAGACATAAAAAACTTAACCTAAAAATAGTTAATAGAGGAATAAAACAAAAATATTTTGGCATCAATGGTTGCACTGCTATTGAGCTGCACTGCACGTGGTTATTTTAATTTTGAAACTTTTATGAAACTGTGTGTGTTGTGTTGAAACTGATTATGTTTGAACTGTTGTGTTTTTGAGGACACTATACATTTAAAAAACCTCCGGTTCTTGTTGGTACTGCAACCAGGTATTAGCAAGGGTTTGAAGTACCGGTACATTAGGATTCCCTCTTGATCGGATACACCAGAATCAAACCATTGTTTGCTCAACCATTTCTGTCTAAACCTTAAGTATCCTTTTTTTTCTTGTTAGAAGTAAAAAAGTGAATGGTTTTTTTTTTTTTTAACCAAACGTTATGTGTACAGTGCTATACTAAATAATAAGGGAAACTTGCAATAAAATCTCTAAGTACGCACATAGACTAACCAACACAAGTAGACTTCTCATCCCATTGTAAATTTTGAAGCTCGTTTTTCATGTCTAGTTCATGTACGCCACACTGGGCGCTAGTGTCGACTAAATTTTGTTTCTATTATTTTAGGGTTAATTTCTTGAGTTGTGCTTTACTTTTTGGTTAAATAACTAGGGGACAATTGATTGTTTATGATTAGATCGTATTATTTGGTTAAACGAGGTTTTAAATGACTGTATTAACGGGAAACAAATTGTAAACAAAACACGACCTCTACATAAACCGTACAGAACTAACAATAAAATTGTCTTCAGCTGTTCCAATAGGATGAGAAATCTACTAAGGGAGTATGTTTTATCTATGGTACGCATGAAGGCTAGATGAACAAATTGTGACTTGTTTCTTAACCAATTTTATGTGCAGTCCTAAAAAGTTCCCATCCTTGTTGTTTCTAGTAACTCAAGAATGAAAGTAAGATATGTCTGCTAGATTGAGGACAAACTATACTAGGAAATATTTAGATGAGAGTCTAATCAGGGAAGCTCATTCATTTAAAAACTTTTATCCTACACAAATCACACGTAGTTCTGAGTGTCTTTCAACCAAGATGCAAGTATGGTAGCTTCATCTAGTGAAGAACAATATTGCCAACTAGGACAAAGGAAACATTTAGCTCTACAAGTTAGCTTAGTATTGAATTACTTAAGCACAAAAGGTTCTTTTCCAATTGGAATAAATGACTACGAAACGTTGGTCATCTCACCTAACATCGTTGACTGATACGTTCAGTTTCTCTTGTAGTTCAGTTGTAGTCTTGCGTCTTGAGGAGCCCCTGTTGGTCACCAGATTTTCAAAAACTGCTTCTGCAGCTACTAATGCCTTCTTGTTCAAGTCACTGTGGAAAATAAAAAAAAATCTATACCACACTTGACATTGAAAAATAAAGAACATGTCACAACTAAATCTAAAAAATAAGCTCCAGGCAGTAAATAACAATAAGATTACAATACTTTAAACTCTAAATTTAGCTACTCCAAGGTTTTTTTTCACAATTACCGAGTAGAACCATTCATCAATTTCATTAGATTAATTTGTCCTGAGAAAGATTGAGCTTTTTCAAAAAGTTTGTATGGAAATGTAAACACAGTTTAATCTTTTATAGAATACAGTAAAAACTTGTTGTGAATTATTCTTTTAAATCCAAATGCTGATGTATTGAGTACTAGAGTCTTCCAACCAAACTTCCAGTTAAGAATATAAAATGAGTGTATAACTCATCTCAAAAAAGGAAGAGGATCTAAGGGTGTTGTCAGAGATACTAATAAATAAAACTGAATATATAGTACTAAAAATAAACAACATAAAAAACTAATTTATGAGAGTCAAAAGGGGAGAGGATGGAAATAATGCAGACATTTTTCAAAACCAACGACCATGAATTCCATAAGAGTTAATAATTTGAGATACCTAGGTTTGTAATATCTGATAGAATTACAGAAGACATAGAAATTCAGAATAGGATAAGTGCAGCAAATAAAAGTTGGTAGGCACGTAGAAAACTAATTAAAATCAAAGCTTTTATCAAGGAAAGAAAAATTAAAATTTCATAACAATAATTAGACCAGTACTTTTATATGGAGGGAAAATTGGATGCTGAGCAAGAACACGGTTTTCTTCAAGGTACCTTTGAGAATAAAGTTCTAAGAGCTATTGGTCCAGTGTGTGAAGATGGAGTGAATACGCAACAACCAAGTTACAAGAATTATTCCGAGACCCCGATAATGTAGGGGAGGCCAAAAGCAGAAGGCTAAGGTGGGTCGGTCACACCTTGAGTAGAAATGAGGAGAGCTTCTAATTGAAGATGGTGCTAAGGGGAGATGAGATCCTAGGGGAAGGAGACCATTAGGGAGACCAAAGGCAGGTGGTCGGATCAAGTCCGGAAAAAAATGTAAACAATGAGACATGTAGAGGAAGATTTGAGGGACCGAGAGAATTGGTGACAACGTGTTAGCAAGACCAAGCACCTACTTGAATGCAAGTGGCCATGGCAGTAAGCAGTAAGTTTAACCATAGATACAACATAGTCCCTTAGTAAATTTCCCATCTTTATGGAACAGCTGAAGCAAATTTTATTGTTAGTTCTGTCCGGTTTTCTGTAGATGTTGTGTTTTGTTTACAATTTGTTTCTTGCTATTTCAGTAATTTAAAACCTCGTTTAACTAAATAAAACTATCTAATCAATCATAAACAAAAACTCGTCCACTAGCTACATAACCAAACAGTGAGACACAAATAATGAGAAACTAACCCTAAAATAATAGAAACGATTTGTAAACAAAACACGACATCTACAGAAAACCGGAACGAAATTAACAATAGAATTGGCTTCAGCTGTTCCATAAGGATGGGAAATCTACTTAGGGACTATGTTTTATCTATGGTTTAACACGCAGCTAAAAAGCTATACCTGACAAGAGCTCCAACGTGGGAGTCAAGATTAAAACTACTTTGCTTGGACTCCTGTTGTTAGTATGATTGATAATCAGGACTGATCTGAATAAACTCATCATTACCGCACAGGTTAAACAGAATTTTTAATGGCTCTACTCCTGAGATAATTTTACTTACGGCAAAAGAAATTTGGCGATCTCGGTGACAAAGTTCTCTAATTCTTCATCCTGCAGGGATTCATCACGTTTGAGAACTTGAATTACTTCCTGTTAGAAACAACAGCAGGATTAACACAAATAGGACATTGTCATACTAAAGAGCTTTGAACAGCAGATATAAGTTATTACTTCACTAATAGACCTGTATTATACTTGATACTTGGAAGTCTTCCACTGGAAGAACTGAAGTGCCGTGATTGTCAATTATTATTGCATAAAGGCTGCTGTGGTTGTTGCTGACACGTTAAGCAATGACCACTTCAATTAGATAATTGAATAGTTTGCTGATGACATGTCATCATCTTTTCTTCTAATCAGTTTGGTTTAAGGAAACGTTCTATGCAAGGATTTGGAATTGTTAAATAAAGGGGGTATCAGCTAGCTTTCCTTAAAGAAATACAGAAAGGCCATAAAACACATGGAAGACACTAGAATCACACAATATAATTGAACCCAGGGGCGGCCTCGTCAAGTGTAGAGATTGTCGAGTGTCTTCCGTGTCTTCTACCTGTATTTCCTCTAAAAAAAGTAAACTGCTATCCCCCTTTTCTTCTCATCAGTTATTTTAATTTTTGGATTTACAATGAAACTAAAGTTCAGCCTGAATAAATTTTTGTCCTAAAAAAAAAACATTACACTGCAGCCAATATTTAAAATATTTCACTGTCACTGAAATAAGGAACTAAGAGAATTAAGCATAATGTGAGGCCAAAGATGTGCTTCAAGCATAGACTTTGTTGCTGAAGCAAAATGTAGAGGTGAGATGGATTGGACATGTAATAACGAGGGGAAAAGGTGGACCAATGAAGTAGCCAAAGACATGAGAATGTTGGAGCTGAAAAAAGAGATGCAAAGGATAAAAAATGAGAAGATTGATATTTGGTGTTTATTTATACATTCTTAGGTATAATCCATGGAAGTAACACTAAGATAGAGTAAGGTTTGATTTTGGAAGAGATGGTAAATTATTATAACTACTGTGAATGAAGTAAAATCGGTATTGGCCATGGAAGTAACACTAAGATAGAGTAAGGTTTGAGTTTGGAAAGGATGGTAAATTATTATAACTACTATGAATGAAGTAAACTCGGTGTTCCTTGTGCCAGAATGGACTTTACATTCTGGTTACCCTACTATTCTATAAACAATACTTATGATATGGTACTTAGTACTTACACTAAGAGACAACAACTCCAGTTTGCCGGGAGTTGCTTGCTCCTCCTCCTCAGAATCACTAGCCGCTTCCACTCGGCTCTTCCCGTACTTCTTCTTTGTAGACTTGGTCTTGGTTTCACGACCCTACATACGGAAACAATAAGTAACAAGTTTCACCACCAACATTGCAAATCTTGCAATAGGCTACATAGATTGAAACATCTTGATTGGTTAGTGTTGAAAATTTGGCTATGCTCATGTGAGTAAACAGTAAACACTACAGTAAAATGGCTGATCCAGCTCGTTTGGGACAGTGGAGGTGTAGGATAATTGAAAATGCCAGATTACTCAACAATGTGTTATATGAAAACAGCCATTATTGCAACACTAACAGGAATTTCACTAATTTGAGAACGTAATAAGAAAATTGTTCGCCAGCAACCCCATTATTTCAACCATTCGCTCCTGAAGTCTACCCATTGCTCCCGACTCTGCCAATTGCTCTAGAATCTGCCAAATATGCTTTAAACAGCACTCCAAAATCTATTTTAGACCTCAAGACCGATGCAGCACATTTAAAATTGCCGGACTATTGAATGCTGGATTAGAAAGCTTTTACTGTAGGCCTATCTCAATTATCAATCATTGAGATGGGGACGCCACCTAGGTACGTATTTTAACTCAAATACGAGTGAGGGGTGACGGTAGAATTGAGTGATATGATCTGTGTAGCTATGTTACTGACTATGATCAGCTGTTTCATTAGCCATGATCATTTATTTAAAGCCCAATGATCAGGAACAGCAGGGTTCAATTTGGAACAATCAAAAAGCTACTGAGTTTTTACAGGATTGATCAGGCGACATTTATTTTGATTGTTCGGCAAGCAGTATAACCACTCCGCTACCCAGCCAGTTATAGTGAATAAAATATATCCTCAGATAATAAACTCAATTGAAACTATTCTGAAATTAAATTTGGAATTATAACTTGAATGCCTTTTGCAGTCACAGCAAAATAGTGAGTGTCTTTCACAAAATTGTAGATTTTTGATCGCGCATCTTTGCAGACAATGTCTACTGCGATCACGAAAATAAAACTCGGCTTTCCCCGACCCAAGCGTAGCCTTAAAATAATTCCTGGCCTGAACAAACCCCTTGGATCAACTGTGGTCCAAGATGATCAAAAAATAATGATGACCTGCAGACCCCTAATCCGATCACTAGTTTTCTAGCTTTCAGTAACATACCTGTGTTCCGCCACCTCCCTTGCCACCAACCGCTCGTTTGCGTCTCTCCTCTCTTCTCTCAGCCTTGTGGTCCACCTCTGGCTCTCTCCCCCCTCCACCTCCCCCTTGCCTCTCCAATCTGGACTGTTGGTACTTGCCTGAAGACACTGCCTGTGGTGAAATATCTCTTATTACATGTTGTATAATTACATTTTAGGGTTAGTATAATAAACTAATTCAACACTAACACAAGATTTTTACAGAATTGTCAACTTCTGCTAAATGGTAACTTTTTAACCTTTCAAATGTTGTTTTATGAAAGTTATGTTTTTGGCTATATCACAGATTCGTTGAAAGCTTACTAAAGAAACTCATGAGCCCTTTTTATTTTTTGAAAAAAATACATTGAAGAGTGCTTGGTAAATTTACTGATCCGTTCTTGTAAACGACTTTCATGTCTACAACGAGACCAGAAACTAGCTGTTTACATTGTAGTCTGACAAAAATAGATTTACAGTGCTACAACAGAAAAAAATGGACCTTGAAAAGTAGTTGAGTTGTTTTCTCCAGTGAGCTTTCAATAATAAGTATGTTTTATAGTTGAATCACAAGATGCGTTTGAATGCAGCCGGGACCTGAAAACCTGAGGTAAAAAACGAGGTTGTTTAACTATTCAGTTACATCTCAAGAAACTAATACCAAACTCAGGTAGGTGTCAACAAAATAAAAACACCCAGGCCAACTGAATGTCTTAAGGGTCAAATTAGGCAGTTGTGTTTGTTCTTTATTGCCTCAATATGTTTTCAGCATCAATTTACATGTTGTATTTACTTGTTGTATCAGCACTATTCTCCTACATATTTGTTTTAACAACAATTTCTAATGTCAATAAGTACGCACCTCTTCTGCTTTCTTGTCAATCAGCTTTTCATTTATAGGCTTCACCAGAGTCTGCAGGAAATGGTCAGTGACCACAAAAGTGCTACAGAATGTGTGCGTCTGAACATTGCTCTTCATGTTCTTCACCACCTCCTTGAGGATCTCTTCTCCATCCTCAACTTCAAAAACAGACGGAAGGACGGACTGGAAAATTAAAACACTAATAGATTAATATATCTACTGGTAGCCTACTGCGAGTTTTTAGAGGAAAGATCACAAGGTTTAGGTATACGTTAGGTAAGGTGAAATGTATACAAAACTAATTTACCCAGGCAAAAAGTTTTAGGCAGTTGACAGTACCATACACAAAAACTTCACAGTATAATAAGTTATGTTAATTATAATTGAAATTTCACACCAGACCTACATTATTAAATTAAATTATTTGGTTGTGTATTCATTGCTTCTTTCCTATACCGTAACTGACTCTTTAATTTAAAGGGTTATATTCTCTACCATCTGATGATTGTAGGTGTACCTTTTTAATGACCAACCTTACTAAAATTTTCTAATTGAAATGTTTGTATGCTTAACATTTTTCAATGACCCCTTTGTGTCTAATTATCTGAGTTCCTCTATACAGTTAATAATCATAACTTTTAAAAATGTGTTATCAATACCTACCATAACGTCAAACCAGGACAGGGAGGAGACAGCCTCATCTAACGAGCCTTCCACCTGATCCAACAGTTGACGGCCAACGGCGCATGACGGCAACAACACCAGCTTCTCACCGGAGAACTGACGCTTCACAAACGACATTGCGTCTGAGATACCCAGTCTGTGCAGCGCGCTGTACTCTGTACATCAATCAGTGAAACAAACCGTGTATTTATCTTGTGATGAACAAAAAGTCAATTTTATTTAGGTAAAATTAATTGAGATACTAACTAAGTTATCAAAGGCCAATAAGTGTTTGGGAGCCTGCAAGAAGTTTATCTCATCTAAAGTATTATTACAGAACGAAACAATAATTCAACCTATGTTATATGGAAAAAACATGGGTATTGTCCAGGAAAAATGAAAACAACTCATGGTTTTTTTTTTATTAAGTCCCTTGCAAAAAAAAAATATTTGGACCAGTGCAAGAGGGAGAAATGTAGGGGATGAGGAAAATAGAGAGCTAACATCACTATACACCGACCCAGATATTGTTGCAATGGTTCAAGGAAGAAGGTTATAGTCCTCGCCACCTTAACTTGAGGCAGCCCAAGGCCACACGTCGTATATCTAGTGCGGCCTTGAGCTGTCTCAAGTTAGGGTAGCTACAAGTTGGATAGGGAATGTGCTAAGAAGAGAGAAAGGAACAAGACTGTATAAAGTTTGGAGAGCCACACCTGGAGGTAAGCGTCCATTGGGAAGGCGGAAATTGAGATGGGCTGACCAAGTATTGACCGACGACGTCAACTTGACAGAAGACAGAGAAGGGTGGAAGAGGCTGGTACACGAGGCAAAGAATTGACTGAGATTTGTGGAACCACGGCAGTAAGTAAAATTGATTGAAAGTAAGTGAAAAAGGGGCCCATAGATCCATTACTGTGTGACACCATAAAAAGTCAAAATTTATCATTAGGTCTAAGGGGGTTCAGAGGGTGTTCAGACTGTGAGAATCTATCTTTGTTATCGCTGGTGAGTTATTTTACATATCATTAAGCTGAGATAAAATCTCAGATCTTTATAAAGTTTCTGATTATATTTAGTACTAACCTATATAACCGTTCTGCTTGTAGAAGTTGGTAGCCCACTGACTCTGAGCCTTGGAGTACACGTGAGGTATGAACGTAGCTGCAGTACCTTGTCTGCCAGTCAGCGTACCAGCAACTTCCTTGCTCTCCAGTAGACTGTCAATCACAGCTGTTGACAAAACTCAGTCTTACCAACCGTGTTATTTCATTCCAACCTTTGACAAAGAATATGAAAAGCCTACACTTTTGATAATTTAAATATTTTACAATATTTCAATATCGTGAATACAAAAGATTTTTCCCTTCAAAAAGGCCGTGGAGTTTCTTCAGGTATACCCTGCTAAACTCTATCTTTTTCCAGAAAAAAATACTTGATCAGTGATGTTCAATAAATCATTTACAAGTCTCCACAAACTTAAGTATTTAAAAAGTTTATTTTTTATAAGGACTTTTCACAGGTGGAATCGTCAACAAATTAGCAACCTCAAGAAAATGTAAATCTTCAATCTATTTAGAGCTACCACACTTCATAGCTAAAACTAAAAAATACTTGGCAAAATATCATACCAAGTGACAATTTATCATATCTACGATGCTAATGAACTAACCTCTAACTTAGCTTAAAAATTGCATCATTTTAAAAATAGTTTAAGCGTGGCATTTGAAATACTTTACATAACACAGAAACTGTCCATAGATTTTGATAATAGAATAATTTTAGGAACTAATTAATCGTAAGTTATCTCACAAAAGAACGTCCGCTCGGAGATGCCGCACTGATTGATTATGGCGGTGACAGGTGTCGGTCGAGTGGCAGCCACCAGGGCGCCTCGTACCACGGCTTTGTTGCGAGCCACAAACGCATCCGTGAAGAACATCCGAGCATCTTGTTTATCCTGCTTTGCGTGAATTACTTTTCCCAGATTTTTCTCCACCACCTGAAAACAAAGATCAAATGTTTTTAAAACTCCGGCTAAGAGCATCCATCAAAGACACTCTCTTATAAACTGCTGGAAACAATGTTAACGTATCTTTCTCTCCGGTAGAATACATTTTTATGTTTACCATTGTTAAATTTTTTACTTTTATTTTATCAACTATGAAACTATTTTAACTATTTTATCGAAAAACAAGTTGACCTTTTTTTGTCATATAAAAAGCAACATAACTACATGTTCTTGAAACTGAATGTCACCGTAAATTCAAAATAAAAAGATAGGTAGGTACATTTTTAAAAACTACTGCTTGTCCCCTGATACTATAACCAAAGTAGACAAACTGAAATCGTAGTTTACGCAATGATCACGTAAAAATTGTGTTAACGGCATGAGTAGGAATTTGAGGTACAATACCTTAGCGAGCGCCTTTTCAACGAGTGTCGTAAAGACTATTTACGTGAGTTGCCTACAATATTTTACCTACAACCAATTTTTAATTACTAACCATCACTACTCATAACTTCTAAGTGAGATTGTGTTTTCGTCTCTTATAGCCTCTCATTGCCACTGACATTGATGCAACAACTCATTGTACCAATCACTAATTGCACCAATCGTTGACAATTAAATTTGTAAACAGCTGATTAGTTGAAGTTCGAAACAATTGTACTTATCTTCTGTCAATCCTTGTACCTCATTGGTCCGTTACTCGTGTTGTTAAGAAAAACAATGCTGTTAAGTGAATTTTTTTTATTCTAAGAACTGAACTGGAACGGCTAGTTTAAAAAACGACCGTAGGTGAAATTATTTCACATATGGAGGAGGAAGACATAATTTTACATCGGCAAACTCAAACGTAACAGGATGTGAAAGAAATCAAAACATGCTTAGTTAAAGCAACGTAGAAGTAGCAGTCTTTGAATTGTTAATTTTTTATTTTATTTTCTGTAATATGTCATGTTCATCCAAATATAAGTATAATAATTTGTAAGTATTGTAGTGAATAAAATCTACAGTCAATGATAAATACAACTAAACTTAACTCACATGATTGATTATTTAATATGTTTACTGTTTTATGTTATTAGTAAATACTCAGCTTTGTTTATATTCCATTATTGTTCATAGTTCAGTTTTCAGATTAATAAAACCCTTTATTCTGATTACAATTAATCTGGGTTTACTTTCATTACAATTTATTAATCTGAATTATTCAAATGTTAGATTATTTATAATTTAATTTTCCTTACCTCTAACTCTTAAACTATGGAAAGATTTCTAAAACCAGATAGATTTGACACTGATCCAAGTTCTCCCAACAGTGCTAAACTTTGGAAACATTTCCTAAAAACATTTGAAAGTTTTGTAAACAAAATTGGAACAAATGAAGAAAGAGTAACTTCAGAGGACAAACTGAACCTTTTAATTAATCATGTTTCCCAACCTATCTTCGAATTCATAACTGAATGTAATACCTATGATGAAGCCATCAAGATTCTGAACAGTATATTTATAAAACCAACGAGTGAAATCTTCGCAAGGTACCAGTTAGCATCACGTAAGCAAAAATCAGGTGAGACTATCAGTGAATACCTACTATCCCTAAAAGTTCTAAGTAAGGAATGTAAATTTTCTGCAGTCACTGCTGAAGAACATAAAAACAACTTTATTCGGGATGTATTTCTTAGTGGAATTTTATCTTCTTCAATACGACAACGGCTTTTAGAAAATAATACTCTATCTCTGGAACAAGCTTGTAATCAAGCTCTAGCTTTGGAAGCTGCTCATAATCAGTCAGTCTGCTACATATTCTAATGTCGATCCTGTTGTAAATGCTACTTCATCTGTAAATTCTGCTTCTGAGAATGATGTGTCACAGCTTTCAGCAACAACCTCTAAATGCTACTTCTGTGGATACGGTAGACATCCACGTGCATCATGTCCAGCTAAAGATGCAGTCTGCAAGAACTGCTCTAAAACAGGCAATTATTCAAAAGTCTGTAGGTCTAATCTCAAAAAGAGTAACAATAAAGCTTCTAACGCCGTTACGACTGATCCAAATGTCGTTGCTACTGTGACAGCAGCTTCACCTTCTTGTTTAAAACGAGCTGTGGTACCAGTCACTGTAGATAATGTTCAAGCCGATGCATTAATAGATACAGGGAGTTCAGAAACTTTTTTAAGTGATGCATTTGTTTCTAAACATAAAATTAGACTTTTCCATAGTTCTGGTAGAGTTTCAATGGCATCCACTTCACTTAGCTCTCAAATTGTTGGGTATTGCATTGTAAATGTAAGGCTTTTAGAACATTCATACACCAAAGCAAGAGTGGCGGTTTTGAAGGATCTATGTGCTGACGTTGTGATAGGTCACGATTTGTTAAAACATCACTCACAAATTCAAATGGATTTTGGAGGACATAAATCACCATTAAACATATGCGCTCTAGCTCATGCTCAAATTGATCCTCCGCCGTTATTCAGCAATCTTACTGAAAACATAAGACCTATAGCGACTAAATCTCGCAAACATTCAATGAATGACAGCCTCTTCATTCGAAGCGAAGTTCAAAAACTTTTGTCGGAAGGAATAATTGAAGAAAGTCGATCACCATGGCGGGCTCAAGCTCTAGTCACAACCAATGAAAACCATAAGAAACGAATGGTTATAGACTATTCTCAAACTATAAACCGCTTTACGCTGCTGGATGCTTATCCACTTCCTAGCATAGAAAGCGTAGTTTCTAAAGTATCAAAATACTCAGTGTTCAGTACCATCGATTTATCTAGTGCGTACCATCAGATTCCTATTAGAGAGGATGAAAAGCAATATACAGCTTTTGAAGGTGATGGTAGACTTTATCAATTCACCAGGATTCCATTTGGGGTCACAAATGGAGTAGCTTGTTTTCAGAGGGTAATTGATGATATGATCTCATGAAAAAAGTCATAGACTCTATTTCAGAACCTCTCACAATTATTATCAACCAATCATTTCAAAACAACATATTTCCTAAACAATTTAAATATGGAGAACTCAAGCCACTTTTTAAGAAAGGTGAAAAGCATAATCCTGACAATTATAGGCCTGTATCACTTTTACCTTCTTTTTCCAAGATTTTTGAAAAAATTGCTTATAAACAAATTTATAATTTCTTGGAAACATACAATATATTTAGTAGTAAACAGTTTGGTTTTAGAAAGGGTTGCAGCACAATGACCGCTATATCACATTTTGTTAATGAAGTGTCATGGGCCTTGGATGAGTCACAGAGTACAATGGGAGTGTTTTGTGATTTATCCAAGGCTTTTGATTGTGTCAACCATGACATTCTTTTGAAAAAACTGGAAATTTATGGATTTTCTAAGAAATCTATTTTATGGTTGAAATCTTATATAACAGGTAGATTTCAAAGAACTGTTATTTTAAAAGGAGGCTTGCAGTCAAAATCTGAATGGAGTGAAATTAGAGTAGGTGTCCCACAGGGCTCTATTTTAGGTCCTCTTCTTTTCTTAATTTATATAAATGACTTACCTGAAAATATTTCTCATAATTTAATACTGTATGCAGATGACACAACTGCTGTTGTTAAAGCTAAAACGGAGGATGATTTATGGGTGAAAGTAGAAGACGCTTTAATGGATCTTAGAAGGTGGTTTGAAATAAACGGACTAAAATTAAATCCAGAAAAAACACAACTAGTAAAATTTAATACGATACAATCCCGAAATTTCACACATAAAACAAGAACCAAAACTGTCAAATGTACAAAATTTTTAGGTTTGTATGTTGATTCAAATTTAACCTGGGCCAAGTGCATTGAAAACATATTACATAAGCTTAATTCTGCCTGTTTCCAAATGCTTTGTTTGAGAAATATTTTGGATATGAAAACACGTTTAATGATATATTATGCCTATTTTTATTCAATATTGCATTATGGGATTGAATTTTGGGGATTCTCATCAGAAATAGAAAAGATTTTTAAAGTTCAAAAAAAATACTTAAGAATAATGACATTTGCTAAACGAAAACAATCATGTAGACCAATTTTTAAAGAACTTAATATAATGACTGTACCAAGTTTAATCATTTTTAAATCCTTATTAATGGTACAGTCAAATTTTGAAAACTTATGTGCGGAGAATTTTGACCATCCATATAACACCCGTTTCAAAAAGAATTTTCAGTTTCCGATTCACCGATTAAAATTAATAGAAAAAACACCAAAATATATGGGAAAGAAATTGTTTAATAAACTGCAACCAAAATATAAAGATTTAATAAACAAAACGTCTTTTAAAAGCAGCCTTGCCTCATTTCTTGTAAACAAAATATATTATAGTATTGACGAATTTTTGAATGATGGTAATTTTTTAAATTAGCAAATATTATGTTTTATAAAATAACCCAAATAATTATTTGTAAGAATCATTGTTTATTTTTTAGTATTTTAGGTACTTATTATGATATATGATTATATTGACAATGTCACCTGTTTTTGTAGCTTATGCTATGTAATCTGTAAAACGTTTATGTGACAATAAAGATATATTTATTTATTTATTTATTCATTCGAACTGAAAATTTAAATGGAACTTTTGCATATCTCGATGACATCACAGTATGCGGAAATGATCAATGTGACCATGATGCAAACTTAGACAAACTTCTTGAAGCTGTCAAGAAATATGGCCTTACTATTAATGAGAACAAAAGCAGGTATTCGCTAAAGTCAATAAACCTCTTGGGATATGAGATAAGTAATAAAACCATCTGGCCCGATCATGATAGACTGAAACCATTACAGAATCTACCACTGCCTACAGACACTGCTTCACTGAGAAGAACTATAGGTATGCTGTCTCACTACTCAAAGTGGGTCCCACATTACTCAGAAAAAGTACATTGTTTAATACAAACTAAAACGTTTCCAGTTTCATCTCAGGCTGCCGCAAGCTTTGAAAATCTGAAGCAAGAAATAATCAAATCAGCTATTTCTGCTATTGATGAGGATATCCCCTTTGATGTTGAAACTGATGCATCCGAGCATTCAATTGCAGCAAGCCTTTCCCAGAACGGTCGACCTGTTGCATTTTTCTCAAGAACCTTATCATCAAGTGAACAAAGACACTCTGCTGTTGAAAAAGAAGCTTATGCTATAGTCGAAGCTCTGAAAAAGTGGCGACATTTCCTTATTGGTCGACACTTCAAACTCATTACGGACCAAAAATCTGTGTCCTTCATGTTTGATAACACCCACTCAAGCAAAATCAAGAATGAAAAAATACTTAGATGGCGTTTGGAGCTTGCATGCTACAGTTATGACATTATTTACAGGCCGGGAAAACAAAATAATGTTGCTGATACCTTATCCCGAGTCTGTGGATCAACCAATTCAAACAAGCTGCATCAACTGCATGCTCAACTTTGTCATCCAGGAATCACAAGGATGGGACATTGGGTGAGAAGTCGGAATTTACCATACTCCTTGGAAGAAATAAAGAGAATGACTGCTTTGTGTCCCACCTGTGCGGAAATAAAACCTCGTTTTTACAGACCTCAGGAAACAACTCTTATAAAAGCAACTGCTCCATTCGAAAGGTTGAATATAGATTTCAAAGGACCATTGCCAACAAATTCTAAAAATAGGTACTTGCTGACTATAGTAGATGAATTTTCACGCTTTCCATTTGCGTTTCCGTGCCAGGATATGACGACTAACACAGTGATAGAAAAGCTATGTGATTTGTTTTGCTTATTCGGTCTACCTTCTTTTATTCACACTGATCGAGGCGCATCATTCATGTCAAGAGAACTAAAAGATTTCTTAAACACTAAAGGTGTAGCAACAAGCCGAACCACGCCATATAACCCACAAGGAAATGGTCAAATCGAGCGGTATAATGGTACAATTTGGAAAGCAATTACACTATTGTTAAAAAGTCGCAATCTTTCAGTACATAATTGGGAACTTGTATTAAATGATTCCCTGCACGCTATTCGTTCGCTTCTATGCACTGCCACAAACCAGACTCCACATGAACGGATGTTTATTCATTCGAGAAAATCCTCCAACGGTCAGTCCTTACCAACTTGGCTTCTTGAATCCCAAAAAGTATTATTGAAAAGAAATGTTAGACAAAGTAAATATGATCCATTGGTTGACGAAGTTGATCTGATTGACGTTAATCCTAACCAGTGTTGGGGAAGCTACTTTTAAAATGTAGCTAGCTACAACTACTGCTACATTTCCTAAAAAGTAGCTTAGCTACAGCTACAGCTACAGTTCCGAAAAAGTAGCTAGCTACAACTACAGCTACAATGAAATGTAGCTACAGCTACAATTTTAGCTACTTTTCCAAAGACGTTACTTTTTATTCCACACACATTAGGTAAATGTTAAATTAATTTCAACTTCATTTTTATTGAACAAACATTTAAACAAAAAATGTCACATTAACTAACATTACTTGGAAAACAAATTATTCCTTGAGTGTATTTAATTTGTTGGCATTATAAACCGAACATTACAATAACAGAAACAAATAGTTGGGTGTCCCATCATATTAAGTACCTACTTATTTGTAAATGACTTATTGCATTATTTTTAAGCAACTTATGTAAATTTCATTAAGTTCAAAGGACACACAACCAAACTATATTTTAAAAGCTCATTTTATTTCTTAAATATAGATTCATTTATAGATGTCTTATATCAACAATTAAGACCAATAAAACTGTAAAACGATTATTTAAAAATATTTTTTGTTTTACAGAGCCTATAGCCTACTGAAATTGGAGTTAATTGCCTTTCTTTTCTTTTAATGTTAAAAACGACATTGCTATAACTTTTAAACATAGTGATAATTTACTTGTTCTATGAATAACACTTTTCAATGTCAAGAAATCGTCCTTTATTGTCATTATGCATAGGGCAAATTGTGCTTCAACCTAGTTGGCACAGAAAACAGTATTCAGCAACTTATACTGAAATCGGCTTTTAATTTAAACATGTTGAAATTTGTAAAGTAACAAATTTGAAAATAACATGTAGGCCTACTTGGCTATGTAACAAGTTGGCTATAGTAGGATTGTTCTTGCAAGGACTAAACAGATATATTCATAATAATTGAACTTGGAACTTGGCATTCTTCTTAAACCATAGCATAGCCTAGGAATAGTCCTATACAAGAGCTGTTAGCAGGAGCAAACTATGCTATTTTTTCAATGTAAGTTTCATGTTATATGGGGATTTTTTCGTTACAATTATCATGTAGTCTAGGCATCTCAAGTAATTTCCTCTCTGTTAATTTAGTAAACCTTTGAACAATCTTCGTAATCTAACCAAGGAAGGGCTTGTGATGATGAACCAATATCAACAGCTGAAGCAAAGGTTGATAGACTAGCTTTCTCATTATTTTAAGGTTTAGTGTTGGTTTTTGGTTTCCATTAAAACCCAAGTTTAAACACTATCGATGTAATAAAGAAACTATAAATTGACTACTAATTTCCCTGTCAATCACTTGCAAGCATTCAATAGCTTCTCTTGTCACCGCCGTCACCGGTAACGTTTAAACGTCGTCTGCATCTAGTGATTTTATTTCATCTGACAGTAATCATAGAGTAGTAAATTAAGGAAATGAGAGCCAAAAATGTGGATAACACTCATTTAATGGCCTCCATGTCCACACAACGTTGTAATAGGGAATGAAACGGCTGCAACCAGCTGTATGAAGCCAAGAAAGTAGGCCTAATTTTTTTTTTGAAAATCTCAGTTTGAAAGAGGTTGTTTCACGTAAGGTTGAGGTTATGATAAAAATCACTATCTCAACCAATGTTAATGTAGCGAGAAAAGTAGTTAAAATTCCGCTACAACTACTTTAAAAATGTAGCTAGCTACAGCTAAAGCTACAAAATCTTAAAAGTAGCGTAGCTACAGCTAACGCTACAAAAAAAGTAGCGCGCTACTGTAGCGTCGCTACTTGTAGCGCGCTACTTCCCAACACTGATCCTAACTACGCAACAATACGACTAACAAATGGAGAAGAAAAGACAGTCTCTCTTATACAGTTGGCTCCAAGGGGAGACATTGAGCTCACAAACCGTTCTGAAGAGTGTACGGAGCAAAGTGTAGATGAACCTGAGCTTGCTGACATCAGGGAAGAATGTCATTTGACCATAAATGAAGACACCATCTCTCAGACAAAACAACAGCAACTGAACACACATGTTCAGTCACTTCCAACTGTCTATCAATCTCAACCAAACACCAACCAGACCAAAGCTGACTAGTTGAATAGTTAAAGTGATGGTCAAGCAACACTAAGGCGAACATCAAGAATCAGATATCCTCCAAAATACCTGAAAGACTATTCTCTATCTAGGAGGGGAGAATGTAGTGAATAAAATCTACAGTCAATGATAAATACAACTAAACTTAACTCACATGATTGATTATTTAATATGTTTACTGTCATATGTTATTAGTAAATACTCAGCTTTGTTTATATTCCATTATTGTTCATAGTTCAGTTTTCAGATTAATAAAACCCTTTATTCTGATTACAATTAATCTGGGTTTACTTTCATTACAAGTATACTTAAGCATTATTTTACGTGCATTATTTTAAGCGTATTTTACTAAATGCTATTCATTGTAATATGGCTGTATCGACAAATAAAGAAGTATTGATTTGCTTCAGATTTTACAATGCAGCCTAATGTGAAAGCCATTTGTAATATTTAAATTCAATGAAGAAATATTCTTCTTTCTGAAAAAATATTTTGCTGAACTTTGTAGCCCAGTTCTTATTAAACTTAGCTAAACAGTATGTAGGCATAGGTAAAAAACATAAACTAATCCAATAATCCAATATAACTTACCGACTGAAGAAAATCGCTAGGAAGATCATACTGTCGAGTTAGGTCGGCTATTGACACCTGACCTTGCTGGGCCAAACGTTCGTTGATTTCTTCTGCAATATGTTTTACGTAGTTTTTGTCTATCAGCTGACCAAGGACAAGCTGACATGCTGATTCCGCTCTCTCAATTTCATTGGCTTTCGCTGTGATCTGAGCAAGGTCAACATTCAAGACCTTTGAAAGCTCGACCAAGTTTATCCTGCCTGAAAATAAAATTAACTTTTTTTTATTTGTCATAGCCTACTCAGTTGGTTAAAATCTTCTTAGTAGTCTTTTAACCCTTAAGCACGCTTGTAAACTTTGGTAAAAAAAATAATTCTTATAAATCCTTATGGCAACTTCTTGTTTAATGAGTGTTTGAGGTCTGACAGGTTGAAGGACTCTTGATTATCACTACACTGAATTCTTCGCACCTCACCTTCATCACACCTAGGTAGCATCCCGATCTCTAATGATGATCATCGAAATAGTAGGCTACTTCTAAAAGATATAATCAATCAAGTATTATATTACAATAAAATCTGTGTAAATTAAAACCTCACTAGTCCTACTCATTGAATAATCCAGCAATGGTTAAAAATTTGTCTAGTGAATCCAGGAACAGCCATTTTGCTGAGTTTGGACACGTTTGGCAGGGTTAGGCCTATGGTTAAGCGTCTTGAGTTTGGGTGTACCTGTAACTTAATGCCTATTATAATTCTCTATTTTGATGGTACTGTATTTCTGCAATCCTTCCAAAAGCTCATTTTTAGACATTGTCAGTCTAATCTGGAACTGTCAAAATTCCAAATGTGCTGGAATAGATACTGTAGAATCCTACTTATGACAAAAAACTACTGAAGAAGTACTGACATCTTAAATCGATTGAAATTGGTGTTGTAATTTAGAAAACAATATTGGTTAAAAGTGTTAACTAAATTCTGCTGTAGGCTAAATGTACAAAGTAGGGTAGATCTAAGATAATTTTGTATAGTGGTAGGCCTATGGTATTTGAATTTAGCCCTTCTTTTAGTATATTTAGTATTTAATACTCCAGGTCTTAAATCTATAGCCAACGGTATTACAAAACAGAAAAAACTTTGATTGCTGTTAAAAACAAACAACAAATTACTGGTACCGTACCAAAATCTTACCTCCATGGACAAAAAGTTCATCTTTTATTTCCTTAACCAGCTGCTGAGGTGTGAGATACTCTTTGCCATCTGTAGTGAATATCACTTCAAGTAGCTTCAACTCGATTAGTTTGGTTATAACTTCGACACAATTCCTTTCACTAAGCCTAAAAAAAATACCAGGTTAAATTGGTTGAAATATTGAGTTTTGCTAACTTATTAGTTTTGTACAACTTTTGGCTACCTATATATTAGTTTTATTTAAAATTAAAACTCGTTTAATGTAAATATTTGAATCAAAATGGAGTTCAGGACAGGTTCTAAGGGCCTATTCACACTGGGCCACCATGGTGGCGACACTGGTGGCCGGTCAAAATGCGCATGGACCACCAGCTCAGCCACCAGTGCAGCTGCAGCCACAAAGCTCACAGTTGGACGTCGAATAGGCAGGTGCTTAGCGTGTACCTGTAAATATTTTATTTTTAAAATATTTACATATTTTTAAAATTTCGAAATCATAAGAAAAAAAAAATAGTTTTTTGGTTCATCCGTTCTTATGAGATATAAGTACCAGAGGGACTTTTTTCATTCACTACCAAGACCTTAGAAATAACCCTGACACGTTTCACACTTACTCAAGAATGAGTGTTTTAAGTTTTGAGGAGCTTCTGGGACGTCTGAAAGATAAAATATCAGGACAATCTACGAGACTGCGGGGCAGCATATCTCCAGAAGAGAAACTGCTACTGACGTTGTGGAAAATTAAATAAAAACATAGTTAATATACCATTTATTAATAACACTGTAATACCTTGACTCAATGTATACATTGCAATGACGAAAAGATGTTAATGAAATAGAGTATACATTTTGTTATATCATTAAAATCGTTTCCCCACATTTATTACCTTAACAACTTCAAAAGATTAGTAAACTAGTATACTGAGTAATGCCCACTGGTAGTGTCTGGTGGCGCTGCCAGTCGCTCCAATGTGAACAGTCCGATAAGAAACCATGGTGCGACGTGGTGTCGCCACCAGACTGGTGTCTTTGAAAATCGCAACCCCGAGCCACCCCATTTGTGGTCGCGCGGCCAGACGCACAACCAAAGCTCAGTGTGAAGATGTCCCATTTAAATCAATGCTAATGTAACGTAGCCACCATGGTGTCGCCACCGGTGTCACCACCATGGAGGCCCAGTGTGAAGGGGGCCTAAGCTATGAGGAACTCTGGCCGTAGCCTAGTGGTGAGCATCCATAGTTGATGTTTTTGAAACATCGATGTCCCGATTTTTTCCGATTTTTTTGTTACATTGATGTTTTGGCCAAGTATTAAAATATCAATGTTTTCCATAGCAGAATTGTAGGCTATTAAGTTAGTTTTGATGAAAATTTAAATGTTAGTCTAAAATTTAAATATGTTAGTCTTAACAAGTAATTGAATCTCGGTATGTATTCATTCTATAGGCTATTGAGAGGCTGATGAAATATTGAATCCAAAAATAGGTTAAGCTAAGTATATGAGGCAATACAGTGAGCAAACAAAAAACTGAATAAACGTCGATTAATATTGACGTTTTAACCCAAAATAAATTGATGTTTTTGCGACAATGTTATCAGTGGGTACATTGATAGTTTAAGATTGATGCTCATCCCTACCGTAGCAAACTCTAAGTTAAAAAGCAGTTGTTAGTCGTAAATTTTCCAGATTGCAGAAAAATGGATGGCTTACACATAGCTTAGGCCTACATAGGTTCTCTGGAAGAAGCAGTGGGAACACTAAGTTGTTCCCGCCCCACCAAACCACCGTCAATAAATAGTTAGGCCTATCATCAACTCTATCGAGCAACTCATTCAAAGGTCACCCGTAACATAAGTTAGTTAGTGGAGGTGGCCAACAATTGGATGGCTGGGTAGATTTATTGTGAATTAGCTTAAGTTACTTGCTCATCCATCATCACAATTTGTTTGCCTAGTTCTTTAGCCTAGCCTATCTGTAGAAAAAGTTAATTAGGGCAAGATTAACAGTCAAGTGTATAATCTAAGGTGGAAAAGGGTAAATATTAGATTAATTAATTAGGCCTATTTAATTTGTTCCAAACTCATCCTTAGTGTTAGCAATTAATTGGTAAGACCAAAATATGGTAGGCTACCTTAATGCTGAAGTGCTAAGTTGGGCTCTTTGGAAATCAGCAGCAAGCCGTTTAACCTCCTCCCAGTCACCAGCCGACATTTTTAAGTGAAATTGTGAATAGTTGGTAGGTGAACAAACAACTAATCATCTAAGTTTAATTCGTCATTGAAATGTTTCTTTACAATTAGCAGTAACAAGTCAACAAGTGACAATGACAATTGACAAAGTCATAGGTTAGACTTAAACATCATCAACAAAACAATCGAACAACGGCAACAACTGTTCAATGATGACGTCGACTCGACTACTCGACTGTCGACAAAAACAAAAGAATAAAGACAGACAACCTAGAATAAAAACAAAGTCAACCAAAGGTCCATTGATTTTAAAGTTTTAAAACATACAGTTGTTCATAGATAGGTCATATAGTTCAGTTGTTCATATATTTTATCATAGATTTGGAATACTGTATTATATTATCATAGACAAATCAACTCATATTTATTTTTATATAGTTGAAACAACCCTACACATTAAAATAATATACTAAAAAGTTTGTCAGTCACACAAATAATAAAAACATACAGACTATTTATTTAGCTATCAAAATTTATGTTGTTAGTTTCGATAACTTAATCAGTGTATGATCTTAACTAAGCTTTCAGTATTCATAGTCAATGGATAACAATATGATTCTGTATTATACTTGGCGCGTTATGCCATTGGATGAGTGAAAACGTGAAATGAATCAAATCAACCTAAGCCCTACGTCACGGCCAGTCGGCCACCAAAGCTCAATAATAATATGAGTTACGATGTGACTTTTTCAGCCAATTCATTCCAAATTACTTGAGCTATTCATGAATGCGCCACATACGGTGTCGGTAATGTATTGTAGCTTTTTCTCCATGGGGGTATATGATCAAGAAATTGGAAAATATGTTTACTTTACGTTATCACATAATCTTAGAATAGCGGTATTTTGTACCATATCCAATTTGGCATGCATATATTAGTAATTAGAAAGCAGGCCTTCCGTTAATCGAAAAAGGTTAAATTACCTGTGTCCAGCCCAGCCGATTTTGATGCAGGGCCGTATTTAGAATCCATGAGCCCCCCGACGGCTCTCACCAGAGAGGCATCTCTCTATATTATTATGATTCTTCAAATGTTGGAACTTAAGGGTTTGTGGGTTTACTGTAACTCGTGCGATGACCTTTTTTCCAACAATCTTCACGAAAACGTGATCGTCGTCTTGCGTGATAGCGGCAAAAATCATGAACATCTCCCGCGCTCGTGTAGACATCATCATCGTCTCCCGCGGTCACGAAAACGTGATCGTCGTTTTGCGCGATCGCGGCGAAATCAAGTTCATTTCCCGTAGCCGTTTAGACATTATTATCGTCTCCGGCGGTCTCGAAAACGTGATCGTCGTCTTGCGCGATAGCGGCAAAATCACGTACATCTCCCGCGGCCGTGTAAACGTCATCATCGTCTACCACGGTCTCGAAAACGTGATCGTCGTCTTGCGCGATAGCGGCAAAATCACGTACATCTCCCGCGGCCGTGTAAACGTCATCATCGTCTACCACGGTCACGAAAATGTGATCGTCGTCTTGCGCGATCGCGGCGAAATCAAGCTCATTTCCCGTTGCCGTGTAGACATCATCATCGTATCCCGCTGTCACGATACAATCTTGGACTTCTTCCGCGATGACAGACGAATGTGACAACTCCTACGCTAACGGTGAAATAGCGAAGATCTTTTGCGGTCACTTAGATTTCATCAACAGCTCCCACGATCACGGCGAAAAATATTATTGGTGAAATAAATGTATCAAGAAAAAAATATTTAAGGCCCCTGGCAACCTCCGTTAGGGAAATACGGCCCTGTCCTGATGTATCCTTTACAGGAGATGCATTTCATCTGCGTATTACTTCGACATGGTCAGCTTTCAGCCCTAATGTTAGTTCTTGAACTTCCCCATTAAAGGTGTGCCTTGAAGTTTTAAAACACATCATACACAACAAAACGTTACGAATAAATGAATAAATGTGATGTACATGAATACGGGTAAATGCGCGGTAGGCCTACTTAAAATTTACTAGAAACATGTAAACTGTGTCAAGGCTAAGGCTCGACATATGTTTAATCCATGGATCCTCAGATTAAAAATGTCTAATAATGTCATCACCTCGCCTTGATCACCTGGTGGATCGCTCCTTTCCAGTCTAAAGACTGTGATATGTTATTTTCTTCATCATAGCCTCCTCTAAAACTGTTATTGCCATTGCACTGACTGGTGGTAGTGCTCGCCTAACAATTAAAAGATTGCCGGATCCTGAGAAGATTCAGTAGCTTTTGAAAGGTTCAAAACTGGACCCAGCTGTTCCTAAACATCGGGCTTTAAATGGTCCTGGCTAAAGAAGCAGCTGATCTGTCAGTTAACAAAGCGGCAGGAAAACATAGGTTAGTTGGTCTAATCCCGATTGGGGACAAGGATTTTCTGCACTCCATATTATTACAATTCAGTTTTAGTTCATTAATACACTCTTTCTTCAAGTTGTGACCATTGCATTGGTCCTATGACAACTCTGTGAATAATTCAGCCAAGAATTTTGAAATTTAACCAATATTGAATATACTGATGGAAGAAAATAATTTTCATGGGATCAGTAACAAACCTCTATTTTGATCACTAAACTAAAGCAGTTGAAGAAAAAGATCTGATGGTTATAGAAGTAACAATAAAAAAACAATTACTTTCTACTTATTTAGAAAAAATTATTATTTTTAAAAAGGGAAAGCTTAAATAATTATGTGGAACACAAAGGAAACTGATATTTTGTCTATGATACTTTATTTTGCTACAATATATGTATAGCAAATTTAATTGGACATAGCCATTTGATATGCATTTGAAATAAAGGTCATGACTAATTTTCACGTAAATTATGCTACTTGTATTTATGTCTCAATCAAACAAATCATAAGTATATTGGTGTGAAATATTGATAAATACCATTAGACTTAAAACAGGGAAAAGAAAAATTCATGTTAAAATTACATAAACTTACTCTTTAATAATTAACAATAGTAAACGACATTTAGACAGTGCGAAGACTGAGTTCAGTGTGAAAACATCCAATACATCTCAAATTCTACACTTCTCTCCACAAATCACAGTAGTACAGGAGAAAATTTATTTTTATTTACAATGAAAGAATAAATAAATCTATACAAAAATTAACTGGCGCGTACATACAATTTGCAGCTCTAATCTAAACGTTTATTTAAAATTTTATGAAATGAAAACAAGTCATAATGCTCCAGAATTATATACAAATACAGACCATGCACATCATATTTTCGACATAATCGTTGGCCATCCTAAAAGAGATCAAATGTTTGTACAGTAGTGATGTAATAATACTTCCCTCACGATCTTCTCTTTACATGAAAACTCGTTAAAACCAACTTTATAAAAGAAAAGACAGAAGTAAAAGAGTTGTTCACTAATCCTTCACATTCATAACAATCTCGTTTGCACAGAATAAGCGATGGGCATTCAGAGATAAATAAAATTACAAGAATAAAACAAGACATTCAGATCACAATTCTAAAACTCTAATAATGCCACATTTGATCAATTTTATGTGGTAACAGTTAAATGTGACTAGGAAAACAGCACTGGCAAAAAATATTAAGTAAAAAAAGTATGTTAAAGCTAAAATGAGAGACATCTTACGCATACAGTAAAACAATCATTCTTTAAGCCAACTTGTTTTACTCTTGTATCCAGTGTTTCAAAAGCCAAACCCGTGTGCCAAACATGACAAATAAATTTGGTCCCACTAATAAATAAAACAGTCGTGGACAAGACAAAAAAAAATCATCATAAATTTTAGGAGTACCGATTAAAACCGTTTGATGTGTCGTACACAAAGCCTGCAAGACGTTAAATCTTATACACGAAATCCTTTACCTAATCTTATATCCTAACTTTCCACAGTCGGAAACTCAAAAGGTATCATGCAATTTTTTTTCCATTTTAATCTTGTAATGGATCATTACTAAAAACTGTTATTAAATTTTTTTCACATTATTTTGTTATTAATTTTTTTTGTAATTTATAATACTTTTTAATTTTTTTTGTACGATTTCTGCAGGTGGTTAGATTGACCATTCATCGCCGGACCAGCTGTCCTCCTCGCTGGTAGAGTCTGCACGTGCTGGGGAGAGTGAGTGCTCCGTGATGGTGGGGAGGGTGGTGACCAGCTTGTCCGTCGGTCGCAAGTATCGCAAGGTTCGATGGCTCAACTTCCACACAAGCCGCTGCCGATTAGGCATCTGCCGCTGAGAGTTGTACCGGCCGATGATCATCAACACTGCTTCGTGGCACTCGTAAAAGCTGCTTTCTTCGATCTGAAACATATTAAAATATATAATTAGTCTTAAAATAAAGCTTTAAGATTTAGGTCAGATAATTTTTCATCAGTACTATGGTAGACTTCTATTGCATATGTCTCTTGTAGCAATTCTTGCTTTAAAGCTAATTTTTGGTGATAGTAAACTTATTTTTAAGGAACTATTGCAAACTCTTTTAATTCAGGATTAATAAAAAGCAAATTTGTTACTATGTTTCAATCTGAAAAATTTATCCCGCCAAAAAATGAGAAAGTATAGCACCTAAAACATATAAATATTGTGTTTCAAGGTACTGATTTTAAACCATAGCAATAAACTTGGTTGAAACTTGCAATTAGACCTCCTGGTAATAACAAAACCAAACAAAATAAAATAAATATACATAAAAATTTAAAATTTTACCCTCTAACAATATTCACTATAGCTATTTAAATAAAACTAAACCTGCATTAAAATCATAGATTCTAGTTAATAAACAAAGAAGATGAATTTGTGTATTCTTTAAAAATAAAGTTAAATAAAAGAAAAACCACAGACTGTGAGAGGATATGGGTCAAGTGTTGATTTATTTGTACCACCACCTGCCAAGCCAATGTTTACCAGGCTCTGCTAGGAAACTAATAATAGCTAACCAACGTTTACAAAATCTCTTTTGACAAAAAATACTTCCTCTTTTAATGTTTTGTTTAAATTATCGATATATTTATTGTGTAATGTATAAGAGAGAACTTAAGTAGTATTGGTAAAATATTAAATAAGAACATAATTGATTATAGAATCCTGAGAAAAAGATTTTTAAACAATAATAAACTAAAAAATAAGTTAAATAAGGTAGTAACAAAATTACTTTGAAATAAAACAAAAAACTCCAAGTTTTAAAATATGAGAAAATTCTAACATTCAATATTGCAGTTACTTGACAATGATTTTAAAAAGGGTTAAATTTGGTTTAGAAATTAATGGTTTGAATTTTGTTTAGGCACAAAATTAGTAAAAAACAAGAATGTAGTAAAAAGTAAAGGTTGAGATTTTAGCATTTTGATTTTTTTCGAACAGCTAGTATTGCCAGGTATGCCATTTAAAATACATGGTTTGTTGATGCTTTTTACAGCACAGTAAAGCTTGAATAGAATCTATATATATATCTATACTTATTTAATACGCAAGCAGGTTTTTTGTGACAATTACTCCTCCGAAACTACTGAACCGATTGACATGTTTTTGGTGTCATTGGAAAGAGCGTAACGTGAAGTTCAGGAAACTTTCTTTTTAAGGAAATAATTGGAGGGTGAGGCCCTGGAGCCCTTTAAAGTTTCGTATTTCTCCATAAGGATAACATGGGAGATAATTTTTATTTACAGAAACATATGTTTTTTACTTGAACATATAGTCAAAGTCTACTACATAATAATTGGTGTGTATTATGGCTGTTAATGTATACTACATTTCAATCAAGCATTGTATACCTTTAAAGTTTACTCATAATGGATCTTACTACTTTATATTAATACTGGGAATGGTAAAATTTAGTTAAGAATAAATTACCAAGATTTAGAAAACTTTACTATAATAATGTATGTATTTAAAATCACAAATCTTTGACATTATTAATTCATTTGAAACACAACAGCTGATTGACAAATCAAACAAATCATCTTCTTCATGTGAATAATGTTGTTACACAAACATAGGTTACACTGTTACACAACCAATAACTTGATTCTTTTTTACTTGTGGGTGTATTTTGAATTTGCGGTTATGAAAGCACCAAGCCAAGTAACTTAAGCACTTTAATTAAAGATTAGCACTGTTCTTACCCAGACCAATTTCGGTCATATTTTAATAGGTACTACACTATATTTTAATAGGTTACACATATTCATTATGGGAAATTTTGAGGGTAATCTTCCTGAAGGTAACTTTAAGACTAAAATCGTAGTATTCATGGAAGTGCTTTTGTAGCCTACACCTTATTGTCTACAAATTGGTACATTATAAAAGCTGAAAGCTTTTTTACGTTGACTTAAATTGTAAGCTTGCCCTTCCCCATACATGGGCAGTTTGATAGTTAAAATTTAACCCTTTAAACTAGAATAGGACTGTTATGTAAATTGTGAGTATTTCCATTAGTTAATAATCTTTTAGTCGACTCTTTTAAAATCATCAAAAATGATGACTGTTATTAGTTTTTAAACGTTTATAAATAACTCCTGTACTGCTTTGCAATTGCTCGATTTCGAGCAACATGTACACTAGTACTTATTTAATACGCAAGCAGGATTTTTGTGACAATTACTCCTCCGAAACTACTGAACCGATTGACATGTTTTTGGTGTCATTGGAAAGAGCGTAACGTGAAGTTGTGCAGGAAACTTTCTTTTTAGATAAATAATTAGAGAGTGAGACCCTGGAGCCCTTAAAAGTTTCGTATTTCTCCATAAGATTAACATAGGAAACAAACATTGTTTTGAAACTCCAGCTGTTGTCAGAAATTAAATATTAATAATTGGTCTCCATGGAAGCGTGAGAAAATTCACAATGTTTACATTTGCTTTGACATTTAAATGTAAACAATCAGAACTGTCAAATGCCTATTTCTCAATTTCAGACAGCTGATCCAAAAAAATAAAACAACTATGTGGTAGGTTAATTATTTTAAACTTTATGATAGATTATTTATTACAATGATATAATAAATTATATAAGTTATTAATTATTGAATTTTTTTTTAAATTTGGCATATGAGTATGCCTATGATAAATAACCCCATTTCAGAGTTCTGCCAGTTTTTGCCTAACACTGTTCTGTAGAGTTTAAAGTAGCCTACACCTTATTGTCTACAAATTGGCTAAATAACTTAGGTATGGTACATTATAAAAGCTGACAGCTTTTTTACGTTGACTTAAATAAATAAATAAATAAATAAATACTAAGTTTAATGGCATTAATAAATTCTTATTGAGTCTTATTATTGAGTCTTATAAATTGTAAGCTTGCCTTTTCCCGTCCATGGGCAGTTTGTTAGTTAAAAATTACCCTTTAAATTGGAATAGGACTGTTATGTAAATTGTAAGTATTTCCATTAGTTAATAATCTTTTAGTTTACTTTTTTAAAATCATCAAAAATTATGACTGTTATCAGTTTTTTAACAAGTCATTTGTTTATATGTAACTCCTGTACTTCTTTGCAATTGCTCGATTTCGAGCAACATGTACACTAGTATAGTCTTAATAAATTTACTTATAATTCAACTATCCTTACTATTATCTTTAGTAAGTAGATGACCCAACTGTAGACTTTAGTGGACCAACTGAAGCAAAATTTTGACTTAAATGTAAAATGAATTTACCTCCAACTGCATGTAAAATAAAAATAATTTAACAATTTTCTAATTCTAAAACACTGATAACAGCTTTTGCACAGAATTGTTGAGTGTATATTCCACAGAAAGCCAAAACCCAAAAAGATAAACCCATAGCCATTCATGATGAAAATCACAACTTATATTTTGATTCCTGCTACACCGCCAAAGCAAATAAAGTCTATACCCAAAACCCTACTGAGTAGGTGAGAATTAGTCTGCCAATTCATAGGAACAGACGCTAGAAACCCTCCTAACCTCAATCTAAAATAATAACCCCAACCTTCCCTTTCAGCTACATTAGACAAGTTTTCAAAAGTGATATGTAAATACAGAATTTCTTTTTGTGTTTTTGTATAGTATAGTATCATAATGTATTTCTTTAATGGGCCACAGTTGGCAACTTCATCTTTAACCTTCTCTCTGAAGAAGTCCTACTCCAGGACAAATTTAGCCTATTTATATTAGTTTTATGATTTGTGTCTTTTATTGTGTATCTATTTGCTTTAGGCCCTGGGCTCTATTTTTCTCAGGTAACCTAGGCTGAACTCTATTCCTCTCTACATTATTGTGTTACCTTGCAGAGTTGCTGCAGCTGGGTGGCGAAGTTGACGACTGCCAACACATCGTCGGAGTTGGGCCGATGTTCAAGCCTAGACACACCAGCGTCCATCGTGGCACAGATCACCACCAGAGCGATCTCACACGGACGGAAGTTGCTCACGGCTGCGTCACACGCTACGATCTCCAGCTTCTGACACAACTCGGCTCCATCCACCATTCTACGGAGAAAAATTCATGATTCAACACTTTATTTGGTAACCACAAAGTGTCCTAGCCTATCTTCAAAATGGATTGGAACCTTACTTTTAAAAATACTCAAAGTGTTAAGAAAAAGGAAAAACTTTTAGGGAGCTGGGTGACCTTAGGCTTTGATTAATTGACTATAAAAAATAAACCTCGAGTTTTTTTGGTATTTTCCTTCAACACTGGGATTTTTAAACGATCTTAGCTAGTGAAACAGCTAGCCTTTCCCTTACAAAACAAAGCTACCAAAGGCATTTCCCTTCTTTCTACGCTAATATTTACCTAAAAAAATAGAATATCAGCAGTGATATATATAAAAACTTTGTGTTCTATCAAACCGTACCTGGCGTAAACCTGTCCCTGGTCGACAGATAGGAACAGTTGGTGGAACACTCGCAGGAAGTCAACAGCCGTGATCGGCGCAGCGCCGTCGTGCACCCCGACGCCCAGCTTGGAGGTGATGATAGTCTGCATGCGGTGCAGGTCGCCTGGCGTGCACTTGCACTGAGATATGGCAGCCACCTCGGCTGCCTCAGGTACTGGGGGCGACCCCGGTGCACCTCCACACACCAGCGAGCACGACAGCTGGAACGACGCAATCGCGATGCACGCCATGTGCTTCGGCCGAGCCTGCAATGAATGGTCTTGTAAACTAATGTGACAAGATATTTACAACGAATTGGATGGTTTAGAGACATGATTAGCCTATAAGTTATTTTTTCCTGAAAACATTTCAAATGGCTTTTAATAATATTTTATAAACTACGATACTGCTCTAAATACAACAACTAAATTACTTTCATATCAAATTTGAAATATTTATCATTAAGAGTTCTTGGAGCTTAGATGGTATAACTCATAAAACAATTATTTCAAAGTAGGAAAAAAATTGAATCTCACAGTGCAAATATTTAAATTACAATCACTTTGGTATTTGGAAAAAAATGTAAGATGGTAAATAACTCTTCAGCGGCCGTTTTAAATTAACATTGCTCATATAGGTATATAAGGTAGCAAATAGCAACCTTCTCACGTCAATTTAATCACCATCATTTCATAATAATACTTCTTACTGGCTATAACACCAACTCCCATCCAGTGTAAGCATAATAAAATCCTTTGACGATTCATCTACCCTACTGTTCATCCAATTTATTCAACTCAAAGGTAGCTCAAAATCTAACTACTGCCATCTCTAGGGGAAATTTTAAATTAGCCCATATATTTTTTAAGAACAGTTTTTGATCCGATATGAACAACCCTAAATAAATAATTTTATTTCTCATTTAATCCTATTGTTTATTTATTGAAATTTTATTGCATAATGTCATGCAATAAACACAGATTTAAAAAAATGAAAACCTACTTTTAAGTAACTCACAATCATTCAGTTTAACTTTTTAACTAGTTACCAAAAAGATTATAAATCGATCCCTATTAACTGATCATGGCTATTTTAGGCAATTTTCAATCACAGGAAAGTAAAACAAACAATGGGTTTCCCTTTCAAAACATTCCATTAGGTGTTAATTTCCACCCGTTCATAGACTGTTGACACAAGAAATGTGACAATAGACTATGTGGCCCAACACATGTCGTCAGCAGAATAACGTGTTTGTTATGTAAAACAGTAACTATTACTTGTACACGTGTGCTTAAAGCTTTACACCAAGTGACACAGTTTTATTTGGTTGTTCCTTTGCTTTGGGGGTATAGTTGAGAGTAAAAAATAGTTGAGAAACATTTTAAAATTCAAATGGAAAACATCATTTATGCAGTAACTTAGCTTAGGGCCTTCAAATTGTTACCCTGACCATAAAAAGACGGATATTTCATAGTTTTAAAAAAACCACACTCAAAAATCCAAATTTGAGTTTCGGCAAATGGTAATCTTTTTTCATGAAAAGCTTACAATTATTACGTTACAAATACAATTACAAAACAATATAATTTCTCACACAAATATTGGTTTATTTAATTTTACTTTTGTTTCTCTAAGATGAAAAAAACCACTATTTTCCTAATGGGAATCATGTAGAAATTTCTCTATGTATGTTCTGTAGTAAAATTTAATTTGATCAACTAAAATAAAATATACATAGAAATCCATACATTCAAATGTTATTTAAAGGGAAAATACTAAATTCAAACTTGTTAGCTGAATCATGATAAATACCCAGGTATTTATAAAAAAATGGGTATTTAGAATTTACGCAGTTAAAAAACCTGCACAGAAAGCATATAATTATTTCACATAAATATTAAAGCCAAATTTCAGTTAATTTAGCCTATTTTTTACCACCCCGAGAGTGTGTAGGAAGAGGTAATATGCAGGCAATGAAGATAACACAAGTTGGCCTTATCTTCATTGATTGTTATTGGCCTATTTATGTTATTTTGCACAATACTGATTAAAATCATTTCCATTAGTCAAACTGATTAATGCATTTTTTATTATACAGGGTGTTCCCAAGTTTTTATTTCTGTGTAAAATATAAGTAAATATCACTACATTTACTGTACAGTGCAGAGTTTGGTAACATCGACCCATTTCACCATAAAGTATGAAATATTTACATATACTTCAAGACAGTGTAATCAACTGAAAAAATACATTAGGATTTTGGAGACATCCGGAACTCAACTGAAATTTTAGAGACTTTCTGAAATAGCCAATAGATATCTGAGAGCTGTTGACACCCTGTATCATTAAAGTCTGAAAATACCATCTTAAACAAAAAACTGTAAAAACTTACCTTCATCTTGGTGAGGAAGCGGTCGACGAGGTTGACAGCCACAAAGAGAACCTCCGGAGGCATGTCGTACCACACCTTGAGACAACGAAGCACATTGGCCGTGCCATCCCTGATACCCACGGTCACCTCTCCTCCCTAAAATAATGATTTTATCGTTGTAAAAACTGGCTGACAGTAAATTGCAGTTTTCTTAAATTTGCATGGAGAAAAACTTGGAATTTGTTACACAGGTGATTTAAATAAAGACTTCTTGACCAAAATCATCAAAAATCAAGAACTTAAATATCTACTTTTGGTCTTCACATTGCAGTTGATGAAATCAGTAATCACTAGGCCTAATGTCACAACTGGGTTTAATGTAATTTAATGCTATTTATTTTGGGCTTAAGAGAATTTACTTGGACAATATTGTGACCTCAGTACACCCAGATAGACAGTCTGCCTCAGTTATAAACACGCCTCTCACAATGTTTTCCTTTTGTAACATTGTGCCAAAGCTATTACAATTTCTTTACTGGTGTTGAATAAAAAATAAAAATTAAAAAAAATAATAAAAATACTAGATACAGTAGAACTCCAATTATCCGAACTCCAATTAACCGAATCTCCAATTATCCGAATCGCTTATTTCAACAATTTTAAAAACGTAAAGCTACAGTAATAAGTTTTGCAAAATATCAAAGAATTGTTATTAAAAACATTTAGCCAATTTTGGACTTTGATCGAACATTATTGACTTAATAACATGTATAGAACACTTGTACTATGAGCATTGTAAACTGTAAAAATGTTCTGATTTAAATTATTATTAATTAAAAGTTCACTTAGTACCGAAAATGAGGATTTTTCTTTAAAATTCTCGGAATTCCGGTAAAACTCCGATTATCCGAATTTTTGATTATCCGAATGGGGTCTGGTCCCTATTGATTCGGATAATCGGAGTTCTACTGTACCTACCTACAACTCATTAAGCTGCAACGAAATCAAGACAGCCTTGACTATAACAATAGTCTATTGCAAAATCCCAACAATATTTCCAAATCCTCCTAGTCAATCGTTAACAAAATAAGTTTAAGTGTAATAGTAAAGCCAAGTTTACAATGCCAGTAGGTGAGACTATTAATTGTCAGAAGACAGTTGACTAGCATGAAATTATTGGCTTTGTGTAAACACTTTAGGCCAATTATTGCCTTGCCAACTGCCCTCACTGCCCTGTAAATCAGTTGTCTCCGAGAGTAGACAATGAGCAGGGCAAGATTGTCTTCGGACAATTCCGCAATCACGCCATGACAGGCGAAGACAACTGCCTCACCAACTGGCATAGTGTGAATCAGGCCTCAGCCTTTATCTATTCCTAACCACCTAACTGCAGATAGGCTGAAATCTTATTGTGTTAAAAACCTGAGAATTAATTTACAACCCTTTTCTTCTGATCCCAATAAATATTTTATGTAATCTGACCTCTTGCAAAGTTCCTCCGATAATTAAAGACGAGGGTACTTATAAGCTTACGTTATGGACTGTAGAAGAAGTGTACATGGCTATCAATAGTCTTAACAACATCTCTTGTTTAGATATATTATATGAAATTATTGTCCCTATCTTAAAATTAGCATCTAAGTTCATAAGTGATGTCCAGGCAAACCTATTCAATAGATGTGTGTGCAATGTAAAAGGCATAAAAGAGTCATCCATATTTCCATAAAATGATACTTTTTAAAATCATGACACTTGCTAAGAACTCGCAACAAAACTCATGGCCTAACATATCTAATTCTAACTGAAATCACTTACCGGACTGCAGACGGGCAGTTGTAGGTTAGGTTTGAACTTGAGCTCCAGAGCCAAATACTCCGAGAGCCGTTGGAGGAGAGCATCCGGACGGCCTTGGTCCATTCCTGTGATGTCACTACACTGGACCCAGTCACACCCCAAGAATGGTCCAATTGTTGGCCTGTTACCTGCAAAATGTTAACATTAGGTTAGCACACTGACTTCCAACACAGCGACTGTGTAGGGGTCCTCATTCGGGTAACTGGATGTCTTAAAACTTAGATCCATCCTGGACCTGTTTACATCTAACTTCAGACTAGACACATAGTGTCACAGCATCATCACACAATTAATATTTCTGATTGACAGGTTTTGAAACTGGGAACTTGAGATACACAACTCCATGCTCAACACTAGGCCAACTCTCTGTAGGTACATCAGTACAAAGTCCTCAAAACTTGAACAGGGCCTTACGTTCTTATGAGTGAATTTAATTGAGAATTCCGAAATTAAAAAAAATTTAATTGAGCGTGTCTATATTATTTTTTTAAATAACACTACCTTATTTACAAGTATTTGACTACAAGCAAAATCTATGCAACCTCCGTGTTATCTGAGATTCTCGGTAACCGAGGTAGTCTTGGAGCGTACCGTACTACACAAAGTTGAAAATCCAAAATCCTTTGAAATATTTATTTTCTTACATAAATGTTACAAGTACATCATTTTGATGACATCAAAACTGTCAAGGTTTAACAGGGTTTATATTATTTCACTTACTCTTGTTCAAGATAGTAAACCAATCAATCAATTGAAACAATACAGATATAAGATACTGTATGATAGTCACAAAACCTTAAGTAGTTTAGGCAAAGAATCATTAAACAAATTAAAATCAACATACATGACTAAGAGTTATTTTCCAAATGTCTTGAACCTTAAAAGTGAAGAAAATAGCCTATGGACCTATTAGGTAGGCGACTGTATAAAATACCTTCAATTTTTGTTTGAATACTTTTGTGATTTAATTACTTAGGTTAAGTGATTCAAGCCCAGTAAAAATAAATTGTACTTGTTACAGGAAACAATATCTTTCATTTTCATTTTCCGTGTGTCGATGAGAAACTTGACATGTTGAATATTTTTTTTATGATTCATTGTAATAAATAAAGACTAAACTGTGTAGGCCTGTAAAAGATCTTTTTCTGTTTAAAACTTTTTTTTCAAAATTACTTATCTAACCACAATGATCAATTAATGATGCAACATTTTTTATCAGCAAGATGGAAAATCTAGTATGAGGCGGGGCAAAGCTCAATGGCCTATTTTTGCAAAGGTCGCCCTTATCTGTAAATTACTTGGTGTTGAAAAAAATAGTTGCAAAAATAAATCTATGATAAGGGATAAAGATGATAGCCTACTTGATATCTTCACTTTGATTTTATGACACTACCACCGCAATATATTAATCAGTCAACGGTATCATTAATTAGCCAATGGCAAAAAAACATTTTATAACTTATGGGACCATTCTTTAGCCTAAAAGGAGAATTTAAAGAATAACAAGTACAAATCCTAAATATCTAAAAATCTAATTTTTTTAACGCACCAACATTATCACGCCAAACAAAGATGAAACTTATTGTAAGCCAACTATTATACAACTTAGCATTTTTTTTTTCAAAAGAAGAATAAGTCATAACAGTAACAGTGTTTTCATACATGGGATTTTTATCCCGAAAATGGGACTTATAGACCATGTGCAGGGATAAAACCGGATGCGGGATAAAACTGGATTTTATGCTTTGACCTTTGATATTTTTTTTACTGATTTTTAAAGTAAAACCTAGTGCTATAGCAAGATTTAAAGAGCTATTTTAACATGATATATCAAAAATATGACTCAGGATGGACTAAGATTTTTTACGATATTCATTCGGGATAAAACGGGATTTTTCATTGCACTAAAGTGGGATTTTCTCTACCTAAAAAGCGGAACTTTAGTTTTGGTTCTGTAACACACCAAAACTAGATACATTGAGCAACACACCCAATGGAAAGCTCCTTTCTAACCGAGTACCTAAGTACTGTAACGCTCTAGCTACATAAAGCTGGTCATATTATGAAAAGGTCTCCTTCATTGCCTGAGGTTGAACGACCTGAGATGTTTTTTTTTCTCAATCAAATTTGTATTCATACAAAACTGTGGTAACAAATTCAAAAATTAACTCCAGGCAAAATCAATAAAATTACTTGAGCCTAGCTGTTTTAATATGAACAATATAATACTGTTAAGTTTTAACACTACTTTTTACGAGTTATAAAACACTGTAGATAGTTATTCAACAGCAAACTTGACAGGTTTGTATTTTGCTAATTCACGGATAAATGCTTTAAATCTGATACAACATTCCTTTTAGTTAGGCTAAATTAAAAAAAACCTTTCCACAAAAGGGAGTTTTGATCTTACTTGACAACCAAAGTTACATTTAGTTACATACCGTAGTGGTTTATAGGACAACAAATTTCAAAAGTAAAGTCATCGATTTAAATTTACCTTTCACCAACAGGTCAATTATTTGAACAAGTGTAGAGAAAGTGAGCAATTTACCGTGTAATGGTGATAATTCCACTGAGAATCATGCATTGGTGACCGCTAGACCCGAACAGTTAACGTCCAAATAGAACTAACAGCATCTGATGAAACTAAACCCGGCAACTCACATAACCTTTAAACTGACAGCTGTTATCTGCGATGCAATGTCCATTCTCAAACTGACTGCTCTAGAACTTATAAACCTTATCAGTGTTTTCAGATTCAATTTTCCGTTTGTGATAGCGTTGATAAGCCCTCATTAGTTCCTAATATTGTAAGCAAAGTTGATAAGCTGAATTTTCCACTTTTTTCAGGTACTGTAATTTGATTGGATGATGGGAGGTTATTAAAACATTTAGCATGTTGTAAACACTGCTAAATATTTCTATTTCTGTTATAGTGTAACCAATTAAAAAAAATTATTTCTATAAAAGACATTCTAACCGGATACAACGATCAGGGAAATGAATGTGTTATTAAATGACTATGATTTTCATAATAGACCCGTCATGGTGATTATGGTCTGATTAATACTAGTTGTGTTAGGTCAAGTTAGTATTTACAAAGATAAAAAGGGAAAGATGTCATCAATATTAATAACATATTAGGCCTATTTAAAAAAAAAAATTTTTTATCAATTTGGATAAAACAAATAGATTTTGAATATACAGTAGAATCCCTAATATCCGGCCTTGAACTTTTTGGTCCTCAGTTTATCCAGTCACTTTCCGGAATCAATAACAAAAAAAATATTTCCCACAGCTGTACCCGTAGTCCCCATGATTTGAGCGTTCTCACGGTTTATCTGGTTCCCACTGATATAAATTTTTAGTGGGTTCACTACTCAGTTGAGCTAGTAGATTCGCAAAAGAAAATTAAACACTACTTTTACCAATCACATGTTGTTATTAGAGACAAATTATCGTTTTCATAATAGGTTGGTTTATCCAGTCAAAATGTTATCCGGCCAGGGGCTCAGGTCCATGTAGGGCCGGATTTGAGGGGTTTTACTGTAATTGTGGCAAAAGAATATTTTATTTATAAGTAAATTACTAACAGTAATACTTTAAAATAATTAACAGTACAGTAGACTCCCTCTTATCCGGGCACCTTTTAACCGGACTAGGTCGGCAGGAAGTGGGCAGTACTGAAAAGACTGTTCTCGTGGGAAAGATTTGAGACCAGTGATCACGTGTCTAAATACAATGCTCTCATAAATTTAAGTCGAATAGGTATCACAGTCAGTTTTAACGAGTTTTTGGGGACGTGGGTTTAACCGGAAAACCCGTTATCCGGACTGGCCTCGTTCCCGAGGAGTCCGGATAAGAGGGAGTCTACTGTATCAATAAAAATTTAATGTATGATTTGAAAAATCAAGAATATAGAAATATTTTGACTTGTATATTTTTAGTTTAAGTTAAGTTTAAAGAACATGTAAGTGTTAAGATAAAAAACAATAAAAACCAATATTTTAATGAAATCTGTAGCCTAACTTAATGTGTTTAAAAAATTCAATACAGTACTTCTTAACATCAGAGCAGGCCTTACACCAACGAATCTCTCATCAAAACCGTCACACAGTTTAAATATCAACACCTAAACACAGATTTTTGAAAATTTGCACAACCACTTATAAAACAAATCTACAACACAACTCACAAACAAATCAACAGATAAAGCCTACACTACCTCGCACATATATCATCCCATCGAAACAGAGAAATTTGGAATGGAATAAGTATGAATACTGAAAGTTTATTAAGAAATGGACAAAAACAAAGTTATTCTGGTAAGTTTGGCGAGGTACCAACAGAAAGCAAGTTGTGCGGACAGCAGTGGAGGTATCCCAGTGACTACCAGCGCCATCTAAACAACTTCAGGGTCAAGACCACAGTTGTGGTGGCATTGCATCATCCGGGACAAAAAAACTAATCCAGACCGATTCTAATTTTGAATGACCTAATATTGCAGAGATTATTCTTGTTGAAAAACACGAACAATTTGCTTATTTGTAAAACTCAGTTGATTTCAGACTAATAATATTATTATAAAGTACTGGAATTAATTTTAAATGTTTATCAGGTTTAGTTATTGTAAATCTAGACATCACACACAAATTTATAAAAAGAGAAATCGAGGTTTTTTTAATTTGTATAAAAACCAAACAATAAAAAGTTGATTAAAATGAACTTTTTACTCTGAAATTTAGAAAACCTAAACGCATTCAAATTTGAACAATTCTAAAGGTTATACCACTTTATGCCTTTTTCATTAGTACTAATTTTAATACAGATAGGCTAATTGAATCAGTGGCCTAATTGAATAAGTCATGAAATTTTAATAGTTTGTTTAAATGAATTATCTGGTGCTATTCACAATAAGCGAATTCATTTACAGAAATCATTAAAGGACTTTTAATTCTTTTTTAAGTAGGCTACGCTTACTTTTGTTTTTATAGACTTATTTTAACATTTCCTATACCTATATATATATTTTTTTACCATAAACTGTATACTATTTGGTTTCTATTATGTTTAACCTATGTAGACATTAAAAACAGTAAGATTTAATACTAAACAAAATTGTTTCACTGTGGTGTTACACCTTTAGAGCGAGTAAATTTATCAAGATTTACAACTGTTGAATTATAACTTACAAGTTATGTAAAAACGAAAAAGCTTCCTTGTTAAAGGTCCAAAAATTTGAACTAAGCCTAAATTTTTATAGATTCATAAAATACTCTCATAATAAAAAATTCAATATTTAACACACGCTAAAAAAATTTTTGGAACATACATTGTAGAGAAAGAACCGTATAGTTGAATAGAATTTATGTCTGGCTGATAGTATCTTTATGTTTTATATATTGTGTATCTTATTTATGAAATGTTATATTATTAATGATGACTGAGATGTAATTGTAACAAATGCTACCTATTCAGAGAAGAAATTGTTAATGACTAACTCTAAATGTATTAATAAGTCTATTTATAGAACTTTACATACATTGAAACCGGTTTTAAAATAGCCAGCCATAAACCGGTTCTAAAGGCTCATAAGGGATTGGTGTCATGCAAGTGGGCCTAGGTCACTGTGAAGGCTCAGCACTGAAGTCTAGCTTTATAAGGCACAATGACCTTGTGAGCTTTGGGGCCTATCAATATAAACAAACAGATCATCTTACTGCGCAGTAGAAAATATCTATCGGTTTCCTAATGAGTCAATAACTTCTAAAATTAAAAATAGCCTTCATTAACAAACACTGATGGATAAGAAAAATTAGGGAAACACCTTATTTGTGGTGGTTTTTGACATGTAGCCTACATGTTTAATTTACAAGTTCATTTAATTTGTTGAGAACTGCGAGAAAATTAATAGCTATTAGTGGATTGGTTAAATTAGGGACAGATTATGGCCTTGTTTGCCATTAAATAGAAAATAATAAAATGATAAAATAATAAAATGATGAACTGTCCAACAAAAGGATGACGTTACATAGTGACAGGAACGGGGCTCTTCAAGAAATGCAAAAATTATTTAGTAGGCTACTATTATTTCCGTACAAAATGGCGAATACAAAAATAATTGATTCAAAAAATATTTCTATTTAAATGCACTAGGTAGGCCTATAAAAGTAAGAAAAAATACTAAAATACCTCCTTAAAAATAACACATTTATTCCCTATTTAAATAGAATTAGTTTAACGAGTGCTAAGGTTTGCTGCAACAGGGAGGGCACAATTTTTATTTAGTAAAATGTTAATAGTTTATAAGAAATGAATGTATTTTCTGAATTCGATCAAAACATGTTCATAAACAAGCAAACTACAACAGTTGACTTATTCTCCATAAGAATAACATGGGAATTTTAAATTTACATATTTTTGGAATTTTTTCCATAACCATTAGGTGCATAATAATATACGCTTCAATATACTAAATTAGGCCTATTTGTTTTTTTTTAAGCTCTACAAAATAGTTTGGAGATAAATTGCTAAATTTTATGTTTTTTGGTCAAAAATAGGAAAATCCTATTTTTCTCTCATAAAACCCCCCCGTAAACCCCCGTTCCAATAGTCCGATCATGCTGGTTCGCGAACTCGTTCGAATAAATGTGGGTTTACACAATTAAACCAAATTTCATCAAAATTGGATAATTTTTGCTTGAGTTATCGTGCTAATGGACACATACATATATCTATCTATCTATATATTAATAGGCAAGCATGTTTCTTTAAAACCTTTTTTCTCAGCTCGTGTGCATCGTAGGGAAAATCTACGCATACTGTTAGAAAGCTATTTTCCTGTAGGTGTGCAGAATCCCTTTGTAAATTAAAATAGGCTCAAAAATAAGCACAAAAAATGAATTTAAAATTTTGAAAAATTTAACATGGATTATTATGAGTTGGTGACGAAATAACAACGAAATATAAACAGAAAATCAAAACAAATGAAGGAAACTCCAATCACATGTTCTATTCAAAGTGTGGAATGAAAATAAAGAAGTCTGTACATTAAATATTTTTGGTCGAGTTTCGACCACTGATCTCTAGTACATATAAAACTATAAAGGCTATAAAAACTTTTTATAGGCCAAATTATGAATAGGGTAAAATGTATATAATATAAAATGAATTTCAAAAAGGGTAGGTTACTTAGTTTTAGCGAATTTCCCTATAGGGAAGTAGCTATTACCGTAGGTGGCACGGTAAGACCTAGACCCGGGACCGATTTACTTTTTCATTTTGATGTCCCCAGAGGCCAAAAACACCATTGGCTCAAATTTTTATATATGTATATATATATATATATATATATAGACTTATATATATATACGTCCGTGAACGCGATAACTTGAGTAATTTTTGTCCGATTTTGATGAAATTTGGTTTAAAAGTGTAAAGCGGGATAAACTTGAATGAGTTCGCGAACCAGCATAATCGGACCATTGGAACGGGGCTTTACGGGGGGTTTTATGGGGTAAAAATTGGTTTTTCTCACTTTTGACCCTCAAAACACAAAATTTCCCAATTTCTCTTTAGACCTTTTTAAAGAGCTTAAAAAAACAATTAATTTAGTATATAAAAGTATTTTTGTTCGGTTAATAGTAACGGAGAAAATTTAAAAAATTTTAAATTTATAATTCCCATGTTATTCTTATGGAGATTATTGTAAAATATTGTAGTTTGCTTGTTTATGAATATATTTTGATCAAATTTATTTATTTTGTACTAAGCTATCAATATTTTACAAAAAAACACACTTTATTAGTTTCCTTGTAGCAGCAAACCTAGGTAGCCTACTCGTTAAACTTAATGTTATTAAAATATATTTAATTGAAAATCAATTAAGACAAATGGAAATTCGCTTAGTCGGCAGGTTTGCTGCGGCGGGGGTATTTAATAATGCATTTGTATATTAAAATCGTAGCCCTAAACGCTACAGGTTTCTTAATATATATAAGTTATATATGAATTTGAACGGATGGTGTTTTTGGCCTCTAGGGACCTCAAAACTAAAAAAAAAAGATCGGGCCTGCGTCCTGGTCTTACCATGAGTACTACGGTATTAGCTTATTCCCTATATGGGAAATTTTCTAAAAACAAGGGTGTATTTTTGTTTTGTTAGATCGGTGACTTAACAAAGTTGTAGCCCTACTGTTTACTAAAAACCAACTAAGTTAAATGCAAATTTTGAGACTAGCAATTTTAAGTAAATCGCTCTTCAACAAGACTTCCGAAGTTACTTACTGCCAAGTTAACTTACGTAAATTACATCTAGCAAGCAATAGATTTAAGTTAGGAGGTTAAGTTAAAAAAGGCCTACGCTTATGTAGGCCTACATTCTCTGCACATATTGTATATATATATGAATCTGAACGGATGGGGTTTTTGGCCTCTGGGAAACTCATAACGAAAAAGTTAATTGGTCCCGAGTCCAGGTCTTACCATGAGTACTTTACTTACTACGGTAATAGCTTATTCCCTATGGGAAATTTGCTAAAATAATATATTTTATATATGACTATTAACAATACAACCAACTGAAATGCCAATGAATTTTAAACTATAATTAGAAACAAACAAAACCTACAAACCAGGGAATATTTAATATGGTACAGTAGAACCTTGATAACAAGACTCTCATGGGGATTATAAAATAAGATTGTCTTCTTATCGAGGTTGGCAATAACATGTGAATAGGGGTAAAATAAAATCTAGGGGATTTAAAAATGACACTTGTTATCGAGGGTGACTTGCTATCGAGGTTCCACTGTAATTACATTTGGAAAATGCAGAAACAAACTTTGACCTGGCAACAGCTTTTTAAACTTCACGTCTAGAGGCAAGTCACATTATGTTACACATTATGTTGGACACATTATGTTGGAAGGCTAAGCTAGAATTAGGAAATTTAACCCTTTGAGTCCCCCAGTGTATAATGCCTATTTCTTGTTTATTTTTATTATGTTATTATGTTTATTATAATAACTAGTTTATTATAAACGTAGTTTACACCATTTTGGGGAAACCGGGCCTAAGTCTCTCAGTTCTTTCCTCTTGTACCTATATCTCATCCTTGCTACCTTGTTTAGGCCTATTCAAAAGTTGTACCTATAAATGTATTTAGATTCAGCTCAGGAGGTAAAAAACTAAGTAAGATATCAAAATTAAAAACTCATTTGGAGGCACCTAGGCCTATAGCCTATTACGTTAAATAATTATGTACCGGTACCACAATCTCTATAAGTTTTCCTGACAAAAGCTGATTGTAGTTTGGACTCAGCGAGAAAAAAAACTGAGAGTAAAAACATAAGTTTGTTTTTGTTGGAAGTAGGCCTAACTATATTGTGTGAAGACTAAGTTATAAGTTAGCCTAACTTAAATTTATATCTGACAAGTTAACTTAGGATAGGCCCATTTAAGTTATAAGTTATCAAAATAATATTTCATCCGATAATATATTGTAGGTTCTCGGAGGACTCACAAGGCCTATAAGTTATAAGATAGGCCTACACGGAAGATTTAGTAGGCCTAGCCTACTTTTCCTTTGTTTCAGGTAGGTAGGCCTAGCCTAAGATAGCACTTTAAATCTAAGCAAGTTACTAGGTTAGGCAGGTAATCAGGTAATGGTACAAAGAGTATAAGTTGATTTTGTGATAGGTACAGAACTAGGAAAATACCATTATAATAGGCCTACCTACATTTAACTACTAGGCCTAGGCCCTAGACCTTGTTTTAATGCCCAAGTTATTGGCATAGATGCTAGCCTAAGTTACCTACTGGAAAATAAAAAAATGCTTTATTAACTTAAATATATATTCTTAGGTACCATAAATTTAAGAAAACTGCTGAAAATACACTAAAAAAGAAGACCTAAGATAAAAGTGCAAAAATCAAGAAAAGAGAGCAAACATCTAGAAACTTGTTTTGATTATTATTATATCTTGTTAAAAGGAAAATAAACTTTTATAGAATGGTATCTCTTACCCGGATGCACCTCACAATTAATAACTCCTGAAATCAACCTATTTTGCCCGTTTAACAGATAAGTGGGTTTAATAAACAAGACTACAAAACTACTTGTAAAGAAGAAATTGGAAAACTGCGTCTCTCTTTGTTTTCTACTACAGCTGATTTTCGTAGTGACATCATAGATTGATTTAAGTTACACAAAATAGTACCTTCGGGGAGTAGCTTGAAAATATATCATGTACGAATATATATTTAAATTTAGCATTGAAACCTTAAATTTACGTTTATATTGGAGATTTGGAGATTTGGAGATTTTCTTATTTCAAGGACAGGAGTTTTTAGGTGTCCTAGATGGAAGTCGCAAATGGAAAAAAGTCATAGCTTGTGTATCCATCCGCCAATACTTGTTTGTAATGATGATGATTACTGCGTAACGGCTGAAATTTCAAACCTGCTAAACATACGACAGTCCGCCCCTGCCCATAGGTCCACATGAATACTATAAAAATACCATAATTTAATTTTATATTCTTCTAGCTCCTAATTGACCAGAACAAATTTCAAATTAAGACGAATGACTTACCTATGGATAATTTTCGAGGTGTAGATTCTCTTCATTCGTTTATGGGATGAAAAAAAACGTTTCCAAACGTTCTTGTTGTAGAACTAAAGAAAATATCATAGGATTTGGGCGCTAACTTTTAAAATTTAAATAGGATATGTGTTCTAAAATTTTGAATGGTTTTCCGAGTGGTTTACGAGTTCGATACGACGTTTTAATCGTAAGAAACATTTATAATGTAAGATTATTGTTTACAATCACAACTGAAATGACGTTCGCGTCTGCACTTGTCAAAAAGTACCAAACAAAACAAAACGAGACTGAAAAAGAAGAACCAAATTTGAAACGAAACCGAAATCGGTAGTACCAACTAACTGCCAACGGCAAAAGCTAATCCCGATTTTATATCCCATTACTGCAACGTGTAGAATGTATTTAACGACAAGAATGAATAATACCCCCGCCGCATCAAACCTGCAGACTAAGCGAATTTCCATTTGCCTGATTAGGTTTACACTAAAATGTCTCCTTAAAAATATCACTTTTATTCCCTATTTAAATAGAATCAGTTTAACACATACGTAGGTTTGCTGCAACAGGGAGGGTAAAACTGTTTTTTTTATGTAAAATGTTAATAGTTAGTAAGAAATAAAAACATTTTCCAAATTTGGGCAAAATATGTTAATAAACAAGCAAATTACAACAGTTTACTTATTCTCCATAAGAATAACATGGGAATTTTAAATTAACAATTTTTTGGAATTTTCTCCGTAGCCATTAGGCGCATTATAACGCTTCAATATACTAAATTATTTGTTTTTTTAAGCTCTACAAAATAGTTTGGAAAGAAATTGCAAAATTTTATGTTTATTGGGTCAAAAATTGGAAAAACCCATTTTTACCCCATAAAAGCCCCCATAAACCCCCGTTCCTATGGTCCGATCATGCTGGTTTGCGAACTCGTTCGAATAAACGTAGGTTTACACGTTTGTACCGAATTTCATCAAAATCGGATCATTTTGCTCGAGTTATCGCGCTAACGGACACACATATATATATATATATAAATATATATATATATATATATATGAATTTGAACGGATGGTGTTTTTGGCCTCTAGGGACCTCAAAACGAAAAAAAAATCGGTCCCGGGTCCAGGTCTTACCATGAGTACTACGGTAATAGCTTATTCCCTATATGGGAAATTCGCTAATAAAAACTGTATGGCGTTGCTATACATGAATATTATTCAATGTCGTTGATGGCAATAAATGGATTTGATTTGAAATATGTTTTATTCCAGTGAATCCAACTGAGTACTTCCAGCCCAGCATAAAAAGTCAATGATAAAACTTAAATATACTCCCAATACTATTTATAGTAAAATAGTTTTCAGTGAATTTCCCATAATATGGTAAATTCGTTATTATAATGAAACAATCTATTAATACTTTTCATTGACATGGCGACCGTACAAAGTACGAATTTCCAATATAGGGAATAATCTATTGCCGTAGGTCTCATGGTAAGACCTATACTCGGGACCGATTAACTTTTTCATTTTGAGGTCCCCAGAGGCCAAAAACACCATCCGCTCAAATTCATATATTAATATATATATATATTATATGTGTGTGTCCGTTTGCGCGATAACTTGAGCAAAACTGATCCGATTTTTATGAAATTTGGTACAAACGCGTAAACCTACGTTTATTCGAACGAGTTCGCGAACCAGCATAATCGGACCATGAAAACCCGTAACAGGGGTTTGGGTTTCTTGGGGTAAAAATGGGTTTTTTCCTATTTTGGACCCTAAAAACCAAAGTTTTTGCTATCTCTTTCCAAACCATTTTGTAGAGCTTAAACAAAATTTGTATATTAAAGCGCTGTTTTATCCCTAACGGCCACAGAGAAAAAAATAAAAAAATTTAATTTGAAATTCCCATGTTATTTTTATATAGCAAATGAAATTTGTTGTAGTTTACTTGTTTATGGATATTATGTTGATAAAATTTTGCAAATTTATTTATTTCATCCTATCCTATTGACCTATGGTTAAAACACACGTTTAACTTCCCCGTAGCAGCAAACCTAAGCACTTGTTAAACTAATGTTAACGAATAAATTGATAAAACGAATAAAAATTATGTTATTGGGAATAAATACAGTATGTCTTATTTATGGAAATATTTTAGTGAAATGTAATTAGACAAGTAGAAATTCGCTAAGTCTACAGGATTGCTGCGGCGGGTGTATTAAGTATTCCCTTAGGTCTTGTAGTAGTAAGTCCATATATTATATGAATTTGAACGGATGGTGTTTTTGGCCTCTAGGGACCTCAAAACAAAAAAGTAAATCGGTCCCGGGTCCAGGTCTTACCATGAGTACTACGGTAATAGCTTATTCCCTATATGGGAAATTCGCTAATAATAAATTTTGATAAAACATTGAACATTTACGAAGAAATTAAAAAGCTAGAAGACTGGGAGCATGAAATTTAGGGGGATCAGATTGATTTTTTCTCTCAGTGCTATCCAGCCCTTATACCATGTCACCAAAAGTTAAAAATAAATTTGAGAATTATACACCATTCCAAATTGGTGGACTCCCTCCAACAAAAGCTATACAACTATTTCTTTTTCAATATAGTTTTTAAAATTTTTTGAAAGCTATTTATTTGTGTTAACTGTTAACTTCGACACTTCTGCATGAAATTAATAAATAAAGCTTAATTTTCTCAGTGCTAAGACCATCAATAGTTTAGTAAATGTTATCGTTATGATATAGAAATACCCCTGTCGCAGCAAACCTCTGCGGACTATGTGAATTCCTTGTTGCCAAACTACTAAGAAATCATGGTGTAATGCCTATTTCTTGTGTATAAATTGCCGAGTTGATTTCATAAGAAAATGTATTTAGGCTAGTTTATATAAAAATACCCCCGCCACAGCAAACCTGCATACTAAGCGAATTTCCATTTGCATGATTGGATTCGCACTAAAATTCCTCTCTAAATATATCACATCTATTCCCTAAATAGGAATAGAAATAGTGTCCTAAATAGGATTGAAAATGCTTTTCTGTTGTTAGGCCTTTTTATAGATAAGAAGATGTTGTTCATTATGATAGTCTCTCGGATTTAAAGTACCTCATCTTGAAATCACATAAAGTTGGTAATTTATTCATTAGAACTATAATAATGGCAGCCATAATATTAATGTCTCAATTCAAGGTAACATAGATATGTTGAAAAAGTATTTGTGATTAAACAGTAATATTCATTTAATGTTGCGACTTCGTCCCTGCACACAAGCTTTGCTTTGCAGGGACCTAATTTCAGAGTATTTCTAGTGAATAATCCATGCAATGTTTCTATTTCTGAATAAGCATGACATTGTCACATACTTTATAATTTTTAATACTTTTACGCCTCAGCCTTATTGTGTTAGATGATGCTATGTCCTGAAGTGTTTTATTATTGACAAGGGCAGTGATTTGTCCATTGAAGCGAGCACTATGGGAAACCTGACAACAATTAAATTGTACTACTATTCTTCTTGACAACCTTACAATACAGCATAAGGAATTTTAGTAGACTTCCCATCTATATACAGCTCCCAGCTGTAGCCAATTTTTTATTAAAAATGAACATAGTTGTGTGAGCCAGTCACAGAATGTGCTAGTGTCTAAAATTCTATTTTATACCTTCTGCTATTCTTGTTTATAATTGGATAAACAAGGGCATATAAACAATACCAATTACAATATTTGGAACACATTATTTATTGTATAAAATCCTAAACCTAAAATTCTTTGGTGAAAGCTTAGATTATATGACAATTTGTGAAATCTTTGAAACAATAGTTACTGAAATCTTTGGTCTTTCGTTTTAAATGGTGTGTAAAACCACTGACTGTATAGTCAATGCTAATTATAATACAGGCCTTCAACTACAACATTTATCAAAAGTTATGCTAGAAAACATTGTGCCCCATTGTCTAAGTAGTTACGTAAAATTTTTTTATATAATCCTCTGAAACATGTGAATCCTTATTACAGAAGATAGGTTGGACCCACAGAGCATAGAATAAATATAGAGTCAGTGGCTCAGTCGGTAGCGTCGCGGACTTCGGGCCCAAGGCAGCGATGTCGTGGGTTCGGATCCTGGTCACTGCCAATAACATTTTATCAGTACAGTTCACCTTTGTACTGTACCGGCTCACTCCTTGCTTTGCTGCAAACGATCCACACACGGGCGCTTAGTCTATGTGGACGGGCAAATGCAAGGTTAAAAGAGGCCACCAACCTCTTTTACAAAAAAAAAAAAAAAAAAAAGAGTCGCCACTCCTATACCTATAGCTATACCTGTAGTGAAGCCGATTTCCGCCATCTTGGTGGCAGACTCGGAACTTGGAAAACACGGCGTGTTATTCTAAAGAACCACTGTGTTATTCTATGCTACTTTATGAATTAGATTAAGCTACCGCTCCGAGACCGGGCCGGCCGCCATCTTGGTGCGAGAAGCTTGATTCACTCCAGACGGCAAGTGCCGCCTCTATATTTATTCTATGCTTTGTGGTTGGACCCCAGTTAAATATCAATACTTCATTTTATAAAACTTTCTTCCAAACAAACTTATATTTCTACATAATAAAAAAAAACATGAGATCAATAAATACTAGAGCAAAATTATCTAAAACTGTAGCCTACACCATTTTCAAAAGTGCAAAATTGAAAAAAGCAGGGATACAGAAGGCACTTGGCAACTTTTGAAACATTTGATGTGGACGGAATTGATTACAATAATTACATGTTAAGACTGAGCCTAACACTTATCTATTATTTTTTAAGTTACAAATGTTCAGTTTCAAGACAGGTTGAGGTTTCCGATGGCACTGGCCAAAGCTCCGTTGGTTATGGCCGGACGTTGAGTGTTATTCAAATTGTGAGCTTGGAAGTCCTTGGTGATGACGCTGAATGTAATGTACACTCTGCCTTGACTGCGCACTCGGGTCACTAGAACAATTAAATCTATTGTTATTATTTCATAACATTTTACGAATCTTTTTAGATCGTTATCAAGCTTTTTTATTTTACTATCAAACAATAAAACCTCTTTTCCTTGAATTAAAAAAACGGGGTAGCGGATTTCTACCCCCGGATATTTACCCCCATGAAAAAACGCCTACGTCATTTTGACGTCACGAGGGGCGGGGCCTATACACGGTCGAGAAACAGCCCGCGACTGGAAATTTACCCCCAATATATTATTAAATAATCAACATGTAATTGTTTGATTATGAAGTGATTTGCCATAGCACGGAAATCTACCCCCGGATATGTAACCCCAGAAATCCACCCCCGTACATTTACCCCCGGATATCTACCCCCAGACATTTACCCCCGGATATCTACCCCCGGAAATCTACCCCCAGATATCTACCCCCGGACATCTACCCCCAGATATCTACCCCCGGACATCTACCCCCAGACATCTACCTCCGGACATCTACCCCCGGAAATCAACGGCTCTTCGGTTAAGCATTGTCTTGTAATATCCAGTTTAAAGCATGCGATATGTCATTTCCTTGTTTAACATTATCTATCTTCCTAATTCAATAAGCTGTAACAGTCCTTTTTCACCCGACCTACTTCGCCGATTGTTACAATTGAGGTGTAATTTTAAAGCTTAAGATCTTGCGCAGAGCAAAATGGTAATTAAAAAGGATATTTTGATCAGGGCTTCAAAAGGTTGACCCCTAAGCCTTTGATTTATTCCTAGAAGGTGCTTCCAATGGTTGACCAACTTTCTTTTGGTTGGATTTTTTTGGTTGACTAACTTTATACAGTAACAGTTTTAAAGGTGAAATGTGAGCAGATTACTAATCAGTTCCATTTTTAAGTCAGGTTGAAAACCAGAATAGATCGTCTGCAACTGTAAACAAGAGATGGAACACTACCCCAAAACTACTTTTCGTTCTCAATTGGCCCTCTATCAATAACCTGTGTTGCCTGTACAGCGAGGCATTTTGAGAAGGAGAAAACCGGCCGGATGAATGCTTTAGGTTTATCAATAACGAAGATAAACATGGTTTTAGTTACACACCGGTAATCTTTGAGTTGACTCATTTAAACTCATTGTAAATATTTATTGTTATTCATTTTGAAATAACTCCTTTAATACTTTGCAATTGCTCGAATTCGAGCAACATGTACATTAGTTACATATTATTGCACTTACGATTTATTTGATCCTTTTATTTACGTGAGTCACAACGTTTTTAATCTTACTTGGTTTTGGATTTTATTACAAAACGTGTCGGAAATGGTTGCAGTATTTGTAAACTAAATGTAATAACAAATTTCCAGTGACAGCTAGAAAAAATCATCTTTATCCAGCTTTTCATCTTTCACAGCTGTTCGTTATTTCATTGATGTCGTATTCTCCAAACAAATTATTAGTATTTCATAAATTACTGGTAAACATTAGGAGTAGCCTAAACTTGACAAAAATGCAAAAAATTGGGGGTTTGACAAAATTTATTTTAATTCAAAAGTAGAGAGGCCATATTTAAATGGCTTAAAGTTACTCTTGTCAATCCACCGAATCCAAAAAGACTATTTAAATCGAGTCACGATCGGTGCTCTAGTTTTTGAGAAGAGGCCACGTAAAATGCCTTCTGGGCCTTGACAGACAAGACAGAAATTGAGATAAAGACTTGTTTTGGCTTCTTTAATGTATGAAACGTAAAAATGACCAAAAAATATATAATTTTAAGCAATGTCCATACTTAACTCTAATTTCATTAAAATAAATTCGTAAAACCAAAAGAACCATGAGGTAAAAATACCTTCCCTATCCCGAAATATCTAATTTTATTGTCTTTCATTATTCTCCGTTATTTCACAACCAGCATTGACAACCAGAACCAATCATAAAATATGTTTATGTTTTATTTCTTACGATTAATTATTTGTGTAAACAACTAGACTTTTTAGCCAATGTAGAACTCCGGATTGTGTCTACGACGTAGGGATTATGCTATTTTGTATTACTAGGAGGTAATTGATAGTGAAAAAAATTATTAATTCATTAATCAACCTATGGCAGGCTTTTTATCAACATTTAATTGCATTTTTACCACTAGTAATCAGAAAATAACCTCCTTCAGTGATACGTTTTAAATTTCACGATCTGCGCTCGTACATGTGCCGTTAGCTATGAGTGTATGTGAAAATTAGTTAACAATTTAAATCACTGCCTGAAAATAAATCAAATGCTTATGGTTAAACTTTTGGAGCCCTTTACCAAAATATCCTTTTTAATTACCATTTGCGTTGCACTGAATCTTAAGCTTAAAAATGACACCTAATTCAGTAACAGCTTAATGAATTGGGAAGATAGATGACATTAAACAAGACAACGACATATCACATGCTTAATACTAGATATTAGAGGGTAATTATTAAACCAAGAGCCATTGATTATTTTTATAAACCAATTACTAAAATCAACTACAACAATGAATATTGGCCGATACGTAGTGTAGCACGGGGGGTAGATTTCCTGGGGTCGGAAATAAATAATTCCGGGGTCGGACATTTATGATTTGACCACTGGGGGTACATTTCTGGGGGTAGATTTCCGGGGGTAGATATCCGGGGGTAGATGTCTGGGGGTAAATATCCGGGGGTAGATGTCCGGGGGTAGATGTCTGGGGGTAGATTTCCGGGGGTAGATGTCTGGGGGTAAATGTCCGGGGGTAGATGTCCGGGGGTGGATGTCTGGGGGTAGATGTCCGGGGGTAAAGTTCCGGTGTCAGGTTTATTAGAATTTTTATTAATTACAACTGTTAAGTAAACCGTGAAATGCGATTTGATTGAATATATAATAATTTATCCATCCTAAAAGTTCGCGGCCGGAAATCTACCCCCATACATGTGACGTCAAAGTGACGTAGGCGTTTTTTCATGGGGGTAAATATCCGGGGGTAGAAATCCGGCGACCCAAAAAAACAATTTCCATTTTGTGAGTAAATTAAATTAGACTTCTACAGCACGAATTCACTAGGGTGCATATTTTAAAGTGAATTTAGGTGAACAATGAGTATGAGTGTATGATATGATAGCTTTCATCCAAGATCAGGTGGTACAATAATATGTAATGTTTCCGTATTATAACATTTCTTTTGAATACAATAGTTTTTACAAACAGCTGTTTACAATTTCTATCACGCCATTCTTGTCTGGTTGACTGTCCCTGACCTTGATGACATAAATCCACTTTGTGACAAATACCTGTGTAAAATACAAAGATTGCTACTATGATCAATATCCAACAAATAAATTTATTTCGATAAAAGTATATGAACAATCTTTTAATGACCGAAAGAACCTCTTTTGGGTTTTCTTACCACTTTAGAGTATTCACTAAAAGTATAAGGAGTAAAGTGTAAGGAGTATTCACCTTCTCTGCCTTCGCCCTGGGCCAGGATCCGAGGGTCAATAAACTCCGGACGTCGGCCTGTCAGCCAGGACGTTACTCTCTGCAGGGTTGAGCTTGACTCCGGTACAAACATGGCCATGCTGCGCAAAACCACACTTATCAAACCCATTTTACTTCCAGCATCAGTTAGACAGTTTATCTCGAATTTCTAAAAGTTAATGAGCAATGCTTTGCAGTTGGATGTTTACCCTAAAAAAAGAGCAAGTGACCGTTTCAAGTTATCTTCACTCAATGAGGCAGCCTGCGGCAAAAGACAAGTTCTTTATATCATCACAGCTGAAATGGAGTGTCAGATCTTCCAAGTGACATACTTTAACTGCTTCATATGTTAAAAAAACTATTTTGAGAAAAGGTAATGTACTAGAGATAACTGATAATTACTTTCATCCATTCATGAGTTAGTAAAATCCAAAAATACTTTTTTACCACCCTGTATACAATTCATCCCGGTTTACTGAAATTTGATTGTTAAATGATAACAGGACAATCACTAAATCATACAGACACCCAGACAGTTTGCATAAAAATGTTGTTTAAAAAGGAGGTATGACAAAATGAACCAAGAGCACATCAAAAAAATATTTTAATTTAGGCCTACAATAATCTACAATTATTCAATTTTTTTGCAAAATTAACTTCATTAATTGGATGACAAATAAATAGTCTCAACTTCTTACCTTTTATTGTATTGTCCTGCAGCTATCGGCAAATGACACACTCCGTATCCTCGAGGCACGTCGTTTCCAAAAACATCTGGCCCATAAACGCTGAGAATCAGCTGCGGCCCTATGACAGTAGGTAGTTTTTTTTAATCAACGCATTAGTACTTTTTTATAGCTGATTGGTGTACTGTACACCTCCTGTGTTTAGTGAATTTTTTTATGTAAATGGTGATTTCATGAAAAAGGAGATTTTACTTGATTTAATAGAAATTTAGACATAAGATATATTTTAATATGAGTAAAGGTATTTTACAAATGTATGCCTCAGGTTTGGTTTAGGTTTATTTGACAAAACCTAAAATGAGAATTAATATACAGTATCAGGTTATGCAAGACTAGAAGATTTTGAAAAACTATGCTATCTATATCATGTTCATTTGGCGAAGGAAAGACTTAGTTCTAGTGTATTTGCTATGAAATGTTTGTGTGGTGAATTGAATCAGAAAGCTTACCATGGACTATTTTGTTAGCCATTTAAGTGTATGGTTTGATTGTTTGGGGATCTTCTCCTTATTCAAATGAAATATTTATTATACAAAAAAAGTTCTTAAGAGTCATTGCTGGTGTAAATATCTGTCATATCTGTAAAAATCTTTTCAAGGAGTTTAAAATCTTGACTATGTTTTCTCTAACAATGTCTACTTTACATTAGAGCCAATATTCACCTATTAGACTGTAGAAAAGATGTGTACAGTTATAATACTCGTTTTAGTCGTTTTTGTAATAACATAAATTTGCTGAAGGTAAGGCTAGTTAAGACAGATAAAAGACCAATGATGATTGCTAATTAAGATGTAGGCTACAATAAGTTAGGTACCCCATTAGATATATAAGATTGCTTATAGTGATCCAGATTTTAAAATTAAATTAAATTATTTTCTATGTAAAGGATCCTTTTATTCTGTAGAAGAGTATACGTCAAGCCAATGGACTGTTAAGGATTTCTGTTGAGTTTCATTAATTTACTGAACTGTCGTGCCAATGTATTTGCATGAAATATTTTCTGGCTGAATAAAGTTCTTATTCTTAACTAAAATCTAATTATTAATTAATACTTACAACCGAAAGGATTTGTGCTTTTGAAGGTGATCTCAAAAGGATAGTTCCACACGACTAACTGCCGTTCGTCCAAACTTTTTTGTCCAATTTGTGAAATTCCTTCTTCATTACCCTGTAAAATGAATGCACAGTTAGACACCAAAATCCATTTTAAATCATCTGATTAGTAGTGTACTAGAGCACACACTCGGGTATCCTCACATTTATGAGCCAGTATGTCCTAAATAGCCTAGTCCTCTTGAAAGAGAACCTGACCAACTTTAATAGGAAAAGTAGTCGGCACAACCATGGAACACACAAAGCTCATGACTTAGACATGCGTAACGTTTATATCTCAGTCTAACGCAAAAGAGCTATCTGCACTTTGCTATTAAGATATAACACCGTGTCAGAAAGAGTCATAGTCCTAGACCTAAGGGCTTTCAGAACAATACGGAGCAGCTTTACTACTGTTGTTGTTGTATTGGGTATAAATATAAGCCTAGGCCTACCGGTACTATTGACAGAAATCTGTAATTTGAATTGCAAATGTAATAATTCCTAAATATACCTATTCTAAACTAGGATCTGGTTTTAAATATGGTCTTACCGCTGTAACTTCCCAGTCCTGACCGTAGTGAAAAGAAAACTTGCAGTAAAGGTTGTCAAAATTAGGAAACTCCGCTTTTTCAATTCTTCCAATCACAGATATGTAGAAGCCACTCATAATTGAATTTTATTCCTGTAAAAAGTCAATAAGATGGGATACATTAGGATATATTTTAGAGAGATTCAGCTAAGTTAATATCTAACTTAGGCTTAATACATGGCAGAACTTTATGATACCTGACTCCATCGTGTAAACGTAAACTACAGCCCAGAGTCTAACAATAGATTCAGGCTTGCATAATGGCGGTAAAATGACAAGTTATATCATTGTAATGATTGTTAAAATCGATAGGCCTATTATAGAATTTTTGGTTTTTGGTTCTCAACGGATAAGTTCGGTTAAACTTATCGATGGTTTCATTACTCTTAGGTTTGATAATTTAATGGAGTTGAATAAGTTTCGCTCATTGTTCTACACAGTAAATTTCATGAATAAGTTAAAAAACTTTCTTATGAAATGGCGACCATACGAATGTAGGTATATTTTAACGCCAAATATAAATGGAGATGAGTGTAGGATGAGTGGCGTGATTTTTTAGTCTTGTTAGTGACTAAGGCCGACATGTTCCTTAGAAAACAGCTGTTTAACTAATTTAAAAGCCCATACATCCAATGGCAACTAAGGGACCTGCAGTTTATAGTGGAATTTGAACCACATTTTTGCCTAGTAACTAACAAATTGGTCTAATTATCATGATAGGCTATTGCGGATCGTCGTAGTACAGTACTCACTTTCTAGAGCGGACGTTAATCCACACCAGGGAGTATCGCATCCACAGTGCATGTCTATAAGTTAAATATCTACAATTCGTTACCTCCTAGTAGCTGGATTACAGGACGACGCCACCAGAATCAAAATCAGAATACTTTATTCTTGAACATAGAGTACAGAATAGACGTCAAACATTACAGAGATTTAATTATAAAATAGCATAAAGTTGTTGGGCTTTGAGGCGCTGTCGGTAGTGATGGTTATTACTATGAGGGTTGTTGTGACCTTCCCAGTCACCCTCACCCACATGAGTGTGTTGCTAACCTACCATAGTGATTGATACGAGAGGGGCAGATCGGATCCCTGAAATCCCTATTCACAAAGAATTAATTATATCACAAAGGTTTGAATTGATTTGTTTAGAAGCAGAAGCAAAAGTTAACAACGTCGCAGGAGGTGAAGCGTCTGTGATTCCTTTGGTAAAATTCCAATTGGCGTAACTTATAAGTTAAATTAAGTTACAATAAGTTAATTATAAGAAAAATAAATCCAGTGATTAACTTAGGCTATTATTTTGTATTAGACAATATTTACCTGCAGCACTGTAAAATGTTATCTTTGGTTTTTAATTACTTTCAGCATTGTAAAATGGTTTGAATACTTTTAGGCCAACGTGAACGTGGCCATGGCTGCACTTTACTTTACGTCCTACACTCATTCGAATGAAAATATCGATCGATATATTGATTAATCGATTGTTTTATTCGATATATCGTTTGGTTAGTTAGGTTAGGTTAACCTTACCTAACTAACCAAACGATTTGTATGGTATATTTGATAATTTGAACTTATATCGAATGAAACAATCGAATAATCGATATTTTCATTCGAATGAGTGTCGGACCTAAAGTAAAGTGCAGCCATTAAGTTACCTACATTAAAATGTCCAGGCATACTTACTTGGTTAATTGTCCTTACTTTAGGCGTTTAAGAACCTAGCCTAGGGGCTACATGAATTTAACCACGAAGAGAACATTAGTTCCGTTCTCTACAATTTAAACTAGACGGAACAGTTAATTATTATACGTAAGATCTCTTTTCAGTTGGATTTAGCCCTAGTTTGCCAAAGCGTATAATTATTTATAAATAAAAAGAAGACATAAATACAACACTTGTATACAAGAAAACTCAAATTACTGTAGTCAACAACACCACAACACAACACAACGATGACAACTTTGACAACATAAACAAATTCAGACATCAACAGCAACCAGCAACAGCAGAACGGCAGAAGACAAAAACAACTTTTCGCGGGAGAGTTTCAGATTATCACACCAATAATAGAAATACGCCGTTGGGCACATACGTAAGATGTAGTGAGTGATTTTAGTTGGTGTTAGTGATCTCTAAGTCAACTTAAACTTCAATAACATAGGTTTATGATTCGATAATATAAGGCAGATTTTCTTTTCTCTCTGTTAACGATTCTATGTCCAAATATAGCTACATTTCCTATTTGGATTTATACTGTAGGATTATATCTCTTAAAGGTACCAAGAATAGGGCTTTTTGATAACACTTAAGGAAATTGTTCATAACCATACCGTAAATATGTTTAAAAATCCTTTTTATTGGTATCCGTATTCACCTGGGGCCCTATTTTTGAAATGGTTGACAGTTGAGTCGATCGTCAGCACTCAACTCAACCAACAACAAGATTTGGTATTTTTGAAACCCAACAGTTGGGAAGCGAGTTGGGAATCACTAGTTGAGTGACTCGTGGTGGAAATGTAGAGCATACGACCGCACGAAATTCAGATGACGTCATTTTCAACCAATTACAATGCAGAGTTCTTGCGATCTTCGATTTAACCTCTTCTTACTCTAAAATGTGGCAGCTAATCTCAATCTACCATATTTCGAGACACTGAGGTAAACTGTCAACTCCGTTCTTGAGAGATTGAGGTTATGTCTTCAATCTTAGTGATTGCAAAAGTACCTTAACTTATAAAATAAAATAAACTTAAGTATTAAAAATAAAATTTACTATGGATGTTTGTTTTAGGGTGTAGCTAATTATAAGTTTAGGCATATCCTAAATACATTATTATTTGCTTTCTTCGTCTCTATTTTGAAACACATCACCTTATTTTAGTTTCCTTCATCGGTTTGCTTGATGTTATTTTAATTGTGTTTTTATTTAGGGTAAAGGTTAAAGCGGCTATTTGCCATTGCACTGAAAGCATATCGTAACTTAAATTAATTTGATACCTTTATTAGGTGAATGGTATTGAAACAAACTATGATATTGTTACCACAATCTTTAATACCTTAAATCATAGGTCTAATAACAATAGGCCTGATTATCTTTTAATAAGTTCAATTAGTATGCCTAGTGCATTTCAAACAAATTAAATAGTCTTATAACAAAGTAAATAGATTAAATAGTCTAGTATTGACACAGTAAATAAAATTAACAATCGCATAAAGTATTGGGTGCTAAGACATTGACAACAAATACATAACCTCTAAATCGCAATTAATTAGTAAATTAAAATTAAAGCAATAACAAAACAATATGGCGTCGACTCAAAAAGAGTAATTTTGGCCGAAAGAGAGGAAGAAGAAAGTGCAGTCAACCTCCACTCAACAGCTCGATAGGTGTTGAGTAGTTTTGGTTGTACAAGTCCACCGTCAATCGTTTCAAAAATACGAAACGATTGGAAATAGAATGACTCGACACTCAACTCAACAGTCAACCATTTCAAAAATAGGGCCCCTGTACAGCATATGTATTATTTCACTTTCACATAGGCCTCGTCATAGATAAAACATGGCCTCATTCCTGTGGTTTGGACGTATCCAGAACAAAGCGAGGGGACAGTCAAGGGATGTAATTGTAGTGATACAATATTTTAGTAATGACTTCGAAGTTCGTCGCTGATTCATTAAAAAAAACTGAACTATGTGAATGTGATTGGCTAAAAGGAAAAGGTAATATTTGATCAAAACCGATTCCGCTTCAGAAAGGTTCAGAAACAGTCGAGTCAGCTAGTTAAAATCTATGACCACTGACCAGCAATCATCTTTAATTGTCTCATCCACTATTCCACTCCACCAGACTAACAGTTGATTCCACTTACTATATAGTTAGTTCCTACCCTTTAAAAATTGTTAAATTTAATAATTAATTACTCTCGTCATACTAGCCTAAACCAATCTGAGAAAGAATAAAAAGCTTCCATTCCACCAAGTTTGAATCAATTTCTGTGATACTGTAATGTTCCTGCGAATGGGGTGGACAATCCCTATCAACAGAAAAAGTGGTTCTGCCGAAGGGGGGAAGCTGCCCCGGGCGCCGCGCCTATTTGTATTAACATAGTATTAAAAATATGGGAATACGACTATTATTGTGGGGGGGGGGCACGACCACGTTTGCTCCGGGCGCCACCAACCCTAGGGACCCAGGGACAGCCCTGTGCCGAAATCTAAACTACATAACACTATTCACATGTGTCGCAATCACTTGTAGTTGGCTAGAAAAGTATTGGATTGGAACTAGCTTGCTTGACTGTGGTGGAATGAGCTTGATGGAGAGTGGAGACCTTGAATTTGGACAGATCTTGTCCACGGCATACACCTCAACAGGCTTGAAAATATCATACATGTTAGATTCAATACTGTACTGTCGAAGGTTTGATTCATAGCTAATTTTTATAGTAGTTCAAAAAATCACTATCATTATGGTTAACACTTGTTTCATTTGATTACTTTTTGATAACTGAAAAAGCAGAATTCAGATGTATGTGTAGCAGCTATCCATGTTCAGGGCAAATAGTAGTTTGAATATGTGAATAGTAGTTTGCCCCAAAGATGGATAGCTGATTAAACCGGTACCATCCTAACCATAGGCCTTTATTTAGTTTCACTATTTCAGACCAAGATTTGACAATATATTTATTTTGGTACTTTACCTGATACCATACATTATCAAGAAAACATGTCAGTAAGAAGGTAGTCATGCCAAAAAGCAACAATTGTTAAGAAAAATACTTTAATAATATATACATTAAGAAATAACTTAAATAATCTATTGATAAATATATCTAAAAGTAGTAAAAGTCCCATGTAGCAAGCAATGTATATAATACGTAAATATTCGGGATTAAGGTATAACCAACGTATATGTATTAATGATACAGATAATATACATATTATATACCAATATGAAAATACGGTTTCATCCAAAATAAATTTTGCATAAAATACTGTAAAATGAAGAAACAAAGTGTAAATTTTCACCTAAATGTTGTTTTGAGGGCATAAATTAACTTTCGAGAATGCAGTAAAATAAGTAAAGGTATTGATGATACAGATAATATATGTATTTTATATCAATAGAAAAATACGAAAAAAATTGTAGTGTTGTATTTATTTCCCTGCATTTTTTCAACATCCTGTGTAAAATGTATTTGTAACACATACTATACTATAATATTCATAGATGATGAACAAAATATTCTGCCGCGCGAGATACCCGAGTCTCTGCGTTTTCTTAGGTTCGACGATGTTCGCTGATGCATTATGGGAGCAAAACAGCGGGGGTCAGCATCCGATCCGATCCGCCACCGCCATATTGTTTGTCTAATGTCTTTGTCTCACAACTCACAACAAATGTTGTCCTTGTGGCTGTGTTTAGACTAGAGCATCTACTTCTGATTTTCAGTGTTACACGTGAAGAATTCGTTGTTTTGTTATTATTTACTTATTAAATAGGTCTATTAGTTACTTTTTACTTTATATTCTTTAAGATTTGCGTTACATCTTCGACTTTTTAACTTCAGTGGCGATTCGACCAACTTGAGTTAAGGTAAGTTACACAAATTATTATCGTTATTGTAAGTTATTAAGAGATTTAGCATATGTTTTGTTAATAACTCGAATGGTGGTAATCTAATTTAAATACTTTATAAGTGGAAATAGGTTACAATAGCCTTCCTAACCCCTTAAAAACTCTACGGATGGAGGCTCTTTAGGGAAAAATTAGGCTGTAGTTTACAAAACTAAGGAAGCCAACTTCAGGAGATAACCTAGACCTAATTCATTGCAATATGTCCTTGGTCTGAACTAATTTAGCTTGGAGACAAGCTAGGCCTAGGTCTACTTAACAAATACCGTAGCTAAACTTATGCCTAAGTTACTTAGAACCTGTCATAAGTTAGCCTAGGCCTAACTTACAGTTAAGATTAAAAATGATGTTAATTGGTAAGGTTATGTTAAAATTCAGGCCTAGTCTTGTAGGCAGATGAATATTTTAAGACCAGAAGGGGGTAACTTAACTTACAGTTCCGAAGAGAACCTGTGATCTGTGAACAGATGTATGACTTAATGATAAATATCTTTGGTAAGTTAAATTAAATGTTTATTCTTCTTCCCAATGTAAATATCAAATTGACCTATGATTTGTTTTGCCTACGTTTCTATCGATATTAACTAGCCTATAAGCATATTTAACCACAAACAAAATATAGCCTGAGACGGTAACTTACTAGCCAAATATAGCCTAACCTATTTAATGAAAAAGCAACAAAAGAAAACATAAAGTTAGCCTCTTAGGCCTATAACTTAATGTATAAGCTAACTGGGAAAATTGAAGTCAATGCAATATTAAAGTTAACTAGGCCTAAACTTAGGCCTAGGCCTATGTTAATACAGTATTTATAAAAATATTGATAAATTGTTACCGTATTGATCTGATAACTTAATAAGATCGCAGGTTCTCTGCGGAACTGTAACCCCAGAAGGCTGCAGCTTTATAATTAGGCCTACGTCCTTCCAAACTATCGAAAGGAAATGTCAAACAAATAACTTAAGGTGCCGCGTTTGCGATCAGTAGGTTATGGCTAGGTTAGGTTTAGCTACCGGTATGTTTTTTTTTTGTTTACGATTAACTTAGGTCTAACTTATGAAACAACATCGCAGCTACCTACGTTTAGTAATTTTTATCAAGGCTTGGCACATAATAGCCTAGGGTACGATTTATTTATAGATGGCACTTTGAAGGGTAACAACGCTATCAAAATGTACAGTTGAACCTCTATAAGACGAATTTCAAGGGGTACGGGAAAAATTCGTACTATAGAGGTATTCTTAATAAAGAGGGTCGTTTTATCGAGGTTTAATGCTGCTGTTATTCTT